TATACATACATACATACAAATATATACTTACACATACATATATATATAAATATTCCTACAATTTTAATTCAATTTCTTTATGTTCACCATGACATATATGGTGTATCCGCCAGATGAGTAGCCAGCAAACTATGAGATAAACAACAAGATAAACGGAACTTGCTTCTAAACAAACCCGACAAGTCTGAGTATTTCTAGAGTCCCTTTATAGCTGGAGAGGCCAAGTTGGGGGTCAAGCATATTCTGTACTTGGCTCGTTACTACGTGGCTCGAATCATGGGAATTCGTAGATGTTATAGTGTTTTTTTTTAATCTTAAACTTCCAAAAATTTGAGATTTTCAATAACCCTACTTTTTTATTTATTTACGAATATTTATTTCTTAAACATGATGTGAAACTATCGTTATAGGAATTCTTAATTTAATAATTAAGCAATTTACTAACGCCCATTTACTAAATTTGCACCAATATCACATTATGTAGCTTTTATAATATGATTCTCCACAATTCACTCCGAATACAAGAGAAAATATCCATATGGTTTGCAATTACATATATTTAGCCATCTACACGCACGTGTTAGCGGTGCTTTACTGAACAATTGTCATCCTGCAATTTTTCACAATCTTTTGGTTCTCAAATTCCAAATTCAAAATATTTATTCATTCTCCACAATAGTGTATGAACAAACTATTTACTTTAGAATATTCAGTGTATTGTATGTATTGTGGAGACATATGACTGAACTAGGAAAACCTGTGCTACAGCCACCAGGCCACCACCTCCAGACAACTTGTAACAATGTAAGTAAATAATATTATAAAGTAAATAAAAAAAACTGTCTAACGTTAACTATACATTATTTCATAATTCTAATTATTCTAATAATGAAAAAGTCCAAGAGTGTGTGTGTGTAAGCAAGAGAATGTGCTTATGTGTTCATGTGTGTATGTCCAATACTTCAATACTTTAATTTTATTCCCAAAACAAATACTTATTTGGAAAGCATTTCCTGCTTGTGGCGAAGTAAAATTTACTTATAAATATACCACTTCGATGATTAGAATTATTTTGTTTAATTCCGCTACCATCAGTATACCTGTGACTGTCAACACTCAAAGATTGATTACTATTATTACTACCAGAAGTCCTACAACCTTCCATATTTTGTTTATCTCCGACTGCCATCCCATCCACGCATATTTTGCAAAAAAAACATTAAGATCTATTCAAGTATATGAAAACAATTTCGCATTTATAACATTAAAAGGATTTGCAAGGAAACATTCATTGAAACACATGCAAAATGATCAATTATCATTGGTAATTATAAACTCATTGGATCACAGGCAACAGACACTTTAATAGAGATTGATATTAATATATCGTGATAATTTAACATTTGTTCTGTGGGATATACCTAATTAACATGGCAACGAACATTATAGCTATCAAATCGCCGAACAGAACGGTCATAATTATATTAAATACAAAATAAATCTACATTAAGATTGTTCTTAAGATCAATTTATTTGCATACATGTGTGTATATTAGCTACAAAGACATACTGGTTATTTATTGATAGATTTTTATAGATTTAACATGTTTTGCTAACACCAACGTGCAAGATATTCTTCAAAGAACAGTGGCAATTTGAAGTGCCTTACATGTAATAAATTTATGCTTTTTCTTTATTTATTTTTTATTTATTATTACAAAAATTCAGAATTACAGAAAACATGTTCTATTACTATTCAGGAACCATAGGCGAAACAGTATACTCTGTTATGTCCATGGTACTGTTTATGTCTATAGGCGACGGTTGCCACTTTCCATCAGGTGGGCCGTCAGCTTGTTTGCCATTCTAAGTTTATAAAAAAAAAACCACATACTTTTATATTAATGTTAAATACATTGAGACTATTCAACTTGTTGCCTTTTGTATATGCACATTCTATATAAATACGCCTTGTATACATCTCTATTGTGCGCAATAAAGAGTTTATTATTATTATTTTAACAGCATGCAGGAAGTATTTTTCTTTTATTTAGACTTGATGGATTCTTACAAAATATATTAAACAAACAATTCGTAGTAACATTATTTCTGAAAAAGTGAGTGTGTTTGTTATCTCTTGATGCCTTAAAGACTTACGAGGTCTGTCCGGAAAGTTCGTATAAAAGTGTTCTGGAATGCGAGAAAGAGGAGTGGGGAGGCCAGGTAAGCGCAGGACCCCTTCCTTATGTCCCTAACAATGCTTCAGTTCTGGTCTGACCGCCGTGCGGTGCGAACTGGCTTGTCACGCCATCTGTGAAGTTACCTCTTAACGAAACCCCGTCGGCATGGAGCCCGCTTCCGTTGAAGAGCAGCGCGTCGTAATCACGTTTCTCTCGAAACTCGGCAAGAATGGCCGTGAAAGCAAAGAGTGGAAGACATCCGGGGAACCACGAACAAAAAAATCAAGAAAATCCCGCTCAAATGTCAAGACAATGTTGATTGTTTTTTTCGATGTTCGGGGGATTGTCCATCAAGAATTCGTCCCTCCAGGCCAGACAGTTGATGGAAAATTCTACGTCGATGTGCTCAGACGCCTCAAAGCTCGTGTGGCACGAGTTCGTCCAGAATTGGCGCGAGAGGGGCGTTGGATTCTTCACCACGACAATGCCCCTGCCCACACCTCTCTTGTTGTCCGTGAGTTTTTGAGTAAAAATTCCATTACGGTGACCGAACACCCCCCCTATTCGCCGGATTTGGCCCCGTGTGACTTCTTCTTGTTCCCAAAAACCAAATTGGTACTTCGGGGGCGGCATTTGGGGGACATAAATGAGATAAAAAAAGCTACGACGGGGCAGCTGAGAAACCTACAACCAGAGGACTTTCAAGGAGCCTTCTCACAGTGGAAACGGCGTTGGCACAAGTGCATTATGTCACAGGGGGAGTACTTTGAAGGGGATAAAATTGATTTACCTGAATAATTGTAAAATAAAATTTTTAAAAAACTTTTATACGTACTTTCCGGACAAACCTCGTACCCCATTATTCATAAAAACTAAAACCTACTACAAACCTATTTTAGCTTTTGAACTATTTTACCACTTTTTTTCAAATTGGGAATGTAGTATAAAAGAAAGAGACAGTTCAATAGCTAACGTCTGACATTTTTATTAATAAGAGCAAACGCTTTAAATATTTTAAGCAATTGAAGTCATTACATGGCACCTATTATTATTATTTTTTTTTTTGCAACACAGGGGGCAAACGAGCATGCGGTTCACCTGATGGTAAGTGACTACCGCCGCCCATGATCACGCACAATACCAGCGGCATTGCAGGTGTGCTGCCGGCCTTTTAAAAAGGAATATGCTCTTTTCTTGAAGGTTATGTTGTCGTATCGGTTTGGAAATACTGCTGCTGGAAGTTGATTCCAAAGAGTGGTTGTGCGTGGGAGAAAGTGCCTTGAAAAACGCACGGTGGAGGACCGCCACTCGTCCAGATGGTTGGGATGCAATTTTAGTTTATGGCGGATTGTACGATGGTGAAAATCAGCAGCAGGTATCAATCCGAACAATTTATTTGAGCACTCCCCATGATAAATTCGGTAGAAGATGCACAGAGATGCAACATCTCTGCGCAGTTTCAGTGGGTCGAGTCGGACAGTAAGACGCCAATCGTCAACAATTCGAGCTGCCCGACTTTGAATGCGGTCTAACGGAAGGAGTTGGTACTGTATTATTAACTCTTAGTATGACTAATCACGTTATAAAATTTTTATATATCCGTAAAATAAAAAATATAGAACAATATGGGCTAATTCATATAAAAGATTTATTGACTTTATTCATATTTCCTTAGTTACGCCACATAATACCTAATAATATATTCTGTGGTTACGCGGTCGAAGTCGCCGGTAAAGATTTTTTTTATACTACTTAGAATGTCAAACAAGCTGACGGCCCACCTGATATAAAATTGTAACCATCGCCTATAGACATCAACAGCACCATGGACATAACACAGTATATTGTTTCGTCTATGATATCCCCCATGCGTTGCGATTCCTAAGGACTCAGGTGTTATTACTTTGTACCCTGTACATTCACTGCCATATTTATTTGTGCCCTTCAAATCGAAACACAGCCATGCAAACACAACTGCTTCACAGTAGAAACACGAATGGAACAGAGATGTCCAAACAAACGACTTTTGTACAAAGTCTCCCTCTGGTTAAATAGTAAACACAATTAATTTAAATACATAATAGTTTATTTACCTATCTTATTTATATAAAAGGTGATAATTTAATAACTTCTTTATCAATTAAGTAAATGAAATGTATATAATTTATGACTAACTAGCCCTTCGGGGTAAGGCATGAGCATATTTATTTTAATCTATGTATTTTAAACAATTTACTACTTCTATTCATCAATTATAAGCAATTATTTGTAAAACTAAATGTATCTAACATCTAAATTGGCATCGATGCATGTATATATTTTTTTTAATGGGTGATAATGGAATGGTAACCCCGCCCGCGCTATTGGTATACGCTGGCAGGGTACCAGTGAGGGATGATTGGTGACGATGAAAGCAGGTCAATTAGCCCATCGTGACGAATTAACCACGATAGTTTCTAGGGGGAACCGCGTAGAGGTCGACCTGATATGATGTATTGTTAGCAAAATAATGTAAAGATTTTGATAAAATATCTATGAACCAATCTGAAAGGATATATTTTAAAATGAAAAAAGAGTTTGTCAAATTGGTTTTTAAATGACGAAATTATGAGGTTCTTTTTGAAGTTGGTTGTAAAAAATCGACTTCGATCCTAACAAAACTAGTTATTTTGATTTCAAAAATTAAACAGCTAAATCGATTTTGATAAAATAAAAAAAAAATCGTAAAAAATTCAAGATTTTAAACCTCCTTTTTTGAAGTCGGTTAATAAAAATACTGTAACTATACTATCAGTTAATATAATAGGACTATTTAAATACCTTGCATATAAAGAATCCTAGTTTACAATCCTTTTAATTCACACCAAATAAATAGTTCACCCTTCACCGAAACACTTTAAATTTCGAACCGATGCGACGGTGGCGTATCGTCGTTTCCCGCTAGAAAAATAAAATAAAATAAACGGAAAAAACACCGGGCCACGGCAAGTCACATGCGAATTTGGAATTAATTTGTTAATATAAATAAAGGTTAGTATTGTTTGTCGTGGCGGTAAACGACAGGCGGACCGCGCGGAGTGGACGTCGAGACTGATTTCAGTGGGCGGCGCGCCGCCCAGCCGCCGAGCAGTGACGTACATACATACAAGTCAAGCAGTCATACAGTAATGAAGAATTTTAATATTGCTTAATATTTTTACTATTTAAATGTTGATGCAGTTTTTTTTTTTTTTTGTATATAAGAAGATAGCATTTTTTTATAAATTAGAATACAAATATAATACAATAGTAAAGAAGTTACAAATATTCATTAAGTATTTTTGGAAATATGTAATAATAAAAATAATATGATTTTTAAAATTTCTGTTTGTATGTTTGTTTGTATATTAATATGTAATAAAAATAAAATAATGAATTCTAAAAAAGCACTCTGTATTTTTGTCAGTAGAGTACAAAATTGACTATATTATATAACATAAAAAGAGACAAATTGTTTTTAAAATTATTGCAATAAATTTTTTTCAAGTACCCACGAACAAAATCTGAACGTGTTATAGCTAGTATATTTAAAAAAAAAACTATTCATAGCTTAACTTAAATATAATTTAACTATGTATTAATTGTCATTCAGCCATATGTTTTCCTAAAAACAAATAAATAAATAAATACTATATTAATAACACACCTGGGCTCTCACAACGCAAAATTAGGGATTTTTTGTGTATGGCATTACATGACCATATCATAAAATGCTACTTACTAGAAGACTTTGTATTCTAACTCGCACGAAAAAAATCGGAGTATTATAGTATAAATAAATACAAGTATAATTATGTATTATAAATAACCTAACACCAATTACCAATTTTTTTTTTTATACAACTTAGAATGTCAAACAAGCTAACGACCCACCTGATGGAAAGCGGTAACCGTCGCCTATAGACATGAGCAGTACCATGGACATAACAGTATACACACATACTGTTTCGCCCATGATACCCTCCCTGCGTTGCCATTCCTGAGGAATAAAAAACCGACTTCAATTGTTATTTTGATTTAAAAACTAAATTACTGAACCGATTTTGATAAAATCTCTATGAGACCAATCTGTAATGATATCTTTTTAGATAAGAAAATAATTTTCCAAATCGGTTCAGAACTGACGAAGTTATGCAGTAACAAATATAAAAAAAAAATATAACCTAACTGATAACTTCCATCTTTTTAAAGTTGCTTGAAAATCTTATATATAAAATTCTCGTGTCACGGTGATTGTTACCAAACTCCTCCGAAACGGCTTTACCGATATTTATGAAATTTTGTGTAGGTCTGATTTCATTATCATCTTGGGTAGGTCTGAGAATCGGCCAACATCTATTTTTCATACCCGTCAATGATAAGGGTGACCCACCCCAAAATTTTTTTTTATTTATTTAACAATTTTTTTTTTATTTTATTATAATTTAGCATTGAAGAATACATACAACTTTAAATTTTCATCGTTTTACGATCAACCCATGTATTTTAATGGCGATTTTTATATTTCGCAATAAGTGGCAAAACAACGTTTACGAGTTCAGCTAGTATAAATATAATTTGCTATTATTTATACTTATCTATGTATTTAGTATCACTCTTTGGAATCAACTTCAGAGACGACAACATAACCTTAAAAAAAACATTCCTTTTTAAACAGCCGGCAGCACACCTGCAATGCCGTTGGTGTTGTGGGTGATCATGGGCGGCGGTAGTCACCCACCACCAAGTGAGCCGCATGTTTGTTTGCTCGTTTTTTGTAAAAAAAAAAGTATACTTGACTAATAAGACTAAATATTTTTTTTTGTTTTTTTATCACCAAAGCTAATCCGAAGGCAATCAATTTAATTGCATCGACGAACTAGTTGTTAACTACTTGTTACTGTAAATAAAAAAGAAAGAGGGAGACTTTGTACAAAAGTCGATTGCTTGGGTACCTCTGTCCCATGTGTTTCAACCGTGAAGCAGTTGTGTTTGCATGGCTGTGTTTCGGTTTGAAGGGTGGGATATGGCGTGAATTTACTGGGTACAGAGGAATAACACCTGAGTTCTTAGGAATGGCAACGCATGGGGGGTATCATGGGCGAAACAGGTAACCCCGCCTGCGCTATCGGCATACAGTGGCGGGGCACCAGTGAGAAGTGATAGATAAGGATGAAAATGCAGGTCAGTTAGCCCATCGCGATGAATTCAACGATAAATTAATCACGATAGTTTCCAAAGGGGAACCGCGTGGAGGTATTGATAGCAACGGGGACTAACCTCTCCATTACTAACAATCCCTTCCTCCCACGATACATACTTGCCATGTGGTCCCGGCATAAAATGAACCATCCCTTCCTTTTCCGTGAATGACTTAAAAGGCTAAGAGGCGACTAAAAGATCTTAATGGTAAAAGAATGAACTGCAGTGTCCCTCTTAAAACATCTCCAAGGTATAGCAGAGGTTGCCAACCCCCTATGGGAACAATCCCCTATGGGAAAGGCCCATGATCAGCAGTGGACAGGTAACGGCTGATACGATGCATACTCGCAATTAATATTATAAAAGCAATATTAATACTTACATTGTTAATAATATGGATTACCAATCCCATTGCTAGCAATATACCTCATCAAGTCAACCTCCACGTGGTCCCCCCTAGAAATTGAGCAAAATTTCTGGTGTATTCATCATGATAGGCTAACTGACCTGCCTTTTTATTCTATCTCACCATCCCTCACTGGTGGCCCACGAGCGTATACCATTAGCGCAGACAGGGCTACCACTCCATTGGCCTCCATTAATAATAATACTAGAAATATACAAGTAGTGCTATCATAGGCGTATTTAAGGAAGGGGAAGGGAGGGGGGACGGGCGTACCCACCCCAAATGGTCTGATAGTAATGCTGACGTAATGTTTTGTGCTGTTCATGTCTATAGGTGTTACCACTTTCTTTCTTTCTTTTGTTGTATAATAAATTTATTCGCGGACAAAGTCGTGGTCAAAAGTTAGTCTATAACAACATCCTGTCGCTTGGCGCATGCGTGCATAGTACGCTATATTTTCATTGGTACAACTGAGCCGATGAGCGAATTCAAAAGCTATTGACCTAAAAATAACGCCCAGCCGAGAAAGAATTGTTTACTATACCTACGTACTCTTCACGGCGGCTGCTCTCTTCGAAACGAGTTGACTACGAAAATATAAGTAGTGATGCCGAATAAATTATCGATTAATTAATCGATCGAATGGTTATTAACATTTGGAACTCTAGATTCTCAAAATCAGAACTATTACAAAACAATTTCTTATTAACAATAAAAAGAAAAAATATTAAATTATTTAAATTTAAATGCACAATTATATAAATAAGTGTACATGCCATGTGGCAGACTTAACACCTAATGACATTATTCTCGGTATTCTCTACCAGGCAAATAGAAAATTAAGTAGGCGATCCATTTACTACTAATAATAATTAGAACAGCAAATAAAAGAAAAGAGGAGAAAGAAAAAAGAAAGAGATTTAAAAATATGTTACTAGTTTGGAGTTGATACGCCGGTAAAAGCCACACGGCAAGGTTGAGGTGCAATAAAACGACGAAGTGTTGGTATATAAGCACTATTAACATTATGTCAATGATATAATATATAACGCCACACCATACATACATAAATTCAATCAATTACAATTATTTTTCTTCACCGTATACATAAATGCAACCACCATGTTTTTTTTTCTGTTCAAAAATCTCCTGTCAAAAAGACAGGGTTGCCACACTAGTTTCTTTAGGAAGTGAACCCATAGTTTATTAATTATGCTGTAACAATTTATTTGATTCATAATGTAATCTAATATATTTATGTATATAAATGTTATCTAACTCTATATAAAGAAATGATATTTAAAAAAAATATATGTAAGCTAATAATCAAATAATCTCCATGAACTATAGTTTCGTTCAAATTCAAATATTTTTCCGCAAATTATGTACATTCTAAAGAAGATAAATAGCCAACATTCTTGGTACTGTACCCATCGGATAACATCACTTGGACCTCTGAAATATGTCAGGTAAATACACCACCGAGTCGTCAAAATGCAACAATAATAATTAAATATTAAAATCAGCGGTTAGCTGTCCACTGCAGAACAAAGATCTCCCTCTATTGGGGGTACTGCCTGTAGTTGTCATGCTGGGCAGGCTGATTGGCAACTGCAGTTAGGCTTTGGTTATGTTTTAAGAAGGGCGCTGTTTATCCACAGGAAAGGAAGGAATTGGCTTCTATGCCGGGACCACACGGCAAATTCTGAATAATCTTTACAATTTCTAGACCAGTACCTTTCCTTGCGGCGCTTTATGGGAAACTTCAATTTACTCTATTGATTATTCATTTTTAACTATAAATTGTAATCCATAATTATATCCAAATATTCATCCGAAGCCACTAAGTTTTTAATTCGTTTTGTTCTACTAGTAGAATTAAATCGTAAAACTACGCTGATACAGGAATGACCTCCCTGCCGAGGTTTTCCCAAGAGACTACAGCATGGGGTCCTTCAAAAGGGGGGTAAAGAGGTTTCTTCAGGGTCGGCAACGCGCGCGTAATACCTCTGGTATTGCAGGCGTTCGTAGGCTACGGTAACCGCTTACCATCAGGTAAGCCGTATGCTTGTTTGCCACCTCAGTGGTATAAAAAAAAATACAATCGATAGAGTCTCTATCTAAATTTAATTCCTTATCCTAAAGAGAAAAACCATAACAAACACCACGTACCACGATAGTGACTGGCAGTGTCTTAGATATTCTACCAAAACAACGTTACATAATTGAAATAAAAATACACTTTAATTCTGTTCGTATTAAATTGACAGAAGTTTAACGTACCTAAATGTTAATATAAAATTACTCAACCTACTTCCAAGATAGACCAGATTGGGAATAAAAGAAACAAATAAATTAATGGTAGTAATAATTTAAAGCAGTCATTGCAACGATCGCTTTTTTTTTTTGGGCACGTGTGAATTTCAATCCTTTAGGTGAAATTAACCAAGTGTGTAAACAATTTACGCAATTGCCATAAATTGTTAGTTGATACGAGTATCTTTAGAGTTGAGATTTGTTTGTTTATATCCAATCGGATTCAAGCTTTCGTTGTATAAATATTAACCACTGGCAACACACAGTGCAGTTCTACTAAAATATTATTTATTTATTTAAATGTTTTTGTACATTCACTTATATTATAAATATCAGGATTTAATGAATTTATATATTTAATAAATTACAAATAAGCAATGGCGGACTCATTCCTTGAAGCGATTTCGTTCAGTCAACCCTGAGAAGAGAGGGGGAAAAGGGATTGTTAGCAATGGAGTTTGACAGCCCCATTGTTAACAATTTGCCCTATTAGGTCGACCTCCACGTGGTTCCCCTTGGAAACCATCGTAAACAATTCTTATTGAATTCGTCACGATGGGCTAACTGACCTGCTTCATCGTCACCTATCATCATGGTACCTCGCCGGTGTATGCCGTTAGCGCGGGTATATATATGGAATGGTAACCCCACCATTCCATTATCACCCATTAAAAAAAAACCCTAAGAAGAGAAGAGTATAGAGGGTATCTATACGATTTTGTATAGGTATAAAGTGCAAAAATAATATGATAAATAATAAATTATATTATTATATTAATAGCTATATAATTAGTAACTATTTAATTTATTTCATTAGTAAATAGTTTGTTCATAAAGTATTGTGGAGATTGAATAAATATTTTGAAATTGAATTCAAATTTGAACTGAATATATGTATACAAAAGATAAATAAAATCCCATACCATATTAACTGTCCACTGCTGAACATAGGCGTCCTCCTATTGAGGGAATTTGCCAGTAGTTGCCACGCTTGGCATACAGGTTAACAACCGCAGTTAGGCTTTTGATGATATTTTAAGAGGGTCACTGCTGCCCATCTTTCGACTAATAAATTCTTTTAGTCGCCTCTTACGACACCCACGGTAAAGGAGGGGGTGGACCTTTCTATGCTGGGACCACACGGTAACATTGGGAGTTTTTTTATGGATGATATAGGAACGATAACCTCGCCTGCGCTAACGATATATGCTGGTCGGGCACCAGTGAGAAATGATAGGTAAGAATGAAAAGGCAGGTCAGTTATACCATCGTAATGAATACACCAGGAATTCAGCACGACGGTTTCCAGGTCGGGAACACGTGGACGTCGACCTGAAAATGTATATTGCTAGCAATAGGACTAGTAGTCCTCATTACTAACAATGTATCTATCTACTCCGAAAACTGTGGGGGATGGTGAAGTGATTTAAAATATTGAAGTGATTGATATAATTAAATCGATAATTATTAAGTTTTTAGCACGCTTATGACGTTGACAAAACACAGCTGATTTCGCGCGTCTCGACAGAATTTCAATACGTATTTTACATTGCTGTTTTTTTTTTTTTTTATTTCATAGTACTTCACTATAAAATATTTTTCGACGTAATATCATAGATTACATGATTTAAAATGAAAAAAATAAACACGAAAAATTCTAAATTTTCCAAAAGAAATTTCCACTGGTTTTAAGTTCAGAATAATGGGCTGAAATCACTGTTTCAGTTTTTGCCAACCTGTCCTTTATACCCTGTATATTGGCATAATAAATGGATATATTAAATATGGGTATTTAATATATGTATAATATTACAATGTAGTTCCCGATTCAATTGGGAGGAAAGGGATTGTTAGTAATGGAGACTGAGAATCCCATTGCTAACAATATACCCAACCAGGTCGACCTCCTCGCGGTTCTCCTTAGAAACTATCATGGTCAATTCCTGATGAATTCATCATGATGGGCGAACTGGCCTGTTTTCATTCCCATCTTCCTCGCCCTTCACTGGTGCTCCGCCAGCGTATCCCGTTAGAGCAGGCGCAGTTACCATACCATTTTCACCCATCAAAAAAAACACCCGATTCAATTTATTGTAGATATCCGACTTGTGTGAGCGATATAGAAGTGGGCGATGACCTTTTTCCCGCCATTAATGTCTAGAAGAACTTAATATATAGATATCAAAGCAGTACCGATATTACTCATACCTAATAAGGAGGTACATAACAATGCCAGTTGACTGCCATTAACAATGTTAGTAAGTACACATGCACATACACACACACACACACACACACACTTACACACTTGCAGAAGAATTAATGAAATCTTAACAAGCCGATCTTCATTTTAAGATGTAAATGAGTGTACGGTTGGGAATCAAGGCTAAATTGTTTTAGTTTTTATGCGCTCTATATTATTGTATAGGTATACAGACACTAAAACTTTTATTAATGTAATATTAAAATACGGTTGTGGCATACGTAAACTACGGACATATTGTCTATAAATAAATATTTATTATTTATTTATTTTATTTATTTAACTCTTTATTGCACCATAAACAAAAATATGCAATGACAAGTGAATAATTCATGTGAAATATAGTAACATGAATACAGATTGAAATATACACATAAAGGTACAAAAGGCGATCTTATCGCTAGGGATAGTATTATATTATCTGTGGCTAGGGCAATCTCTTACAGACAACCTTTTTCTAGTTAATTAAAACAACAGATATTCCACCAAATTTTCAGTCCAGTCATTATAAAACTTCCAAAATGTATTTATTGCAAGAACATAGGTTGCTATATGGTAAAGAAAATTTTACAAACAAAATATCCGTCGTCTGCACAGACCTTTAAGCGCCTAAATGAAATTGAATGTTTGATATACCATAATGCTATATTAACATATAAGGTAAGCGAGTAAAGCTATTTTCCAAGCGACTTAAAAAAAAGAGGACTTCAATTTATTGATGAACAGAGCTAAAATAAATTAACACATCTCACCCAACCTCCTGCAAAAATTTTAATCGCAAAGTATTGAATCAACCTCTTATTATTTCCACAGGCGTTCTTCAATATTATGGTTAAAGCATCTGGAAGATTCTTCATAAAATAATCTATAAGTTTCTATAAAGTTTTTCAATTGAAATAATCATTTTACCTTCCTTCCATTTCCATAATATAGTTCTACAAATATAAAAACCTTAATCATTCTGCTATTTTAACGCTTGTATAGTCATGTAAATAAAATATTGAAATAAAAAGTTACAAATTTTTTCCTCGCTACTTCGTGAGTGTAGATTTAAGAAAATAACAAAATATACCACTTATTAATGGCATACATGTTTTTATGTTTGATCTTCAAGAATATAAACCGTACCCAAATTCGTACAGTAGCTTTTGCCTGATGCCAGAACAATCATACAGATAGACGCAATTTCTAAAAAATATTTGACTTCTATTGCTCTCATTAAGACCCCTCATGTCAATTGTTTTGAAATAACTTCCATATACAAACATGAACTAGATAAAATTTTATTGTATTAATAAGATTACCTTTTATTACTCTTTTTTTTTTCACATACAGCATAGATTTAGATTATAACTATAGTATATACAGTGCCGATCTTAAAGAGTGGCACGACCGGATAGCACACGGGGAGTAGAAATAGAAAAGGGACACCAAGTAATATAGCAAGATGTGAGATGGAAAACATGTACAAACCCGATATAGGCGATATCGAAATAAGGGATGACTTTTTGTAAAAACCTATATCTAAATATCGGTCCCGGTGGACCCGGCATAGATGATATCGATCCCAACGAAAGCGATATTAAAAGGGATGGGTGGGGCTTTAAAAAAAATTTGCTCTAGTGCGCCAGATACACCAAGGTCCGCCCTAGGTTTTTATACAAAGTCATAACTTACAGTAAAAATTAAAAAAAAAAAAACAGAGAGACCAAAATATCGTGAAATTCTTCATGAGTTTTTAATTTATTTTATTTATGTCCTGTGGTACAAAATGTATAAAGATGAATCACCAGAAATTCCTATTTATCAGCACCCCAATCACGCCAACATAAGGAAAAAGTATTGCGAAACGTTTCATTACAGACTTCAATGTGAGTTTGCAAAATGTATAATATAATGTATAATATTTTACAAAATTTTAAAATAAAATAAATAGATTAAGTATTAAAATTGTATTATAATTTTAAATTGTACATTATGTTATTCTTTATGTTGAATACTTTATGTTTTTACTAATAATAAAATCTAAATAAATTTAATACTTCTTGAACAGATAAGAGCTTCGTGAAACGAATCAAACCAATAAGATTTTGTCTGTGGCCCTTTTTGACGGACGAACAATTTTCCTATCTTAATTTTTGACAAATGGTAATAGGTGTCTGCCTTCAGAATTCCGTCCGTCCATAATTAAAATTAAGATCTTTCACCACAAAACAGCTGAAATAGAAAAAGTAGAATTGCTCTTACATGTCTTTCTAAAGAAATGTAGTGTTATGATTACAAGTTAAAAAGTGATATGGCATAGTGTTCAAATACTTATAGTGATTAACTCGTCAAGATGAGTGGGCGCTCAAATCGGGGAGTATTTGGGAAGCTTTTCTCCAAAAAGCAACACAATAAAGATGATCGTGTTACTGAGATAGGCATGCCCACCAATGTCAAGCGGCATATACACGTGAGTAAAAACTTGGAGACGGGTATGTTGGAAGGTCTGCCCGCACCCTGGCTTCGTGTATTAAATGCTCAGATCACACCAGCGGAGCAAAATGAAAACCCTGATGCGGCCATCAAGGCCGTTATATTCCATATGTACCGTATGGAGAGGGAGAAAGCATTGGATGAACCATTCAAACCTTTTGTTACACCTGAAGCAATTACCAAAGAGGATTTGGAGATGAAAAAGCTTGTAGACCACAAGAATGCTCACCAAAGTCAAGATTCAGATCTATCAATTGGACAAAGTAGCGAAGATGACGTTGTTCAAATTGACTCATTCCCACAAAGACAAACAATGCCCGCTGCTCCCATAAAACACAACCTTAAAAAGAAAGAACCACAATTAGACCTAAGCGCAGTGTTGGAGGATCTCACTCTAATCGGAGGTGAGCCTGAGGAGAGTCCTATAATGAGGAAGAAGGAAATCAATTCTACATTAACTGATGAGGAAGTGTATGAGGAATTAAGAAGAATTTGCAATAAAGATGACCCATATGTTAGGTTTGAGAGGGTGAAGGATCTTGGTGCTGGTGCTTCAGGTAAGATCTTTATATGTACTATTTAAAAAAACTTATGTACTTAGGTTAAGTATTTTTGCTTGCATATGTTCTGAACATTCTCTATATAAATATAATTCCAAGAATGAATGTATAATATATTAAATATCTTATACATCAAATTAAAATATATCTATCCATATGTATGCTAGAAATCATTAAGATTCATTCAATGTTAATGCATGATTGAGTAATAAAGTCATATTCCTTCACAAACATTTACTACATAGTCTTGCATATATAATATAAACTAATATTAATAATAATAATAATTCTTTATACATTTATCTTTTACACAGTTTAAAAATCATGTTTATGTTTATAACATGATAAATGCAAAAACAATTAACTAATTAAAAAAATATTATACTATGAAAAACTACATTATTATCAAATAAAATGAGCTTAATTTTATTAAAAAATAAACTAAAAGCCAAGGCAGTTCACTATTACATACCAAAAATTAGCCAAAATGTATAGTGGCCTACTAAAATGTGTAATACACATAAAATATACTTAATTTATGAAAAACTTGAAAGGCTACTTGTCTCTGTTCATGACCTCCATTGAATTTTAAAGCTTATCAATGAGCAAATTACATTCCATACTTTGTTGTGACACCACCTTCCAGGATCTGTTCAGTTGTATATCCAACCTTTATTGAGAACTCTGTCACATACATTTTTCTGCCCATGCCTGCCTGCTACATTTCAGTTTAAAATTTACAGTGAAATTACTGGGCACATAGGCATATAACAATTAGTCCTAGCGTATGTCCCTATAGTCTCACAGTCTGTAATGTCTATTCATAATATTATTCATCTTACTAATATAATAAGACCAATATATACCAAAACAATAATTTTTAGAAAATTTGTCTGTCTGTATTTTTGTAATGGAAACAATTGCATTTTGTTGAAAAAAAAAACTATTACATAAAAATGAATGTCGTTTTTCACAATTGTGTTCCTAAAGTACTAACTTAGAAACTGGTGTATTTGTCATCTTGATAAGCCACCTAAAACATTTAGGTGATTTGTATGATGTAAAGTAGTAAGAGAAATTGTATATAGTAGTAAATAAAAAGAATGGCCAGGGAAAGAACCTAACACCACTTACTTTCTTTATTTAAGTTTTTTTTTAAACTTGTGTTACACTTTGTTTTTTTTTATTTTTGATTTATTTATAAATATTTTTTTTTATTAGTATATTCCTTGTTTCATTCTTGTTAGCTTTGTATGTCGCTATCTGTAGTACAAGTTACACCTTAATTGAAATTAGACAGATGTATGTGATAACACTCAAAGGACATTGACCCAGATTAATGAACATTGTTAAGACAGCATAGGCTCAACAGAATACTTATTGACAATAGTGTGTTAATTCTGCAAGGCTGTATACTAATCTTCATACATAATATTTAAACTTACTCTATAAAAGCAGTTATGTTTCTAAAACGAATTATCATGAAAGTGAGAATTTTACATTTCAACATCAATATCAAATAAGAAATTATTATTATTAAAATAATTTGTTAATATTTATATTGTTTATTAATGATTATTATGATTATATACTTTATAATAATTTTAATAAATTAATTAATCTTAAGAAATATGTTCATTCAACGGAGTGTATTTTCTAACTACCGACTACATCAATATTTGCAGTGTATAAAATAGAGACTTTGTCAGAAATATCAACTAAAAACTACTACACTATTTCTGAGTTTTACTCAGAAATATTTAGAAAATTACAATATAAAGTTTCCAAATTGAATTGTGCACTCAAAAAGTTCAATATATTAGAAAAAAATTGTATAATATATCTTGATTTATTGACAGTTTTAAAACCACATAATTTTAGTTGACTGGCAGAGAATGCCATTAGGCATTAAGTCCGCCCTACAAACATTTTATGTATGCAAAAGTATAAATAAATAATTGAAAATCATGCATTATTTGTATAAGTAGTTACTTTTTACAATATATATTAGGTAATCAATAATTAATCCAAATTGTTGTTCCACTATATTTGGAATTAATAATAACAATATATATCTAGTCCTAGGTAGATCAAGTCCTATAAGAAAACAAATTTTAATACATTTTCATATGTTCTTTTTTATGAAATGATAATCCCGCCTGTCTGCACTATCAGTATATGCAGGCAGGGCACCAGTGAAAGTTGACTGGTGAGGATGAAAGCAGGTCAGTTGACCCATTGTTAGAAACTTAACAATAATTAACCATGATGGTATCCAGAGAAAACAGTGTGGAGATCAACCTGATCGGTATATTACTAGGAATGTTACTACCCATTTTTTTTTTATACCACTGAGGTGGCAAACAATCATATGACAAATCTGATAGTAAGCACTTACCATAGCTTATGAACGCCTGCAATATTAGGAGCATTACACGCGCTTTATCGACCCTGAAGAAATATCTTTACCCCCTTTTGAAGAACCCCATGCAATAGTCTCTTGAGAAAACCTCAACAGGGAGCTCATTCCATAACCTGAGCGTTCGTGGCAGGAAACATCTCTGATTACTATTTTTATCACATTACCAATGGTCCCCCCCCTTCCCCTCCCCCATAAAGTTAGTAGTTAGGTTGGTATACTTAAATGCCATTGATTATTATTAATAGATTTATTAGTAAGTGTATCAAATTGAACTGTACCTATATATATAATATATATATATACACACATATGAATGTTAATAAACCAATATAATCAAGTAATATTTCCTCAACAGTAGCATCAACATAATTTATTAAATAAATGTTAAATATGTAATTTTGTATCACCTATATGTGGATACTTTTGTAAAAAATGACAAAAAAAATACATATCTTTACGCCATGGCCCTTACAGGATAGACAGAATGAACTAAAAGCCTCTTCATTTAAAGACATCTTTTGCTTCATCCACTTATATAATTCGCATCACATACATGCTGATGCGAATACCTCCGTGGTGTAGTGGAGGGCACATTGCTTTGTGTAAATTATATCCCCAATTCGACTTCCAATCGAACCAATTTAGGAAATTTAACTTTCTCAATCAAGTCAGTTCTGGGTGTTCTGATTTGTCCCCAGATGTTAGGTACCTACTTCCTCGTAATACAAGGTATCTTAACTGGATAAAAAGTGTTCTTCACGGAAGACAACGCGCGCGTAATGCCTCTGGTATTGCAGACATTTATAGGCTACTTTAACCGCTTATTATCAGGTGGGCCGTATACTTGTTTGCCAACTCGTCGGTTTAAGCAAAAAACCTAGAAGACACTTATATTCCGGACGCTCTTGACTCCTGATTTATGTAATAAACTGTCTATCGATGATTGTGTGCCGATGATGATAACTCAGTCAGTGCTTATCATAACAGAATGTTGTAAATATTGTTAGAAATAAATCGGTTTTGAACTGAATGTAAATCCTTATCTCAACATATAGATATTTGCGACGTTACTACCGTGGCAACGACGATACTTATGTTGAATTAAAATCATAATGCCCAAATAATTTCAATGCGATATATATACACCCTTAACTGAAACTTAACCATAAAAATATGGTTATTCAATACAAAAATCGATCAGGTGTATGTATTACGTGTCCTTAGATAACTTTGTACAGACATATCTTGATACAGATGGCTTTCTTTTGTTTCTGTCTACCCCAAAAACAAAAAGGAGTGACCTTAAAGGAAAATTAAGAAAAAGATCCACTCCTGTACTGTTATTATTACATATTATATCAGTACATTATTTAAATTATCATTGAAAAATGTTATCTGATAACAAATTGTGCACTAAATAATAGTAGTGCATAATGTACTTTGATACATTCTAATAATGACTTAACAATTTAAGAAGAATATGAATAATTTTCCCGTTTTTGTAAAATTTTTCACTAATTCTTCGCTCCTATTTGTCGCAGCTTAATTGTTATATAGCCTATAGCCTTCCTCGATAAATGAACTATCCAACACAAAAAGAATTATTCAAATCGGACCAGTAGTTCTGGAGATTAGCGCGTTCAAACAAACAAACTCTTCATCTTTATAATATTAGTATAGATGAAATAATTATCTGTATAGTCAACTATGTTTAGTTATTTTTTATCGACTACAATACAAAAAATTATTGATACAAAAGACGCATTTTATGCTACTTAGAATTCTCTCCCAGTCAACCTTTGGTAAAACAGAAATGTAATTATGCTATGAAAAATTTAAAATTGTTTCATTCTGTTTATCCATTATAAACAAGCTCAATAAAACTGTTCTACGAAAAAACTATCTATCTTCGTACGAAGACGAATTCAAGGACTTTAAACCTCTATCCATAACACAAACCTTCTGTTATTTTCAATTCATACTTATTCACATTGATTCCAGAAATTGGCTTCTAAATGTATTCCATTTTATATATCCGTTTCGTCACTCTTTCATCCGACATTCTTGCCACATGTAACATACATTTTTAGGTAGTAAAAATACCGAAATATATAAATCTATTTGTTTTTCTATTCCCGTTACGAATGAATGAACTTAACACGCAAGAGGTGAGTAAGAACGACTATATTTAGGGAGTTTCAGAACTGCGAGCTATTGGCGCGCGGTTTAATATGATTCTTAGCTGCATGTATGAAACATAAAACACCAAAATTATGATTAAAAAAGTTTCTTCAAGGATGGCAACGCGCACGTAATTACCTTGGTATTGTGGGCATTGATAGACTTGCTGAATGCTTACCATTCAGTGTGTCGTATGCTCTTTTCCCACCTCAGTGTTATAAAAAAATATGTTTACTTCACATTGAGTTCCTTATGGGGTAGACAGCGACAACAAATAAAATCAAATTACCAAACAACAATATACTAATCTGTTTTTATCATAAGAAGGGCGGTTCCTTCTTAAAAACACCTATGCCTATATGCCAGATCATGACCACTCCAAAAATGCCGTATACCTTACTCCAAGATCCAAACTAAGTTTTCAGCTATGCACAGAGACATGTGTGAGAATACTTATGTGCCTTTTTTAAGAGACAAGTTCACCCTGGAAAATAATATTAAATACGCGAATAGTTTCAATAGAACTTAAAGCAAGTTTACAGAAATTAATTTGGCCCGAATATGTCTGCTGATGTCCAATAGCAGTACAAATCAAAAATCGATTAATTGATTAGTTTCTATTTGTTACTAACTCCATTTGGTCTTATTAGTAATAACTACAAACTTGCTTATATTTTTATTCAGTTCTGTTGTTAATTGTAAATGTTATAGGTACCTTAATTACTCTCGCCTCACCAAAATCATGTTTTGTTTTTCGCAGGTGTCGTATTCATCGCCATCGACAGCAAGGACAATTCCAAAGTAGCTATCAAAGACATAGACTTGACCAAACAATCCAAAAAGGAACTGATACTCAATGAAATTAATGTGTTGAAAGACTTCAACCACAAGAATTTGGTGAATTTCCTCGACGCCTTCCTGAGTTTTGACCATCTCTGGGTAGCCATGGAACTACTTGATGGAGGCTCTCTCACTGACGTTGTCACAGAAGTGATCATGAAGGAAGGACAAATAGCGGCTGTATGCCGCGAGACGCTTCAAGCCATATCCTTTCTGCATTCCAAAGGAACCATACACAGGGATATAAAGTCGGACAACGTCCTGCTCGGCATGGATGGCTCTGTCAAAGTAACTGATTTTGGGTTTTGCGCCAATATAGTTGGTGATGAAAAGAGGCAGACAATGGTCGGCACGCCATATTGGATGGCCCCAGAGGTGGTAACAAGGAAGCAATACGGAAAGAAGGTAGACATATGGTCTTTAGGCATCATGGCCATAGAAATGATAGAAGGTGAACCACCGTACATGAAGGAGACTCCCCTCAGAGCGTTGTACCTGATAGCGGCGTTGGGTCGACCCAAAATACCGAGGTGGGAGAATCTGTCCCCCAATTTTCAAGACTTCTTGGACAAGTGCCTGCAAGTGGATGTGGACTTGAGGGCGACGGCGGACGAGCTTCTGGCCCATCCGTTCCTAGAATGCGCCATGGAATTGAAGACACTGACGCCGCTCATCAAAGCGGCTCAGAAAATACTTCACAAGAATTATGACTGAGTATAGACTCTTCCATTCCTGTTTTAACCAATTTTGTAGCAGTTTGCAATTTTGTTTATATCTAATGATAAGCGAATGTTCAGGTGCCAATTTTATACGAATAGATAGATTGTGATGGTATTTTCGCCAAAAAATATGTAAAACATAACAATAAGTGGTTGATAATAGACTGTGGATACAGAATAATAAAATTGTTGGATATATAATTAATAATTCTCATATAAGAACTCATGGTCAACGATTTGAGAAATTTCAATAATAAAAAAAAAAAAAAACAAGACAATATTTTTAGCAATATGTGGACAATTGACGTTAAAACAATGCGTACGATTTTTTTTTTCTTATATATTTATAATTGTTTATTTCACAAAACAGTATGGTCGTGACAAGCTTTTGTCTTATCAACACGCCATAAAGATTAAATAACTTATCTATTTCTGATATAGATAGATATTCAACATCACGCTAATACATACGACAACTTCAATTATGACCTGTAAGACTAAACATGACTATGTCATTTATATGTACAATATACTGCCATAATCTCCCTAATTATTGGGTAGAAATATTAATTAAGTAATTGGAAACTTGAATTTTTGTGACTTAAAAAAAATCTGTCCATTATTTTTGTAAAAAATTAGCAGGCGCTTTTAAAACATTACTTCGTTTATACAATATATTTAAAAAAAAATATTAGTATTATAACTGAGTAAACTATATTACTTTATGACTATACATATGAATTCCTTTACAACTAAATATGTTTCGGTATAAATTCTAGAAAGTTCGACAAGTATTTACTTTCTTTATCTTGAACTATGAAACCTGTTATTTAGCACACATATTGAACGTCGGTGAATGTATTTGATTATTTTACCAAAAATGTACATAATTAAATTTTAACTAGTCTTAATTATTCATCGATGTCAATGTATCTATCTACTGGCGATGCAAATTTTCTAATCATGCATATATCCTATCACATCTACAAATAGCTATCATACATAGCAATCTTTGATATAAATCACATTCCTTGATATCACGAAACAGAAATGGTGTTAAGAATATTTTGATACTACAAGCTTTTATACATTTAAATAGATACGGTAAGATTATTATTATAAGACTGTATGTAACTAATTGTATTATTGAAGGGGTATTAAAAATTATACTCGACAGCCTACGAGAGTCCATAGGAACCATTATTAGTTTGCCCTATGCAAATACTTCAATATTTTCAAAGTACATAATTTTGTTTTGAACAAAACATATATATATATATATATATATATATATATATATATATATATATATATAGTTTTGTATTAGTATGTAAATAAGAAATTTACAAAACCTAAATTGCACGCACGCAGTTTTTTTTTATTTATTTTAATTAATATTTTAGGCAATGTATTAATGACTTACGATTATCAGTCTAGCGTTCGAAATACGAAACTGGTTTTCCAACTACCGAGCAATCAAATCATAACGCTCTAGAGACATCAAGTAAATATGATAAGAGAAAACAACGTAATGTCACGTGTTTAGAAATATAAAACTACACAATAGGCAGATTGAGACTGCGAAGACGCAGGACTACTGCCCTGATAGTGTTGTATTTGCAAACGACACATAGCGGCAAAACACTCGAATTGGTATAAGCAAGGTCGCGATTCTATCGTTATCCTACTGTTGTATGCAAACAGCTTCAATCACCTATATGAAGCATTATTCAAATAATATAACACGTCTGATGAATTTACGTCATTCCTATATGGTAATATGTGTTATCTTCGACATGTGATATTGGTAGAAGTTTTGTATAAATTAAATACTGGGATCGATTCTGAGAATATGTACAAAAATTTTATGTAAAGTACTTTTAACTCAATACTATTATAAGTTTATTTTTTCTAATGTATAGAATAATAAATTCGATGTTGATATTGTTATTTTTAGAGATCGAACATAGTGCTTCAGAATCGACTTCGCCGTAGGTATACCTATTAATACCGTGAACGCTGACATGTGTACGTTGTTTTAGCCAAAAAGAAGATACCGATGAAGTTTTATAAGAGGCATATCTCTTCGAGATTGGCAACGCTTAAATAGTATGAGTAGCACAATATATAATTTCCATAACATTCTTAATGGTTAAACACCACGTCGTATAGCGTTAAAGAAAAAAACAGTAAATCCTGCGTCGTGCATCATCTATACCATTAAATTTATCTATAAGGGGTGGGAATTAAATACAGTACCTAGTATTTTTCATAAAATATAGAATGCTAGTTAATATTTAAGTTTTATTTGGGCATTTATTGAATATTCTCCACCGCGAGTGCCTGTGCTTGGTGAAGCGATTTATAGATATATCTAGTTTATAATTTGCAAACGCAACGAAAAATAATGTAAATGTATTGAATATTTGCTATTCTGCTATATCTAGTTGGTAAGTTTATATACAACAATGACACTTTTTGATCATTTTATTATTATAGATTTGCCTATTATTAAATTATTTTTGTAAACTTTAATGCATTTGTTTTAATTCGTAATAGTAAATAGTAATACCTGCAGGGTTAGTAAAAGGGGTTCAATAACAATACTACCTATTTTAAATCCAGTGATAGTACGAAAATGAATAGTCCTAAGAACAAGGATCTTTGGAACAGTAAATGAGTCAGGAAATGTGACAAGTATTCAAAATCAATTGATAGCACCGATTTTTATTAACATTTTAGTAATAGATAACATTTCGAAGTGCTTCATCCCTCTTTATCCTCATTCCTAGTCAAACATTAAATGCTTTTTAAAGGTACATGAGAGTAAAGCCGCGGCTTATAACTAGTATGGTTTTTTGTTTTCATAAGATAGTCCTTCACATGAATACAATATCTGTACGTTCTATAACAACCCAGCTTTACAAAAAAATATTACAAGTTTTCTTTCTAATACTAAAAGGTATAAAGCCCTCTGGAGCGATGTCACGTCCGCTTATCCGTCTCGCTTACATCATAGAAATGAAATGGTGACTATTGAATATTGTATCAACATATCAAGTGTTATGTCTACTGTGCAACATAGGGAAGGCCCATAAACTGCCATAAGGAAAGATTCTGAGCCACCTGCATCCACCGACTCCCTGCAATTGTATCTTATTCAATGTCTAGTGAGTTGGCGGTTCATTTAATGGTAGTGTGTTCGAATCTGGACATAATCAAAAACTTTAAATATTTGTTAAAAAAAACCGGCGAAATCTCCAGTGATAATAAAGATGTTTTCTCTTTTACATACACATTTGTTTAAAAAAGGAAATAAACAAATTAAACAATATAAAACATAAATAAATATATTTCATAACATTAAATTCTCTAGGGTAGTCATAATTAATTTGGGGTAGAGAGAAACAATGTAATATAAATTCTTAAAAACAAACAGATCTCTGGCCTCCTCCATACTCTTTAATTTTTCGTGCACATTCACTGAAGAAAGGTTTTAGCATGTTACCCATTATTTTATTCAGTAAACTCAATTTTAATTCCAAGAATCTATTAAATATCTCTTTTCTTTTTGCATATCACTTAGAATCTTCTCTGCTTCTTCTGCAGATTTGTTATCATGTTTCATAATACATTTTTTTATAGTATCTTTTACTTGTGTCCCCATATTTTTTAAATCTCCACAAACAAATATTGAGGCTCCATCTTTTATCAATTTTATTATATCTTCTCCATTTTCTATCAATATATCCTGTAAAGAAAAACATAAATTTGATTGTAAAATAATTACTATTTCATAAATTAATAATATATTTTAGTTTCATTAATAATCAAATAAGTAACAATAAATAACCTATGAATAAAATATACTAATTTGTGAATATTATTGTAATTAATAACCTATTAACATTCCATAACTAGATATGGACATATGCCTCCCCATAAAACACTTCAAACTTACCTGAATATATTTGGAGCCACAGTCTTTAACTCTTGAAAATGCAGTACTCAATTTATTTAAACTGCCATTTTCTTGAAAAGTTTTCAATTCTTGCTCATAAATAAAGTCTAATGATGGATTTCTACATCCAAAAAACAACCATGCAAAACCCATGTTTGTTTGGGAATATTTTTCTTTAATGTACTGTCTCTCTTCTAAAAATCCCATGTATGGCGATATTCCAGTACCAGGTCCAATCATTAAAAGTGGTGTTTCATTATTTATAGGTAAAGAAAACCCTGACAAATTCTTCCTCAGATAAATAGGTACTTTGTTATTGATATTGTCATTAATACTTAAATTCTCCATTTGATTTTCAATGTTAGAATTTCTCAAAATCATTTCTTCTAGCCATCCAGTTGTAAGGCCTTTCCTATTTTTATTCAAAGTGATCACTGAAAAACAAATTTTCAGTGTATTTCTATCTTTTATATTTGTATTTATTATTGAATATGGTCTAGGCAGTAATCTAGGTAGATGTGATAAAAGAACTTCAATAGGCGGTTTACAAGATTTAAACATGGCAAATATATCAAGAATACATACACCATGATTCAAAATGTGTGTATTATATGCAACAGAGCCTTCTTTACTGCACATATATTCCAATACCCTTCTCTCATTCTCATCTTTTGTATAACTAGATAAAGCAAAGAGAAACAGCTGAAACAAAAACATCACAATATAATCTTCAAATTCAAATATATTACAATATTAGTAACTAGATCAAATAACATTGAATCATAAATATTAAAAGATTTATAAATAAAATGTGCTTAAATATTTTTTCCCTAGTATAAATAAGTAGAAAAAATTATATTACAAACCCTATCTGCTCATTAGGCATGGACAATATGGATACCGATCTGATATCTATATAATGAGTACTTCTGGACATTGATGGTGGAAAAAAGGTCATCACCCATTTTGTTATCGCCAATATAGGTCACAGATTTATTTTCAAATATATCAACTCTCTTATTTAATATTATTTTTTGGATAACAGACTTTTAACATATTAATTACTAAACTAATATATAGATATTGTAATTAATATATATATATATATATATATATATATATATATATATATATATATATATATATATATATATATATATTACCCACCCCTACTACTCATAAACTGCTATTCTACTCATACAATATTTTGAAATATTATTAAAAAGATTTATTAATCTTAAGCTGTACTTAAATAAGTACCTTTTTCACAACACTCCTAAGATCAACACAATATTCTAATACATGCTTTAATGTAGACTTAACAGGAATATTTGCAGGTATCTTGACTCCTTTTTGATTAACAATGCATGATAATTTATATGGCACATTCAGTTGTGTGCTTAAATTCAAACGGTCTGTTATTAGGTTGATATCCTCGCTGGTATTATGTGGAATTATACCTATTGTATCGCCAGGTCTAAAATTAAAATTGCTTCCCTGAAAAAATAGCAAATTTATCTATGATTATTCTCTCTATAAAAAAAATATGAAACTTAAGAATAGCAAAAAATACCTGACGAAAACTGAACTTTTGTAGCCAAGCGCTATAGATATCGCAGAATATATGGTAACATCTATGGTCTTGAGGACTAAAATGTTATACCATACCACTGTAATTTCACTGCCATATCCCACTCTTCAAACATAAACACAGCTATATCACATTCTATTGTAGGACTTACTATAAATTTATTCATAAGCATGTCCTAACCTATAGTTAAAAGTACTAAAATATCTGAAAAATTTCTCTCTTGTTTAACAAGCAATAATAGCATAAATGTTACATTTTTTACTAGGACATGAATGCTGTCTACCTAGTTTTAATTAATAATATAAAATGTATACTATTAATATCAAACTATACTTTACAATTACCGCTATATCAAAAGTAATTTCGTAGACAGCCTTGCAACCATCGTCGATTGCTGTGAGTCGCCTATGGTCACAAATGTTGGCATAGAACACATCACTAGCAGCAAAAGGTAATGATGACTCCTGCGCTCTGAAGACTGTGGAAAGCGTTGTAACATTCTAAAATATTATATAACGAATTATTAAATAATTTAACAAACGTATCTCTCTGAAATGTATTTAATAAAACAAAATCTATAAAGTTTCACTTACATCGAGGTTTTCGTATTCGAGTTTTAGGTTATTTTCTTTGTGTGTTGGTAAAGTAAACATGGAAACCTTAGAAGATTCCTCAAAAATATCTTGAAAATTGTATATGACAACCATTTTCACTAATATATTATTCAATAATTATTTAAAAAAAAATAAGTAGGAGAAAACATTTAAGATAACTGAAAGAACGTGAATTTGACGTTATCTGTACAGATTAGAGTCTAGGTTATCTAGTAGGATTAACTAATTGTCAACGTCTCGGTCATTTTGATCATACTGGTACTAGCCTTAATCTATGATCGTAAGAAAATAGAATTATTATCGTAGATAGAGTAACTATTTATGTAATAAATAAATAAAATATTTTCTTTTATACAGTTCATTAATTTATGTTACAACTATTTTACACAACAATTTTATAAAGCAAAACGTATCATATCAAAAATAAGTTTAGTTAAAATTATTATTTATATGGATTATAATATAGATAACACATATTAGGATCAAAATTAAACTTTTCTTAAAAAAAAATTTGGGAAAATAAAATTCTTAATAATATTTTTCCTGATTAATATATGTCATTGAATGCAGACCAAGTGTAGACTACCAAAGAGATAAAGTTTGTTTCGAAAAATATTTTGTTTTACCAATAGTGTATCACTTCGTTATAATATTACATAAATGCATACCTATTAAATTTGATGTTTACCGGTTAACATTATGAAAATTGAATAAATAAAAAATTATAATGTCAAATATTTATTGCGATTCTAATTCGAATTAGAAATGGTGATAAAATACACAATTTAAATTAGATAATAGTATTAATTAAAAACGTACGGTAGTTATAACACTATAATATAAATATATATGGTAGATTCTTCTTTATTCGTCGTTTTGAATAACTGAAAACAAGTAACAACAATAATTATGATGAGCGGGTCTACCATGAAATGAAGTTCCGAAATTTCGGACTCAATTTCGTGTTTTTGTTTATACCAAAATCGGACCAATAAATGTAATTTAACATTTCGTTCGTCATACATCCTATAATAAAAGTCCAAGGGAACAATATTTTAACATTTTTAATATTTCCAAACGGCATGTATTATGTAATTTTAACATCAAATTTATGTTTCGTTTGGCTTCAAAATTTCGGAAAACATTTCATGGTAGGCCCTCAGTAGTCCCAATAAAAGTATGCTACTAAAATTGCTCCAAATATGCATACCATCTATTTGAACTCCAACATCATCGGTATATCCCTCCATGCATTCAGCGCAAATTGTTGTCTCACATGGATCTTCTGTAGAAGTTGGGAATGCAGGTGTCATTTCCACTGGTGGTGGCTAGAACAATTTTGTTAATTAACAGTTTTGTTATTTTAATAATAAATGTAATCTGAAGACCCATATCCGGAAATAATTTTGAAGAGTACTTTCACTGATCATGCAAGTATATAAACCTAGCACAGAGTAGTCTAAATATTTCTCTTCAATATTATAAATATCTATTGTCAAAAAACAACAACTATTATATATCTTTAGCTTAGTTTAATACTCTTTAAAACAAAATTTCTGATTATTTTTACCTAATAACAATCATACTGCATGTAATAATAAGTTAATCTAGATCGTTTTCTAAATTGACCCAACCGAGACTCGAACCTGAAACCTCTTTATGCAAAGCAATATTCTTACCGCTGCGGTAAAGAGCTCTCTTAATTTTATATAATTTTTGTATGCAACTTAGAATGGCAAACAAGCTGACGACCCACCTGATAAAAAGCTGTAATCGTCGTCTATAGACATGAACAGTACCATGGACATAACATTCCTATTAATAATACAATAATACAACTTGGCACTCGGTTCTCTCTGCCTACCCCGCAAGAAACTTGACGTAAAGTTAAATATTAAAATACAATTAAAGATTTTATCATAGTATTACCTCTAAACGATAAAAATAGGACAAATGACAAGGATCCCAGGATGTACAAATTGTAGCATTATGAATCATATCTTTCCGAGGTTCATCACCAAAATAATCAAATGTGATCACAATATTGTTGTCGATCGCACAATCACTCAGAAAATCATCTAATGATACCTGTAAATTCAACACGATATGGGTAATTAAATGTTTCAAGGGCCAAACTAGTAGAATCCACTTTCCCAAAGAAATCTTATCGCATTTTTTTTTGATGGGTGAATTTGAATTTGAAGGTGGTTTTTTTTTAATGGTATAGTAACCCCGCCTGCGCTAACGGGATACGCTGGCGGAGCACCAGTGAAGGGTGATAGATGAGAATGAAAACAGGCCAGTTAGCCCATCATGATGAATTCATCAGGAATTAACCATGATAGTTTTCAAGTAGAACCGCGAGGAGGTCGACCTGGTTAGGTATATTGCTAGCAATAGGATTCTCAGTATCCATTACTAACAATCCCTTTCCCTCCCTTAACACATATTTGCCATGGTCAACATTTCAAAGGGCTATGGTAACCATGAATTTTGAGTAAAATAAGATACGACATATAGATGTTTGAATCATTTATAGGCATCTCTTTTTTGAATTGAAATTAAAGGCCGGCAACACATTTGCAATATCTCTGGTGTTGCGGGTGATCATGGGCGACGGTGGTCCTTACCATCATAAGCCGCATGCTTGTTTGCCCTGTGTGTTATAAAAAAAATACCAACCTTAATTTTGTTACCACAATCCAGCGTACCATTCTGAAAATAATTATTTTCTCTATCACCATTACCAAGGCAGAACATCCAGCCTTCGTGAAAGGAATACTCTATTGGTGCCATTTCAGCCTCTATACAAGGATCTACTGGAACTGGTATTGATTGCCTTCCAAAGGTACACTTTCGTTCATGCATATTGGCCTGTACTCTGTACGCATCCATATCTGGTTCCGAGTTCTCTGGACATTTGTAATAATTACCTGAAATTATAAATCATGACACGTGTGCGAGTTTACCAAAATCTTTCGTTCCTTCACGCCGTGTCTCTTTATTACTTACTGATATCGCTCATTTAATGTACAAATATATGTTGTGTATACATAAAATTCTGTACTAATAGGTTATCCTCTCCACAGTAAATGCAAATTAGTCAAATACCACGACGAGGGGGGAAAGGGATTGTTAGTAATGGAGACTGAGAATCCCATTGCTAGCAATATACCCAACCAGGTCGATCTCCTCGCGGTTCCCCCTGGAAACTATCATGGTTAATTCCTGATGAATTCATCATGATGGGCTAACTGATCTGTTTTCATTCTCATCTATCACCCTTCACTGGTGCTCCGCCTGCGTATCCCGTTAGCGCAGGCGGGGCTACCATACCATTTTCACCCATCAAAAAAAAAATACCACGACGAATGTACTCCATAAACAAAGAACGTTGAAACAGAAATCTGATACTTTAAAAGCACATTAATATAAACGCAATTTAACAATTTTTTTTGCATTTCTATTCGAAGTCTACGCAGCATTAAAATCATATAAAGCAACTAGCATTATTATATTGTAAATGGATTAAATTATATGAGATACAGATATGATGATGATGATGATGATTAAATTAATGGTTGGATTTACAGTGATTCTTACCATTTTGTATTATATAAATGGTTTTCTTGCGTGAACTAATAACAGTTCTCACCGTTAAACCATTGCCGCCACTTTTTATATTCTCCATAAGAACTTCTTGAGCTGCACGTTGCTCCCTTGACCATTTTGCAGCTTCCTCAGCTATAATTTGGCGACTTACTTTGCCAGGCGATTGGGTAGACTGCAAATATAGTGAACAAAAATTGAGACTGTACTATTTGTTAGTATTAATATATGCTATGTTCACCTATATGTTTGTTACAATTATTTATTTATTTGTTTTTTAAAATACAGGAGGCAAACGAGCATGCGGCTCACCTGATGGTAAGTGACAACCGCCGCGCATGATCACTCACATCAGAGGCATAGCAGGTGTGCTACCAGATTTTTAAAAGGACTACCCTCTTTTCCTGAAGGTTATGACATCGTATCGATTCAGAAATACTGCTACTAGAAGTTGATTCCAAAGGACTTAGTTCTAAACTCCATGACTGTATAAATACTTGCACTATCTTGTGAATACAATTGTTGATAGACCTAAATAAATAAATTTATATAATACTAAATAATACTTCAAATAGACACCTGTGGTGGATTTTCCATAATAACGTGAGGACGCCCAAGGGTATGCTGCCATATTAACTGTGCTGCCACTTTATGCTTAGAACTATGATGGAGAGGTTGAATCTGCAGAATGCCGTACCAAGCTAGTTCTCTGTAAACACTGTCCGGAAGGTAGCCAGTCTAGAATTTAAATTAAAAAACAAATTATACTTTCTTTCAATTTAGCTTGATATTTTTTAATTATGTGTGCTTTGGAACTTTTTAAATAACGATGAATTCAAAAGTTCCAAAGCACACATAATAAAAAATATCAAGATTCAGTCATTAGTGCGTTAATATAAAATTTCACAACGATACGATGACATATAATTTGATACTTTGAATCTGTTTGCATACTTCTACTGCATTAGTCACCATATAATAAGACACCCCCTTTAGTATTTTGTTTACGTTATAATCTAGTAGCGCCATCTATGCTTAACTGTAGGGTTCTCTACGGTTTTCGATGTTGAATACTAATAAATCCCTCCTCTCTTACTATATTCCTCAATTAGTGAGGCTTGGGCCCAGTGGCCCGGGGGTAGTCGCCCCCGGAATATAAGCTGGGGCAACCCTTTGCCCCTCGAGGCCTCATCTAACCCTCCCAGAATGGTTTAGAAGACCTTTCGTCGTTTGTTGAGTACTGAAAAAAAATTCTATAGCTACCTCCATTATTGATTATATTTTTGATTTTTTATTATTTTAATGAAAAATTGTTAGTTACGTAAATTATGTTAGTCCAATGGTAAGCTAATGGTGTTACTATAAAAGCATTTTAAATTAATAATTTCAACAAATGTTCTAAACTTTAAAATAATAATCTGTTACTACTCACAGGCATAAAATCCATATGCCACTGTAATTAAAAAAAATATAATATTTAGCAACAAATTATGTACACGTAATTAGTATTATTAATGCATTATATGATGATATCAGCCACTAACTGTCCGCTGTTGCGCAAACGCCTCCATCTTAAGGGGTTCTGCTAGTAATTGCCACGCTTTGCAGGCTAGTTGACAACTGCAGTTAGGCTTTAGTGATATTTTAACGACGTTGCTGCCCATTACTCGGCTATTAAGTTCCCTTAGTTGCCTCTTTAGACACTCACGTGAAAGAAAGACTTGGCCTATTCTATGCCAGGACCACACGACCATTGTGCAAGGCATTATAAGCTATATTTTATTAAAATGTTCGTATTTAAAAAATATTTAAATTGTATACCTCTTCTTCTGAAGGTTCTGTTGTTCCGAATTCTAAAAAAAAGAACGAATAGAATTATTAATTTTAAATGGGCAACTTTCGGAAAATATTAGCGATATAAGTTCATCGTATTGCTATGTAGGTACTTATATATTAGATATTTATATATTTTGCCTACATCTATTTGTTTAAAATTTTTAGCCTTATCTTAGAATATAAATAGGTCTCACTAATAAAACTTTAAAAATATAATAAAATAATTACTCATTTAACGAGTCTCAACTAATCCAATTTCTTTGGGTCAAACTTTTTATTAAAAATTTTAAGGGACTTAAAAAGTATAGTTTTCAATAGGTAATAGAGACAACAAACCTTCATCATTCATTTGCATATCATTTTGTGCAAATATTAGCTAGAATACAAAATAATTCAGTTAGTACGAAACAAATAAAAAGTAGATAATCCATTTTTTTTTATTTTTTTTTTATACGTTACTTTTACGCGTTACTTTGTACGCGTAAATTTCAAATGCAGGAAAACCAATGAAATAAATAGTATATCAAAGTAAAATACACGAAATTTTAAATTAGGAATATAACCGCATCTAATTTCAAACAATAAAGCCGTTAATACAATCTATAGGCGACGACTACCACTTTCCATAAGTTGGGCTGTCAGCTTGTTTGCCATTGCCAAATTGCATTAAAAATGTAAAATATCATGAAAAGTAATAAAAATATTTTGAAGACTAGGCAGCATGGTCTCCGACCTTAGCCTGTTCCAAACGGAACAAACGTACTAAAAAAAAAAAAGTAATAAAAATACTTGATATTAACAAATTTGTATGCCCTACAGGCTAAACATGTCGAACGTTATTATATTGTCAACATCTGCATGTATTTATACGCATGTTTTACAAATAAATAAATCTTGAATCTTGCAATAATATGCATCAGTATAAAGTATTATATGTTCTAATTATATCTATAGTTATTAAGTGGCCATTTTATTAGTTATTATACAACTTTATTTTTACCAACATAGGAAAAGTTAAGTACCTATATCTATTTACCTGACAAATAATTGTGTAATAAATTAAATTTATATAAATATAATCCATTTTTACTAAGAAGTATACATCTCAATAAAGGCACTGTAACACTACAGTTGCCGTATACAAAATAATTAATTACGATCGTTAACAGGTAAATGCAATTAAACTTTTATCGGAAGTGGTGTGTACAATTTTAAAACGATAAAATATAGTTTTTCTTTAATTACCTTGTACTAACTGTAATATTTTCTGTATAACTATTAGCGTAATCCTTACTAATATGATAAATGTGTAAGTGAGTTTGTTTATTAATTTATTTTTTTAATTTTGGGCGCCTTAATGACTTAACCATTCTACCATAAAATTTGATTAATGCATACTAGATTGGATGGTATTTTCATCTTTTTATGAAAGTGAATAATGAATACACAAGATTACAAAATAAAAAGGTCAAACCAAACCAAAGTAGAAAAGGTAACAATAACATGCGATCATAGATTAAGGCACTTAATCACATGGCAGATACTATTACGTGCCTTGCCATGTAATTTTTTGTTCTGAAATTAATTCCCAAAAAAATTTTAAATTTTAAGAAATTTGTTTTAATACCATATTTTTAACATTAATTCATTATTAATTCTCAAGATTATAAGGCAAATTAGGCGGAGCAGTCGTCTCTACCAATAAGCGCCAGCCTTGATAACCAATATATTTTTAAAATAAAAGACAAAAATCTTATATTAAATGACAAAAATTTAATAAATATTAAAATATCCATTTCGTTATCTTTGAGCCATCTACGAAGCATTACCTCTGCACGTCTATTTTGTGATAGGCTCTGTATCAAAATGTTTGCTGTCAGCTGTCAAAGTCTCTAACTATCAATCAAATCTAATCTGCATTTAACAATGAACTCTGTTTTTGGGTGTAACGAATTTCACAAATAATTCTTAAAAAGCAAAAATAAAGTGTAATATAAGAAGACAGTGATGATGAACACATTAGATAAGCAGTTAACCGATCTAAGGATCTATGCGAACGAATTGGACTCGAAATTACAGGATGATATAAACGCGGCGAAAAGGAAACCGTCCATACCTCCGAAGAAAAACAAAGCTCCGCTACCACAAATACCTCAAAGTTATACTGTGAAGTCGGCTTGCGAGCCATCGTACTCTTCCAGGCTCGAGTACGGCAGTCGAGCGAGTTCCACATACTCTAATTTGATACCAGTGAAGAGTTGTATTGTTAGAAATACGGCCCGAGCTAAAAGTGGTGATGTGCTTTTGTACAGTAATCTACTTCCTCCAGGAGGTACTAATCACGTTTACTCCAATATTTCACAAAGAAATATAGCTGAAAGCATCTATGGAGATAGAGATGCAAGATCAGAAGTGTCTAGAATTAGTGATTTGGGCGTGCAATCGAATTACAGTGAATTAAGACGCCCAGGTTCAGCATATCCACCGTCATCGGCATCAGTTAATGCACAGGATTTCTCTACATATGGAGGGTCGCAAACATCTTCAACATATGAATCACTGTATGAGCCTATAAACCCCAGACCATGTAGCCAATTGTCTGGAACGTCACTGTATGCTGGTTATGTTGGTACAACTGCTGAGCCAACACCGGAGCCTGATGAAGAGTTATACTGTGGGAATTGTTTTAGATGTGGTGAAAAGATTATGGGTGAAACAACAGGATGCACTGCTATGGACAGAATTTACCACATTAAATGCTTTTGCTGTCAACATTGTGGAATAAATTTACAGGTATGTATTACTTTATTCTCTTTAGTTTTGGAAAAGAGAAGAACAGAAGAGGACTTTAAAACTTTCAACTATGTTTAGACACAATTCTATTTGAACTAATTTTTATATTTTAGGAGTGCTTTATTTATTTATAATAACTTGTATGACTTGTTAGCCTGTAATCTAATTTACCTTAACCTTAATCTAATTTACATGAGAAATATTATAGTACTGTTGGTGTTTATAGCCTATAACTTATAGGTGACGGTTACCACTTTCCAACAGGTGATCCGCTTGTTTGCCATTCTAAATTACATAAAAGAATTATACCTAACCATTCAGCATGAACCATTAGAGTTTTTTTAAAATGGATGATAATGGAATGGTAACCCCACCTGCACTAACGGTATATGCTGGTAGGGCACCAGTGAAAGATGATAGGTAAGAACGAAAAGGCAGGTCAGTTAGCTCACCGTGATGAATAAACCTGGAATTCAGCATGATGGTTTTCAGGAGGGACCATGTAGAGGTCGACCTGGTTGGGTATATTGCTAACAATGGGGCCCTTAGTCTCCATCATTAACAATAACAAATTCCTCCCCCCCTAGAGGGTTAGATGTCATGATATTCCTTCTTGTGCTATAGGTTTCCACTGTCTTACCTACTTACCTGTCCTATCTTACCTCCCTAGTATCACACTAGGGAGGTAAGATAGGTGAAGATTGACCCCTTGTGGCAAATTAACCAAGATATAACTACTAAAGTGGCTTCCAGGGTAAACCCCATGGAAAATAACATGGTAGGCTATATTGTTAGTAATATAGTCACTAAACTCTGTTACTAGTAATCCTTTCTTCCCCCTATGCTGGATGGGTTATAGAGGAAATCAGTTGACTTATTGTAACAAATTCATTAAGAATTTATCATGACTGTTTCCTGAGGAAAAAGCTTGCAGATCAACTTGATAGGATATTATGTCTAGCAATGGAGCAGCTATTTCAATATTACAAACAATCCCCTATTTTCATAACTGCCCTTTTTTTACATTGAGGGGAAATGCTTAATGCAGACCTACATACCTCAGGGGAGACATGTGTGTACTGCCGGACTTCTACCGGCTAAAACCCCCCCGTTTTCCTTACTTGCGCCAATGTCGGGGCAACGGGGCACGACAGCAGTCTGCCGCGACCCCGATTCCATAACTGCCCTAGAATTAAAGTTATCAGGACTTAACTGTTAAGATTTTATTTTTCATTCTTCCAGGGCCGTCCTTTTTACGCAGTGCAAGGGCGTGCCCTTTGCGAACGCGACTACCTCGACACACTGGAGAAATGCTGTGTCTGTGGTGATCCGATCCTGGACCGTATTCTCCGAGCGACCGGCAAACCGTATCACCCGCGATGTTTCACGTGCGTCGTATGTCAGAAGAGCCTCGATGGTATCCCATTCACAGTAGATGCTGTTAACCGTATACACTGCATTGAGGACTTTCATAAGAGGTAAGAGGTAACCCTAAATTTGACTTTTAATTTGAATTAGTGGTATGAAATTTAATTCGCCTTGCAGGCCCCAGCATAGAATAGACCACCCCTTTCTCTCCCGTGGGCGTCCTATGAGGTGACTAAGGGAGTTTATGGAGGAGGGATGGGCAGCAGCGTCCCTCTTAAACATCTGTAACAGCTTAACTGTGGTCGTCAACCCGCGTGCCAAGCGTGGCAATTACTGGCAAAAAACCCCTTATGGGGAAGGCTTATGTTCAGCAGTGAACAGTTAATGGCTGAAATAATAATATAAATGAAAATAAATAGTAACACTAGCGGAATATCAATAAGAAAGAGAGATTTTCTACATTTTATTACAACTAATTTAATCTGTGATTTCGCCCGCGTAATCAAATATTTTTATTATCTAGGATAAAATATTGCCTATCCTTTTCTATCCCAAATACTATATACATATAAAATTTAATGACGATTAGTTAAATTGTTAAAGCGTTAAGAAATAACAACAGGCTAATTTCACATTTATAATGACAATGCAATAAAATATATAAAAAGTGTATATAAAATAGTAATCTACATATATATATAATAATCTATATATATATATATATATATATATATATATATATATATATATATTGTAGTTACAATATCTATACATATATTGACCCAATAACAGATATATTAACTATCGATTTATCAAATATAGAATATCAAAAAGAAGAATTCGCCGTAATGAATGTAGATATTCAATATCGCAATGGCTAGCCATCAATATCTAGAACCCAATATATACTCATACAATATATACTCATTTTTATAAGTATTATCTTTTGAATTCCAATAGATACGCGCCGCGATGTGCCCGTTGCCGCGAGCCGATAGTCCCGGAGGGCGGCGCCGAGGAGACAGTTCGCATCGTCGCACTGGACAAGAGTTTCCACATCGCGTGCTACGCGTGCGAGGACTGCGGCGCCTCGCTGTGTTCCCGCCAAGAAGGTCGAGGGTGCTATCCACTAGACGACCACTTATATTGCAGGGAATGTAACGCTAGACGTATACAAGATCTGTCTAGGAATATTAATTAATTGTAAACCTCAGTCATTGGTCATCAACTTGAACCACAGTATACCTTTGTGTATAATAAAGGTACTCTTTAAGTAGCAGAAGAAACATTGACAGGGTGACACCGTCAAGAGTAGTATCAATTTTGCCAGTGGAATAATTAAGTAGGGCCTACGACTTCAAGATCGAATCCTAGACTAAGCCACTGATTTTTTAAATTTGATGACGGACAACGAGTTCTTGTGCAAGTTCTCGTGTGCTTATATGCACATTGGACTCCACTAATTGTTGTTAAACGCGCGAAGGTCGAACGTGAGGATCATTTTTAAAATTCTCTATTCCACAACGAAATTATTCGGAACCAATTACTCACTGTCCTTTCAGAAACTGTTTTCTGCCCTAATGTCTCATTTATTTCTTTGCTGTTTCACGTGCACTTACCTTTGAACTCATAAAACATGATACCTCTAATATTTTCGAATCCATCCTAAGAAAGAAAAACTTAAATCACGTCTAACGTCTGAATCCTCTGATGATGTTTTAAATATTAATCAAGTGTCGACGCTTTGATTACAATAACAAAAATGAACAAGTTAAAACGTGTTCGGTAATACCGCGCCCACTGTTTAACATTGTTGCATAATTGACAATTTCATATATACCAACCCAATATTATAATATCAGGCTGCAGAGGGTATTTGAAGTCATACAATAAACCATGTTAGAGGTCTAAAAACTTATAGCAGAGTGTACCTTACTTCTGGACACGGGTTTTCCTCTATAAGAGAATATTAGGCTAATTACAACATTGGCCAGATAGTTTGGTAGTTTCTAGTTTTCCTTCTCGTAGTAGATTCTTGCACTATCCTGGATGGATAGTTATGATTTGTTGTAATTTAACTCCTTTGTCATAGTACAGGGCGCCACTCTCGTTCAGTTTTTATTAAGATAGTCAACAGAGTGGCATGGCTTAGTAGAAAATAGTTGTTCTGTACCTACAAAGTACCTTTTGAAATATAAAATTTACATACAAACTTATGTAGGTCTTTGATTCAGACATGATATGTTCAGTTTAGACAAAACTCGACGATGGTAAATACCTTTATGAAATCTAATAATCCATGGAACCACTGTTTGCGGTAGACTTGTCTATATCTAAACTTAGCATAACTATCGCCACCTATCGTGAAGTTGAGTAAAATATTTGGAGAATTACCTGTACATACTCATAGAATTATTCTACCAAATCTGACTTTTAATTGAGTTTGTTGGGTATATAAAATAAATAAATAAAAGCTGTTTTTAATCAATCGATCGCTACATTTCTTGTAGATCTGATAAAGTTATTGGAAATGTGTATAAGTGTATGTACGTTGTTAGTTCCTTAATAATCAAAATGTTATTGTGATTTAATTTTAGCTGTATACATAATATTAATTAATATTTAAAATAGTATTAATACCATTTTATCTATGCTATTATATACTATACATGTATAGTTGTTTCACCATTACCTGACGGTAAGTAAAACGTTAAAGAATTAGCCGATTTGTATAATATTGCCCCCCTAACGAATGTTTCTGTAAACATTTTATATAACCGTGTCAGTAGTCTAAACGTATGGGATTTATTTTAAAAATCTGTTGATATTTTGCCACTTTACACAGTCGTGAATCTAAAAGAAAATTATAAAAAAAATTTACTAATAGACACACTAGCCAATTATTGCATTTTTCTACATATACAAATACTTAATAATAATTAAATGATTATTATTAATTTTTATATAATACTAATTATGATAATTAAATAATATAATCTAATGCATGGTAGTTATCATACATTCCTATATACGCATTTAAATAATTGTAGAACGGCTGTGTAGCACCGATCACTTGACTAGCAATTTATTTTACAGTATTATTCCTTTATAGGATTTCAATGTGATTTATTTTAAGTTTTGTATTGTTCTATGTTATAGTAGATAGGGATGATTCCTGTTAGAATGTGCGTTATTAATAAAAAAAATTGTTTTAATAAATTATTTTTTGGAAAGAGTAATTTAGACACATATATTTAAAGCTGATTAGATACCGAAAATATGAGATAAAAAAAAAAGATGTTAAACTCGTGTCGATATAAAAAAAATACTTAAAATACCATTTTAAAAACACTGACCTTTTGACTAGCAGCGAATGACAAAGAAGTCACCGGATATAGCTGTCTCGTTCTGTCTTATGCTCGCAGCAGCGAAAACGTATCTATCAGTACGTACGTTTTTACTTGTCTAAAATATGCGCTAATACGTGCATTCATTTATTAAACTAGTACCTCTATCATTACAATAAATTCGAGTATTATAAACTGTTGTATGTATTGCTCAAGTGCACATAATGTAATTAAATGGAGAAATCTACCTGTAAACTATTATTTTTTGTATGGTTATGGTTTGTTTACTGCGACAAATTAATTTTCTTTTAATTTATTATTATGAAATCAGTCGTTAACTGTCCACTGCTGAACGTAAGCCTAGAGTTTTGCCAGTAGTTGTTACGCTTGACCGGCGGGTTGGCATCCGCAGTTAGGTTTTAGAGACGCTGCTGTCCATCCCTCGCCCTTTCTTAGTTGCCTCTTACGACATCCACTGGAAAGAAAGCCTATTCTATGCCGAGACCACTCGACGGTAATTCTAATATATAATTATTTTTTTTATACAACTTAGAATGGCAAACAAGCCGACGGCCCACCCGATGGAAAGCGGCAACCGTCGCCCATAGACACGAGCAGTACCATGGACATAACAGAGTACACTGTTTCGCTCATGATACACCCTATGCGTTGCCATTCCTGAGGACTCAGGTGTTATTCTTCTATACCCAGTAAATTCACGAATGGGACAGAGGTACCCAAGTAATCGACTTTTGTACAGTCTCCCTCTGGCAAAAATAATAAAAAATAGTATTCAAAATTTATATTCAAGTTGGCGGTATCTAGTCGCCTATTTATATCTGTGGTCGAAAAATATTGTTTATTTTATTAATTGTAAATGTATTTGAAGCAATTAAGTTCTAGCAGTATTGTTTAACTGCTCAAACCAAAAAGCAATTTCAACATATTAATTGGCATTTTTATTATTCTGTACTTATGTTTTGATGTGTATTTTGAATAGTGCCATGTTTAAACACTTGTTAGTTTTAGTTTAGGTTGTGTCATATTATTGTGCTCATTATAATCATTTTTTTTTACATTTTTTTACACAATTTTAGTATGTAAGATTATATACTATATTAGGTACTTAAATACGATCAATATTTAATGCAAAATAAAAAATTTATAAAAATTGTTCGTTTTTAAATGTGCGTGTAATAATAAAAAAATAATTCCAATATTTTGGAAGATACTCTGAAGATATAATTGTATTATTTTTGTATCCTTGTAATCATTTACAGTCGTCACGTGTAGCCTAATTCAAGCCATATTTCCCTTTTTCTCTCTTTCGATTTTAGCATGGGGAGTGTTCTGAGGAATTGTTTGCATTGATACCTGCTGCTGATTTTCACCACACTAAAACCCGCCACAAACTAAAATGGCGGTCTTCCACCGTGCGTTTTTCAAGGCACTTTCTTTACTTTCTTTGAGTTGGAAGAATTTTGAAATTATATCGGTTAATTAGGGAGTGTAAACGTCATTTTTATATAGGATAGTGATCAAACTTAATTAAATCTAGTTAAAAAGGAATAGCAAAATATATTTTCTTTATACAAAAAAAAAAAAAAAAATCGAACCTACTTAAATCAAATAAAACAAAAGTTGAATCAGAATTTAACTTTTATTTTTTATGTTACAGTTTTGTTTTCTCAAGCACTTGTACTAAGCGCTTGGTTCAAAGGTCACCTTAAAAAACCTATACTACTTACATTAACAAGAAGACTTTGGCTTCTTATAAGAAAAATATTACAATACTTCGATCTTAACGCAACACAAACTATACAAAGTAAATGACTTTATTTGGTTTAAATTATCATATTTATTTTCAATTACAGAAGTCGTTACATTATCTGAATACGTGGCGTTCCAATCTTAAATAAAAATAAAAAAAATACGCCTACAGCAATTTTATAGAAATTCCTGGCATTTTTTCATTATCACTCATCCATTTATTGTTATAAAAAGAATTGTAAGGAGACTTGGCATTGAAACTAAATTAAACATTTCAAAGGTGTGACTAGGTCAATATAAGACATTGTGTTGAGGACAGCTGCTATAATTTCCTTTAAAAGTTATCATACCATGTTCATAACAAAATGTAGTTACGTCGTAATTAGCTGTTAATTTTTGAAAATTAACAGCTAATTACGACGTTGTTTTTGAAAACAAACATTGATTATTAAAAAGCTCTTCGGATAGTGGATTAAAATATTAATAGGGCAATAAGATTGTTGGCAAAAAGGATTTAAAAACTTCAGACAACGCCAAATACGAATTAAGTGTTTTATTTTTCGTGGTATATACATGTTCTATGATCACCGATTTAATCTGTTGTCGGATCACTGTTCTTTAAAATTGACAGACAGTTAATATACTACTACTCTTTGTTATTGACATGATACGAATGTTCTAATATTAGGCGACTAATCAGATATTTTCGTGATAGGTTTCTAACAAAGTCTAAACCCATACACATCATTCATTATAATTTTCACTATTGCTTTTACTGCTCGTATCAAACCACCAAATACTTTATCTAGAAACGCTGAATGTCTGTACATTAAGAAGTGTAACATTAACCCCAATACATACTATTATTTATCGTTACATAACTTGTTGTAGCGTGTGTAATTTGTTCAGTGTTTTGGATAATACGCTTTTTCAATAAAAAAAAAAGCAATAAATTCACAATTTCTGTACAACGTCCAAAGTATGTGGAGTAGTAGGTATAAAATACTCAAATAAAAAAAAAAAAAAAACGCGCCACCATTCGTTTCTTTGTATGTATTGTTTTTGTTTTTGGGTTTTTAATTTTCAACCTATTTAATAATTTAGTTTTACATATCACTTTACAATTCAGTTTTCTTTGATGGTAAAGTACAAAACACATCTGGGTGGACAACGACGACACACAAAGTAAACCTGTCTCTTATATATGTACATATAAATTGTTTTGTCACAAATGATGATAATTAGTAGCATTTAAAAATGCACGAATAGTCCGAACAAATGGGTGGCTTGAAATAATTCTCTCTCATTTCACTAAACCGGTCTAATACTTGGGTGATTGCTACGATGACATGAATTACGGATATTTTATACAACTCTTGTCAGTATCCTCACATTAGAGTCGATCAGGGAAGACAGAAAACTTTAATGCCTAGAATTGTCAAGATATAAATAATTATATGTAACATAATCACCGGTGATGAGGGCATTCATAACTTTTGCTTACAAAAATGTGGTAACAATGGCATTTATCTGTCAATTAAAAAAAAAACTATCATTTTTCAATGTTTCTAACATATAATTCAAAACGTGCTCTGCTAGCGAACTAAAACGTTTATCATAAAATACATTGCATATAAATCTACGAATAATTCAACAAATTAATTAAATAAATGTACCTACTTCATGTTTTACTAAGGAATTTTTCAAATATATTTTTTACGATCATAATCCAAATTCTCAGCGAGAACTTAATAAGTATATTATTGCATGATAAACACTAGCAGAGCACTTTTTAAATAACCAATCACAAAACATTGACAAATGTTCAAATGTATTTGAAAACTGTCAGATAATTGCGACGTTGTCATACTTGGTTATGAATGCTTTTAACGCTATTGTCGAGTTTAAAAATAAACTTATAATTCAACAAAATATTGTTTGGCTTGGAAATTCTATGTGCAAATACTATAATTTCAATTATACCAAGAAAATGTCATGTTGTCCGTACATACAAAAATTGCAAATAAATCTAACACTGATAGTCTAAAAAGAAAATCTGAGAGCATTCAAGGCGAGAGATCAGTTAAGCACTGCCACATTGCTATTATGGATTAATATTTCATAATCGTGGAAAATTTTACATCAATAAATTTGTGTAGCGAATCAATAAATCGATTAATTTTTTACTACACCTTTTCTATAAATATATAAATACTAAATATTTGACTGATCCTCAAGCTACCTTGTATTATGAGAAATTAAACAATTTCTAAAAACATCATAGAATGTATATCGCATCCCATTTACGCCAAGCAAACTCCAGACAGCTATAAAAAGCGATCCAATTAAAAAAGCCTTACCGACTCTAGCGTTGAATGCTCTAAGCAAAAGGTAACGCTGATACTGCACACTAACAAAACAATGCACTTGTTTACAACTTCCTCGTGTATACATTTCCATAACTTTATATTCGATAAATATGATAAATGAATTACTCAAAATTCCAAAACGCTCGCTTATTTCACACTTCTCTAAGTATTCCCTCTTAAAGAGATTCGTATTATCAATTTTAGCCAGTCTATTAGTTTCTATTCAGTGCCCAATAATCTTAAAATAAACCGCTTAGCGGGACCCGGGCATAATAAAATCTAGTAATTGTAAAAATTATCATAAAGCACTAATCTATGCATACTCGAACAAACAATATGCACACCTCAACTTAATAATAAATGTACAAAATACAAAAGCAACAGAAATGAGTTTGTTATCAAAAGAAAATATATATATTTTTAAATTACATTAACATTACACTTATAAATGAATTGATATATTACATAGGAATGTAAGACACTGTGTGTCATTCATATGACGACAAACTGAATGTTCACATTAACTTCATTTGAATATTTTACACATTTATACACAATAATTCATGCTTACACATTAAATTAAATCTAATACATGATAAAGCTTTAAAATTTGGGATTCGAAATAAAAAAAAATACTTGCACAAAGTACAATCCAACATGGCCATAGCATTTCATTAATATTCATTGTCATTAAACCTTACAAAATCTAATTATTTGATAAATTCTTAAACTGAAAAAAAAAATAATGTGACAATTTGAAAGCGAAATATTTTTATGCAACTCCAATGGAGCAAAATAAAAATATTGCAGTGTGTAGAGTAATTGAAAAAACACCCAAAGTATAATAAAAAAAAAAAAATTGTATACAATGAACTTTTGTTGTTATGAAATTTACAATTTCTAAATAATATATATGAAGACCACAGTAATGGGGTTTTAAGAAGTTATAAAATAACTAAAATCTCATCAACAAATACCAAAATTCTAATTGTATCCAACAAATCTTGTTAAAATCTGAATAATTTAGCTTATTAAATTTCTTCAAGCCTTACGTCGCATTAAATAGTAAGGCATACATTGCACTTACTATTCTTTATAGATTATATAAATAGATATAATAACTATCTTGATACTTAGAATGGCAAACAAGCTGATGGGCCACGTGATGGAAAACGAAGATCGTCGCCTATAGACATGAATTGACGAAGGACCGTGGACATTACAGAATATACACATCTCTTACGAACATTCCAGGTTAGAATAGAAATATATTATTCCATTAGACTTGTTTACAAGCTCAAATTGTCACTTTATTGCTAGTCTAGTGCTGAGTTCGGAATATTATCTAATGAGAAGAACCCACAAGACGGTAACTTTTTTCAATTTTTTTTATATACACATACAAGATAATTTTACATTGGATGTCAGAAATGTTGAAATTATAGATGAACGGATAAATAGTATAGGTATTTTTTCAATTTACACTGTAAAAACACAATTGCAAAAATAAAAACAAATTCAATTTGTCTTCTCTCATTTATAACATGTATGTACAGTAAACTAAAGTGCGAATAAATTGATCAATTTGTATTGTCGTCAGGTTCACGGTGCTTATCGCTAAAAAAAATAACTAAATTAGCAACTTATGAATATACATTTATATTTACAAATATCGAACAGAGGTGCCATATTTTCTAATCACCATCCAGTAATGGTGGCACGCAACATGTACGAGCAAGACATGTGTATTATTTACAGGAGATCGAAAACATGTCTGTTTTACTGTAAAACAAAATTGAAAATAAGCTTAACACAATTATAGTGGATAATTTTTTTTATATCATTCATGATATTGAATAAAAAGACCACTACAAACTTCATGAAATTAACTATTTCATAAGTATTTAATTGGAACAAAATCTCGTTTTTCATCTTGCATATACTGATTAAACCGTTATTGTTGATAAATATTAATTATTTCTAGTATCCAAGCTTAAAACAAAGTTGTTATAGCGGTTCAAACACAACATTAAAATCAATCAACAAAAGATGTTACATATAATCATTTCAATGTCACAGCAACTTGTAGATAATAGACCATAGTTTGAAAATGTTTCAGCTACTTCAACTACTCTCCAATTTGGATAAAGATTCAAATTAATTGGCTTCACTTTTGTGTGCACGACGCAAAGTCCATTACACATGTTTAACGGTTTCAAAATAGAAATAATAAAATACAAAAATTATTTCGACGCCACCGCGATAATGGTAACATTAATTATTTATTTTTTTTTAAATTGTAGAAATGGTAAGGTTTATATAGAGCATAATAATAAAGTCCGTATAGTGAACGATAAGCCAAATTCACCTAAAAGCACTTTTCCGTCGTTCCGTTTTTTCTGTTTCCGGGTTCCACTCGATGTCATCGGGATCGTCGCCTTCAAAGGCGGTCGGCGAAAGTGGAGACAGGGGCGACAGAGTCGACCCTGAGCGCGTGTCAGACTCGGGGCCGATGGGCGCATTTGAGTCATCAGGGACGTTGGTGTCGTCAGGGGCACCGGAGTCGTCAGGGTCGTCTGGCCAGGCGTGTCCAGCAGGCATCGCCGACAACATGTCCGCGTACGTCTCTTCCGGGAGCGGGAATTGTCGCGGTGTATACGGTCTCACTGTCTGAAATAACAATACGTTACTCGAATGAGTTTTGTTAGTAAGGTGACCCATTTGAATGGTAAATTGAAATGATATGTATTATTCCTTATATTGAATTTATTAAGCAATATATTAGAATCTCTTTTTCCGTATGCAAATAGCGATATCTAGTTCTTACACAAATACCCGATTTAATTTGCATTTGCGATGAACTACAATTGTGATGATATGAATTTTTGATATGAAATACGTAATTTAATAAAACAATTTTTTTTAACAGACGATAATGGAGCAGTGAGCCTTGCATTATCGGTAAACGCTGACAAAACACTAATTATGGATTGAGGAGGACAAATTTATTTATTTAACCAATGATTGAATTCTTATTAATATAATATAGTTACACAGACATTGTCGTTGAAATTGTAACTCTGCAAAAGTAATATTCATGCAGTGTTCAAGTTTAAACATCAGATAATTTAGAGTAGATTTAATCGCCTAATATAAATATATCGATTTTAAACCATTGCCCTATATTTAAGTTTATCACCACTCAAAATTTATTATGATACAAACAAAAATAAAGATTCTATTAAGTATTTTTGCTCATTTGTAATATGTCAAATTTGTACTTAGACGAAGTGAGAACTTCAACGAATTTATGTAAATTTAAAATTCTAAATTAGTAAATGTGTCAAAAAATGCATTGTATGTACAAGTCTTCGATTATATAGATTATGAAAACACTCCATACAAATGTTTCGAGAAAAGCGGGTCATATTTTTTATACAATTTTGCATGATAAATAGTTACGAGTGTTTCCTTTATAACATCTATGTTTATTTTGCTTTATAAATTCTGCGCCTTTTTAATGTGCAAAAACTCATTTTATTTATTAAATAATTAGATGTAGATACTTCGAGATACATTGTGGGCGTAAGTATATAAAAAACTAATAAAAAAAACAAGTCAGCTAATTTGACAATTAGCTAACAAAAAGTTGACCCGTTTTTGAGACTCGATGTTCTATGTATATAATCACGACAAATGTAATGCAGTACTATTTAGGTCTTTTTTACTTAATGGATGATAATGAAATAGTAATCCCGCCTGCACTAACAGTATACACTGGCGGGGAACTAGTGAGGGATGACTGTTGAGGATGGAAAAGCAGGTCAGTTAGACGATCATGTTAAATACACCAGGAATTTAGCACGATGGTTTCCATCGGATATCCCGTGGAGGTCAACCTGCCAGGATATATTGCTAGCAATGGTAATAGCAGCCTGCATTATTGACAAACACCTTCCCCCTGATTGTTTTTTTTAATAGGTGATAATGGAATGGTAACCCTACCCATGCGGGGGGAAAGGGATTGTTAGTAATAGAGACTAAGAATCCCATTGCTAACAATATACCCAACCAGGTCGACCTCCTCGCCGTTACCCTTGGAAACTATCATGGTTAATTCCTGATGAATTCATCATGATGGGCTAACTGGCCTGTTTTCATTCTCATCTATCACTCTTCACTGGTGCTCCGCCAGCGTATCCCGTTAGCGCAGGCGGGGCTGCCATACCATTTTCACCCATCAAAAAAAAAACTCTACCCACACTATCGGTATACACCGGCGGGGCACCAGTGAAGGATGATAGATAGGTGAAGGTGAAGCAGATTAATTAACCCACCGTGACGAATTTAACAACAATTTCAAGATTGTTTCCAGGGGGAACCACATGGAGGTCGACGTGAGAGAGTATATTACTAGAAATGGAAATAGCAGTGTGCATTACTAACAATCTCTTTCCACCTGGATGTTTGGTTGTTGTAAGCAATTAGATACTAGCCTCGTGGTTGGGCGGTGGTGGCGGCGGTGGTGGCGGCGTGGCGGCCCGCGGCGGCGGCGGCGGCGGCGGCGGTTCACTTGGCGCAGGCGGCGCGTCGGCGGGCTGGCGGCGCGGGCCGCGCGGCCGCCGAGCGTACCGCGTCTTCTCGCGGTGTTCCGCACGGATGTGACGCTCGCGCACCGCTGCTTCAGACACGTCCTCCTCCTGTAACACATACGAGCAGTGTTTGACAAGTTTCCATCAATAATAATCATAGAATGAATTAATTTTATTAGCTAGAAGTAAAGCTTTAAAACAAAACTTAAGGATTTCTTCCTAATAATACTTCTTGGTAATCTTCTTAATTTGCTTATTTGTCGGCTTAGCAGACTTATTTCTTCAGATATCTAAAAACTTTATAACTTTGTGTTTTACGTATATGTGTGAGCAGTATTAATATACTGCTCACATTTATATTATTGTTGTAATCTTTTGAAGGAAACAATAAAGAGTATCTATCCATCTAAAGTCAGCAGAGACGTTTTCCTTTTTAATGTTAGCAACAAGTGCAGATATATGTATCATATACCCTGCAAGCTAAACAATACGCCCGGTGTTGGAAGCGTCCATAAGCTACAGTAACTGTTAACCATTAGATGAACTGTATGCTCATTTGCCACCTGTGGTATTAAAAAAAATTGAATAAATCCTTGTACGCATTACACAGTGTCATTTATATAGCTCCAAATGAAACAAAGCTTGTGTTGATACTGAGACAAACAATAGAAATGTACTTTTTTGCAAATATATACATAGAAAAGGCCCAAACCAATACAAACAGATATGGTTTTGAATACGTATAGATAGTGGTGTATTAAACTATTACACAACATAGTCATCAAATATTAATTTGGAAGTAATTAAACACTGAACCATACCTCACTTTCTATGGACATTCTATTTGACTTCATGATGCCATTATTCAGAGGCACTTCAGGTACATCCAACAGTCGCCATCTGAAATTGTAAATATAATTTTTTAATTGACGCACGTGACAAACAAGCATACAGCCTGTCTGTTGCTAAACTATTACTGTGGCCTGCAACACTAGGACTGTCACATTACAGACCTAAATACAACCCTAAGACACCCTTCTTGAAGAACTTCATACTCTAGTCTCTAGAGAAAACCTCGGCAAGGAGCTTATTTTCCAACCAGAGCATTTACGGAAAAAAACTCCTATGAAACTGCACTGTACGCGACCATGTAGGTTCTAGCCATTAAGTCCGATTTTAGACAACATCAATATCTGCATCATTTTTAGGGTAAATTGTACCAGAGAAAGTGAACATTTTTACTAAAGAAACATTAATCATCAAACGTAAAAAAAATTTAAACCTCCAAACTAAACTGACAGCTGAATGCACTGTATAAATAGGTGAGTTTCAAAATATTTTTTTATTTGTAATATTTCATTATTAAAAATAAGGTTCCAGTGTTAGAACATAACTTTAAAAAGGTGTGTCATCATTATACCGCTCATCATTAACATTCCCATACGCTAGAACTTAAATTACGCCATTTCAAAGGAGTTTTTCCCGCGAACGTGCTGGCTTTACAATAGTCTCTCCTAGACTACAGTATGGAATTCTTCAAAAAGGAAGTATTAAGATTTCTTTAGAGTCTGTAACGTGACAGCCCTAGGGTTGCAGGTGTCTATAGGCCCATAGTTCGTTTATCATCAAACTGACTTGTATGCCACTATTGTGATATAAAAATAAATGTATATTACTTCATTATTTTTAAAGATTATGTTCATTTTTAAACGGTTTTATTTAGCTCGACCTGTACGGTATTTATTTATTTGGGTCAAAATTAGAAATTGGAATTTAAGCACCTTCCCGTTGTCAGATTGATCTGAAATTTGGTACACACATTTAATTTAGATGACAATACAATATAATAAAATCAATAACATTATAAATCTAAGATGGCCGCCGATACAAAATGGCGGATTACATATTTTTCCTTAACCCCCGCAATATGGGTATCAAATGAAAGAGATACTCTGACACTAGACACTCGACACTCGACACTCGACACTTGACATTCGACACTCGACACTCAGACACTAGACACTCAGACACTCGACACTAGACACTCAGACACTCAGACACTAGACACTCAGATACTAGACACTCAGACACTAGACAATCAGACACCCAGACACTAGACATACAGTCACTAGACACTCGGATACAAGACACTCAGACACTAGACTCTCAGACACCCAGACACTAGACACTCGGACACTCGACACTCGACACTCGACACTCAGACACTAAACACTAGACACTCGGACACTAGACACTCGACACTCGACACTCAGATACTAAACACTAGACACTAGACATTCCGACACTCGGATACAAGACACTCAGACACTAGACTCTCAGACACTTGACACTCAGACACCCAGACACTAGACACTCAGACACTAGACACTCAGACACTAGACACTCGAAACTCGACACTCGACACTCGACACTTAGACACTAGACACTCAGACACCCAGACACTAGACACCCAGACACTAGATACTCGGATACAAGACACTCAGACACTAGACTTTCAGACACTTGACACTCGACACTCGACACTTAGACACTAGACACTCAGACACCCAGACACTCGACACTCGACACTCGACACTCGACACTCAGACACTCAGACACTAGACATTCAGACACTAGACAATCAGACACCCAGACACTAGACATACAGACACTAGACACTCGGATACAAGACACTCAGACACTAGACTCTCAGACACCCAGACACTAGACACTCGGACACTCGACACTCGACACTCGACACTCGACACTCGACACACATCTCACCAGATGGATGGTGATGATGTGGTCTTAGACGAAGCTTGTGGACCCGAGAATAGCCTATTCACAATTGCTTTAAATTAGTTGTGATTATTTTTATTAATTATTAAACGGTTTTATTTAGCTCGACCTGTAGGGTATTTATTTATTTGGGTCAAAATTAGAAATTGGAATTTAAGCACCTTCCCGTTGTCAGATTGATCTGAAATTTGGTACACACATTTAATTTAGATGACAATACAATATAATAAAATCAATAACATTATAAATCTAAGATGGCCGCCGATACAAAATGGCGGATTACATATTTTTCCTTAACCCCCGCAATATGGGTGTCAATCGAAAGGGCTACACTAGTAAAACACGATGATTATATCAAAATTTAAAATTCAAGATGGACGCCGTTCCAATATGGCGGACTAGGTACATATTTTTCCACAACCACCACAATATGGGTATCAAATAATAGGACTACACTGCAGAATACTGTCATTATATCAAAATTTCAAATTCAAGATGGACGCTGTTACAAAATGGCGTATTAGGTGGGGGCATGATTAGTCGTATCGAGAACAGTTGCGTCTAAGATTGTGTGACGTTAGAGGGGCAGATAAAAAAAATAGGTAATTAGATACCTCATTAGTAAGCGGTAGTTATACCACCCAAGTTAAGGTAATAGGTTAAAACGTGCCGAGGACTGTATGGCATTAGGGTGGATAAAAATGTAATGTCGTAAGCGCTTCACCCTCAAGATTGGGCGCATCTTGTTGTATATTAAGCCTTGCCCCTTTACTAGACTGCGGGGGGGGGGGGGGGTCGACCATCAAAATGCCCCTTAATCGTGGGAACAACATGGTAACAATAAACAAAAATACCAACAAATATAAATAAGACTGGAGGCTTACCATCAGTACTTCAAATATTTGTAGGTGCAAAAGTAATGTTGCGGTCCAACATTAACGTTACAAAAGGATTGGTAAATGACGCTATAGGCCACATTACAGAAATTGTTTGGCCTCAGTTCCGTCGAACCCAAATGTACGAAACAGATATATCATCAGTTTTAATTGACTTTGGCACAGACGGCATGCACGTTATTTACCCTAAAGCCATACAGTTTCCAGCAAAATTCAATTATGGTACGGCTGAAAAAAGGATGTTGCCCTTAGTTTTGTCATGAGCGTTCACCGTCCATAAAATGCAGGGCAGCACCGTCGACCATGCAGTAGTATATTTGGGCTCAAAATGGTTTGAGGAAGGACAAGCATACGTGGCTCTAAGTCGAGTCAAGTCTCTGGAAGGGCTATGTATTGAGGAATTAGATTGTACTAAATTATCAGGTAAGAAACCATGTAATAATGATGCACTGAATGAATTAAATAGAATGAGGAATATTCGGTAAACAATTTCACTAAATACTAAAAACAAGAAAATAAAAATCGGTAAAAAAACTTTTAAGTTAAACGGTTTTATTTTATGTGCACTGAAAACTACAAAATAAATAAATAGTTACTTACCTATCAACCTACGTAGGTGATCTGGGTCATTAATATCTCTGATGGTAGTGGTTGTCATAACATGAACCATGTCAGCGGCCGAAAGGCAGTTCATGAGAGAACACTAACACCAGGGTTTGCTTGGTAGGTAAACTAAGCAGCCCACACTATAACAAGTAGGTATTTTGACCTTCTAGTTCAGAAATATTTTAGTACTAGGCAGAATAGCTTTTAGGCATATTAGACTAAAATATAAACGTGGGGCCCCTCTGAAATCATACCTATAGCAGAGCATATCTTATACTTTGGTAGATCATGAGCTCGGCGTTCGCTGGTGAAGCCGTAACGGCTGGTTATTGATGGTCAAAACCTCCAGTTACGATTATAGTAAGTCGATTCAGCGGACCCTGGACTCCGGAGCTATGAGGTTTCGGATGCGACCGGGATAAACCGCTAGGATGATGATGATGACGATTATAATAAGTCGATGCAATCCACACTTAGTATAGTAGAAAGTAATACAGAAATAGTTAATGGGCCCCACGTTATTTATTTTGTAGTTTTCAGTGCACATAAAATAAAACCGTTTAACTTAAAAGTTTTTTTACCGATTTTTATTATTAAAATAATTATAATTCACGGGCTATGCAAGCTGCGGTCCACAGTGCGAGGCTAGACAGCGTGACGCAAAGCGCTAAACACCCCCTGACGAAGACTTCCGGATAAATAGATAGGTATATAACTAATTTTCATTAATTATAACATACAAATCATAACAAACACACACACAAAAAGCGAGATAAAAGAAATACATATACAAAAAAAACATACATAAAAGGGAAACAATTTTTTCCTTTTGTACGTGTGCCATAACAACACAAAATGGTCACCAATCAGTTGACTCGAAATAATCGTCGGAAACAACAAAAACACATTAAGTTCAATTTACAGGGTACAGAGGAATAACACCCGAGTCCACAGGAATGACCACGTATGGAGGATATCATGGGTGAAACAGTATACTCTAGTATGTTCATGGTACTGCTCATGTTTATAGGCGATGGTTACCATTTTCCATCAGGTGGGCCATCAGATTGTTTACCATTTTAAGTTGGAAAAAATATCTAAAAATGAGAGTTCAAAATAATCTCCCGTATTTATGTAGACGTTAATGACTTGAATGTAACTGTATGTAATACAGGTATGTAAGGAGGTACTCTTCGCAAAAATTCAGCCAATCATAGTTACACATAGCCACGAAAAATAAAGACGAAATTGGAATTGCCAAGAACACGACTCATAAAAACTATGAAACAAGGCATACATCTAAAAATAAAAATGTATAAAAAATTACCCAATACAGTAATGCAAATGCCGAGAAATAAATTTAAAAATGAAATAAAGACATATTTTGGAACAACATCCTTTTTACAATGTGACCGAATACCTAAATGCCAATATTAAATTATAACATTATTATTTATTTATGTTTACTTGTAAGAAGTATGACAATTCCAATTTTATAACTTGAACTCATCATTATTGACATATAGTTACCATTATATTGACATGTAGTAATTAATTTATAATGTTAACTGTAATTAATTTGTAATGTTATTTTTATTTTATATTTCAAATGTTATTATCATTGTTGTTATTTATTTTATTAATTTCAAAATTATAATGTAAATATTGACTTGTCATTGTGTGACGGAAACTGTTACATTGGTTAATAAAGAAATATAATATAATAATATATATTTACTTGGGCGTGATGATCTCCTTGTAGGTGAGTATCTGCGGGCGCGTGTTCGCCGCGATGCTCTGCGGTATGACGATGTTGTCGATGTCGTACGACTGCCGCCGTATCCGGCTCTCCGTGCTCGGACGCCCGCGCCGACTGGAAATGTATAATACACATGCCAATATGTTATACATATATAAACACTTTATGGTTACCTTCAAAAGATTACAGTAATACATAACTACAGTATTACATGAAGTACTACTCTCATCTGTGGGCCAAAGAATATGAATACCAGCTTGGTCCTTTTGACTCAGTTCAAAGGCGGACTATGAGAATTGTTGACGATCCTAAACTCACAGGCGATATCGAGCCCTTACGTCTAAGGCGAGACTTTACCTCCCTTTGTGTGTTGTACAGCTTTTTTTTTAAATGGATGATAATGGAATGGTAACCCCGCCTACGCTATCGGTATACACTGGCGGAGCATCAGTGAGACCAGGAGGGTGAGGATGAAGCAGCTCAGTTAGCCCACCGTGACGAGTCTAACAATAAATAAATTAAGATGGTTTCCAGGGGGAACCACGAGGAGGTCGACCTGATAGGGTATATTGCTAACAATGGAACTACCAATCCTCATTACTAACAATCCCTTCTCTCTCCTGTTCTACCGCTTGTATAATGGGTTGTGTTCTAAGAAATTGTTTGAAATAATGCTCACAGCCACCTTTTATCATCACACCGCTCGTCATCGACAGGGAACATCGACAAGCTGGAACCTAAATGGTCACGTACAGTGCGGTTCCAGAGAATTTTTTTTCCCACAAACGCTCAGGCTGTGGAATAAGCTCCCTGCCGAGGTTTTGCCTAGAGACTACAACATGGAGTTCTCCAAAAAGAGTATATTAAGGTTTCTTCAGGGTTGGCAACGCGCACATAATACGCCTAGTGTTGCAGGCGTAGATAGGCTATAGTGATCGTTTACCATCAGACAGGCTATATGCTTGTTAGCCATCTTTGTTGTATAAAAAAATATATAAATAAAGTTAGCTAAACAAATAATTACAAGAAAAGGTCACGTTGAGAAAACAATATGCAGTGTTATAATATCTGAAAGCGATATCTTTCAGATATTATACTTTTTGTATTGAAATTTTACTATTAATTAAAATTATTTCTGAAAAATTATAATTTAAAAATTTGTATGAAATTTTGATTGAAAAATAACATCAAAAATACTCCATATCGCCTCATATGTAAAGTACATGTCGTATAGAAGTAATTTTTACACTGCAGAACAGTTATGCGTACGATGACGGTCTCAATTAAAATTTCACAATAAACAATAATCATTTATACCTTTCATGACTTGGTGTTGATGTTTCTTCATCCCTTTCTCTGTCTCTTATTTTTCTAGAAAGTGGTGGTCTTCCTCTCTTCAATTCTGAAAAAAATATTTGATAAATATATATATATATATATATACTCGTATATTCAAAGAATTTAGTTGGTAATTGAATTTTTATGTTAACACTTTTAAAGATATTTAGAACGGGAAAAGAGTTAAACGCCCCAATAAATTGCAAGCACCATGGGTATCATAGAATACTGTGATCCCCATGGGTTTCTCATTGCTATTCTTGAGGACTATGATGTTAAGTCTCTGCTGTACAGTGTGATTTCAAACCAGAGCACAACCATGCAAGCATAATAGCTACATGGCAGAAACACGAGTGGAACACAAGTACCCACGCAAACGACTTTTTAAGAATATCTCTCTTTGTGATTCTAATATAAATATTCACTTTTGTGGTTGCAGAAAAATAAATTATCTCCATATATATACAACTGCATATATTTTGTTCTCCTATTGATGATGATGATGTTGGTGTGAAAATATAACTGTTAACGTTGTGGAGTTAATAAAACTTTTAAAAAGAAACTTATTAACATGCACAATTTATATAAATTTCAAAAATTAATTAGCTAACTAATAAGATAGCAGCAATAGACGTAAAAATGGCGGCCGATTGCCATAGCCCTTTCAAACCCAAGATTTTTTTTCTTTCGGATTAAATATATTTTCATGTTTTGGAGCCAAGCCATCTTGCCGGCACGCACGAGACTACTGCACCACCTAACCGCTAAAATGATTTCTTATCGACTGGTTTAGAATCTCACTATCATGTTATTTCAGCTTCGTGCGTAAAAATGAACTGCGCGCGGTTTTACAATTTTTTAAAGTTACAACTCACGCTCGTATCGTTCAGGTCTGAAAGGGATAGAGAAAAAAATGAAATTGTGCACTGACTGGTGGGCGGTCGCTTGGCGTGCTTGTGCGGATGCTGGTGCTGGTGCTGGTGCTGGTGGTGGCGGGGCGCGGCGCGGGGCGCGGCGGCGGTCGACACGCGGCCGCGCAGCATCCGCGGCCGGAACCACGCGCGCGGGCACAGCGCCGCCATGTGCAGCGACGGCGACACGTCTGCCAGCAACGAATTCATATTACAAAACCTCACATTATATACGAGTACATACAGTGATCGTCGATCGACTCTCGAAAACGGCTCAACTTTTGTCAGATTGAACAGTTGTCAAATTAGCTTAACCGTTTGAGTGCCGACGAGAGCCTTATAGCGCTCGTGAAACCAGTTGTTGTTTAGGTCGCTGTAGAAAAATTATTAAAATTGGATAATTTTTGGAGGAGATAGTTTTTTTAGAGACAAGGGTAAATGACATCAACACGACAAAGATTTCTTTGGCATTTTTAAGTAGATATGAGTAAAAATCAATGGCACTATAGAGGTTAAATATAAAATACTTTCTAATCTTAATTCACACTAACAAAGGTATTAAAACACAAATACACACTGCAGCTTTGTCTGTATGTATGTATATTTTGTTTTCTATAAAACAAAAACTGCAGCAAAACCAATTTTTTTTTAAAAACTAAATTACTGGACTGATTTTGATATTTTTTTTATAGAATCCCTCCCTTCTAGATGAAGAGCTTTTTTTAATGGGTGATAATGGAATAGTAAGCCTGCCTGCACTATCGATATGGTGAGGATGAAAAGACAGGTCAGTTGGTCTACCACGATGAATTCGCCAAAAACTAAACATGATGGTTTCCACGTGGAGGTCGACCTAATAAGGCATATTGCTAGCAATGGGGCCGTCAAACTCGATTGCTAACAACAGCCTCGGTCCCGACAGGGTGTATTGCTAGAGTGGTTATCGTACCGCGCAGGTCGCTGAGCACGGGGTGGTAGCCTGGGTCGAGGCGCGCGAGGTGCACGGCGGCGGGCGCGGCGGCGGGCGGCGGCGCGGGCTGCGCGGGCTCGGCGCGGCCCGTGCACACCGCGCAGCTCTCCGCGCCGCTAGCGCACGAGCACCTGCACCAGCACGTGCACGCGACGCACGCGCAAACAATATTTTAATAAATTATTAAATCCTTGGACATATCGTCGTAGTCGTACAATACTGACGGATCTGACAAATATTACATATATAGATCCGTCAGTATTGTACGACTATGACGATATTGTTCTCCTATTTATTGTTTAATTTCAAAAGAAAAACGATTGCAGTGAAGTATCTTACATAATGTTGAGGATTATTGGTAATTATATATATATATATATATATATATATATATATATATATATATATATATATATATATATATATATATATATATATATATATATCCTTTCGAATTGTTTACTATTTTTCCCTATTAGTAAACAAAGTAAAGGATACACTTATATATTTTTTGATTTAAAAAGACCAGGCTTTTAAGGGTTAAAGACCACAGAAATGAACTTAAAATAGAATAATTACATGTACCTCACAAATATCGATTTAAAATACATATAGCGCAGTTTTTTGTATACCAATGTTGGCAAAAGTCAAAAGTCAGGTTTTTTTCTATTTACAATATTCAAGTTTGCTATGCCAGTACTAGTATTCCATTGAACAATATATAATACAATGAGCTCCCTGTTGAGGTTTTTCCAAGAGACTACAGCATCACTTCAAAAAAATTAGTAAAGAAAATTCCACAGGGTCGGCAATGCGCGCGTAATGTCCCTGGTATTGTAGGCGTTCATAGACTATGGTAACCGCATACCATCAAATGGGGCCGTAAGCTTGTTTGCCATCTCAGTGGTACAAAAAATACACACCTTGTCTTTCTATAGACCCCCATAATAAGTCAACAAAGTTTTAATCAATCAAATGCATACCTTATATCCGACGGTTTAGCGGCTTTATTGGTAGCAATATGCAGGTTGTGCATTTGTAATAATTTTCGTTTCTTGAAGGTCTCTCTACGTAACGGCCGCACCCTTGCACACGTCTCCGTAGCGGGATCATCTTCTGGCAGCTCGGAGCCAGGAAGGTTTCCTTCATAGGCGACCGGTGGTTCACCTTCGAACTCCACTGGACCTTTCGCTTCACGAACCTGGAAATAAAAAAGAATATATATTTTAAAACATTGTATAAATTAGTCAAGTCAGACAGAGTTAATACAAATAAGTAACCAAACAAAATGCATAATATTCTAAATATCATTTATATAAAAATACGATTACAATACATAAATCTTCCAATCTATTATTGTATACCCCCACCCACCGATTAAATTTCTCCTCTCAATCTTTTACCATCTCAGCTATCAACCTTTGGAATGCACTGCCTATTGATATCAAAAAGTCCTTAACCAAATTTTCCTTCAAAAAGTCCCTTCGTGAACATTACTTCAATTTATCACAACAATGAAAAGCCTTAATATGTTATATAATCAGTTATTATTTATATATTTATTAATTTAGTATATACTATGGTGGTAGGTTGGTAGAGAATGCCATCAGACATTAAGTCCACCCTCTAGACATTTTCCAATGTGTGAAAAAGTATAAATAAATAAACATACATACATAATATAGATATAATACATATAATAATACATATATATATAAATATAGGAATATATTATCAAGATAAATCACAAGTAGTAAACATCAAATTAGAAAGATAGGTAATGAGATTTTACCTGCCTCTTGAACGAGGCAAGAGATTGCGCTGTTCTAATAGAAAGAGGTATGGAATTCCAGAGACGGATAGCTTGGATGGAGAAAGAATAGGAATAGAATTTAGCAGAATGAATAGGAGTTATTAAACAAACGAAATGAATATACAAATGTGGGCCTCTGACAGCCTTAGTCCGCCACTGATTAAGACATTATTATTAGACTACCAAAAAAGGGCATTCATAATATGCCAGTATTTTTTTTTTTGTATCTTGTGATTTTTCCTAATTAGGAAGCGATTTTGTTTAATCTTTTTGTAATCAATACAAAAATATTATTATCAATTGAATACATTATATCTTTATGACAATTATTGGACGCGAAGGCAAGTCAATTAGTTATCGATAACAATAGGAGGAAAATAAAAAGTAAAAATGCTTGCGTCCTTAGTCAACAGATATTAAATTAAGTTGATACATTACATAGATACAAGTTATAAAGTTTTTTTTTTTTATGGGTGATAATGGAATAGTAACCCCGCCTGCGCTAACGGGATACGTTGGCGGAGCACCAGTGAAAGGTGATAGACGAGAATAAAAACAGGCCGGTTAGCCCATCATGATGAATTCATCAGGCATTAACCACAAGTTTCCAGGGGGAACCGCGAGGAGGTGGACCTGGTTGGGTATATTGCTAGCAATGAGATTCTCAGTCTTCATTACTAAAAATCCCTTTCCCGCCAGTTATAAAGATTAATAATATGTACACAAACAAAATGAACGATTATTTAGATAAACTTCATTACACAAAAGTAAGATAAAGAGTCGACGGTAAAGCGGCCTTATCGCCAAATAGCAATCTCTTCCAGGCAACCTTAAAAAGGGAGGACCCTGTATATCTATTATATTACCTGTATACCATTCGAGTTTCTATCGTGAAGCAGTTGTGTTTGCATGGCTGTGTTTCGGTCTGAAGGGTGGGATATGGCAGTGAATTTACAGGGTACAGAGGAAAAATAGCTGAGGACTCACCTCAGGAATGGCAACGCATGGGAGGTATCATGGGCGAAAAAGTATACTCTGTTATGTCCATGGCACTGCTCATGTCTATAGGCGACGGTTACCACTTTCCATCAGGTGGGCCGTCAGCAACAAACGGATTATATTATATAGTATTTAAAGAATTATCCACTAACTCCTAACCCTTTAGAAATTATCCCTTCCATCAGGAAATACAGACTTGGTGACGCAAGAGACCATCTCAGGAACACGGTTTTGCGAGTAAAAATCGGTAGGCGTGCAAAAAAATATACTGCCGAAGATAAAACCTTTCTTTTTTAAGTCGGTTAATTAATAAAAATATTTTCTTGTTTAAAAAGTGATGAGAGTAAATAAATAAAGTATGTAAATAAAAAAATAATTGATTCGACCAAAGAGCAATTTGTTGATGTCCAATTAAAGAATACATCAAAAATTCATTAATTGACTATATAAATTTGTTACTAACCACATTTTGAGAGTGTTACTATGACAATTTCAATTACACTTTTTTTTTTATCAAATTTTATTTAACCATAATAGAGATTTTATTTTTAACTAGCGGCCCGTCCCGGCTTCGTACGGGTGGACATTTTTACTTTTTAAAAAGTGGCCATTAGGGATACCGTTAAGGGCGAGTGCGAAAGAGACGCGCGACCCTTCTGAGCGGTACCTTTCGGCGTCTACTTATTTATGATACAAACATAATATTTCTATCATTACACAATTATCCTTATCTCTATTGTGGGTAATGAAGACTCGACATAGAGGATGTTTTATTTCCCTTACAAACTATAGGAAGCATACGATCTATAAACAATTATAAAGTAACCATTTACACGATTAAATAATAATAACTATGCTAAAAATGCTATCAATAATTAGAAATAACTATAAGATATCGCTATAACTATCGATCAATAATATAAAACTATAGAATGTAGCGAAAATACACTATGTGCTTAATTGTAACATAACCTACCCATGTATCAAAATAAAATACATTCAGTATTTTGTGTAAAATTTTGAGTAACAAATATCCATCCATCCTTACAAAATTTAGCATTAATGGGATAGATAAAAATAAACACTCATATTGAAGTAATTAAATTGCTCTCGCAGGCGAATGTCGCATACGAGCAATATACTATAATTTGCATCGTATGAGACGACTACGCCACAATCAATTTTTACATACATTTCTATATTACTATAATTGTTGATTTATCGACAATTATAGTGACACGAGAGGAAATTGCACGTACAAATCTTCCATAAAAAAAAAAGGAAAAACCAATTAAATGACAGTGAAATACATATAATCCATTACGTGGTTTAGAAGAAATAAGCCAAGAAAACAGACGCAAATGTCGACTTAATAACAATGTATTATTTATCTTATAATAAATCTGTAGAGAGGTCAGTTCTGTACATGAAATATATTTCCAAAATAACTATCAGGAAGTGATTAGTGATCGATACTGATGCCAAAAGTGCAATCAGTAAAATTTTTGTGTCTGTCTGTTTGTATATTCGTTATAGAAACAAAAACTACTCGATGGATTTTAATGAAACTTGGTACAATTATTCTTCATACTCCTGGGCAGGTTATAGTATACTTTTCATCACGCTACGATCAATAGGAGTAGAGCAGTGAAGGAAAATGTTGGGAAAACGGAAGAAGTTACTCCATTTTTAAGCTTCCGTCGCGTGTGCAGCCTTAATGACCACTTTTTAAAATGTAAAAGTGTCCACCCGTGCGACGCCGGGACGGGCCGCTAATACATAATACAGGTGATTACTATTGTCTTTTTTTTTCTGTAAGAAATTAAAACATTGTTTCGAAAACAATTATAACTGTACATAATGATATACAGATTTATGAAGTTAAAATACATACGTATTCGGTACATAACAATGTGTGTTGGTGACCTTGGACGGTTCTGTGTAACTAAATATGTTTGAACTCGTATGATTTCTATTCAATTAAAAAGCAAGATATTATGGACCTTATGCTATCACTTTAAAGTGTCTTATAATGCGTCTCTTTCTCTGTATCAACACCAAAACACTTATCAGATCACTCTCGTGTCAACAAGTCCCATATCGAACAATGCACGGGCGACGACAGCGTATCGACTAAAGCAGACTTTTTTGTAAAGGAAAAAGTATTTATAGTCATATTAAACCGTCAACTGTTTAAGAGGCTTATTACAAAATCATGTTGCTCCAATTTAGCTAAAGCGCATTGATTTGCACATGTGTGTGTAATACGCATACGCAAACGCAAATAAACGTGTAGCCAAATTGAGTATGGATTACATTTGAAAGAGTTTTGATACTTGTATTATTTCAAATTATTAATGTGATATTTTAAACTTAACTAAATAAACTGAACGACTTGTTGGATTCTTATAAATAACATGTCGTTAGATTCGTCTTAATTAACAAAGTGCTAATAATGACCATAAATTATTATTATTGTTATATTATCCCCAAAGGTATGGCGTCAGAGAGGCGGCCGGTCGTAAAATAAAAGCCAAAACCAAAAAATTGGAATAAGGGCAGGAGGATGAAATTATTAAAACATAAAAGAGAAAAGTAACAATTTAAAAAGCTTGTTTTTAAGACTAGACATCTATCTAATTCAGGAATCAAAAAGTATAAGCCTTAATTGTTTAGAACCAGAGGTCCAAAATCTCTAATTTTGCATTGTTTTATGCAAAACATGTGAATGGCCTCTTAACCAAAGCCTTTAAAACGTAAGGATTATGAACAACTACGTCTCGCTTGTTGCACAAATCCTTATATTATGACATTCATTTGAACTAACTTCAAAAACATAAGCCAAAAATCTTACTAACATAATAAAATTGTAACTGAACAACGTAGAATATCAGTGTTTTGCTCTTTTGAGAGCAAAGCAATAAATAGAGTTGTGACCATTTTGTGTTACTTAGCACACTCAGAAAAAATTGTGTAACCTCTTTTATGGTACATAAATGTTTTTTTTTTATATGTATTGTTTTTTTTTGTATATGACAAAAATCGAAAAAGGAATATGCGTTGGTTTGGTCATTTGGAGAGAATGGATGAAAGAAGAATTACGAAAGAGATTTATCGAGCAAGAATGAATAGAGATGTCGGTAGGAGCCGCCCTAGATGAACGTATGTTGACCAAATAGGCGACGTGCTGAAGAAGGGCCAAATTAAATGTACCCGTAACCGGCGAGCGTGTATGAAAAGATTGATGAATGTGGAACAAGCGAAAGAAGTTTGTTTGAATCGAAGCATTTGGCGTTCCATTATTTCTGCCTACCCTAGTGGGAGACAGGCGTGACAGATATGTATGTATGTATGTATCGTTTTATTTCTTTAAACATGAACCAGTAGCTAATATTATACATGTGTAGGTGATGCAAATAAATTATCTATCTATGTATCTAGGTACATGAGAGGTATTTAAGAAAAATTAATATGAGAAATCTACATAAGACCAATAGATTCCAAATAATATATTTTTGAGAAATTTTGTCCGTCTGTCCGTTTGTTCTAGCATCACGTAAAAACTACTGCACCAAATTAAATGTTATTTTAATAGTCTTATTTCTTAAGATCTAACTTAAAAACTTATATTTTATTCTGATATATCTAGAAATGGCCCAATTTATAAATTTTCTACCACTGAAATGAATGCATACAAAATAGTGGATATAAAGCTAGTATATGTTTAATATTTAAAATTAAAATTCATTCATTTGCTGCAAGAATGCAACAATATAGATACAGTAAAAACACAAATTTAAATAATGTTTTGAACAATAACACAGACAGTTTATATCTTTAGAGGAAAAGATGTCTATTATTATTGTTTTTAATAATTATTATTAATAGTAAAATTGCCCTGCTGTCCCGCCATAGAATAGGCCACCACTTCCTTTCCTGTAGATGTCGTAAGAAGCGACTAAGAGAACTTAATTGTCGAGGGATGGGCAGCAACGGCCCTCTTAAAACATCTCCAAAGCCTAACTGCGGTTGCCAACCCTCCGGCCAAGCGAGGCTGCTACTGGCAAAAGCTTCTAATAGAGGGAGACCTATATTTAGCAGTGGACAATTAACGGCTAATATGGTAGTCTCATTATTCAAACACGAAAATGTTATTACTATTAAATAAATCTTCAAGGGTAGTACTTAAATTCATCTGTATAGCCAATTTAAATTCAACCCCCTAGCTTATTTATTAAATACAAATCATTAAAATAAGATTTCATTGAATAAAATACATGCATCTGTAATAACAATTTCAGATTTCGCTCTGCAAAATATAAAAATAACTACAGCCATAATAAACAGGCAGTCACTTCAGAATTGACAAATGACATTAAAAACCTCCTAATTTTATAAAATACTTAGCAAAAAAAAATATAATAAATAAGAAAAATATTATGTATTAAAAACAGAATCATTTATCTGTAATGCCCTGTACTTTTTCCAGTTTCAAATTTTTTAATCAAATAAATAAAATTTAACCATACAACTACCAGATGGAAACAGCATACAAAATTCATGCTTCTTGGATACTAATGTCCCATTTTTGTTTCTATGTCAAGCAGCTATGTTTACATAGCTGTGTAATACTTTGAATAATATGACAGTGAAATCACAGGATATAGAGGCATATCATCTTATTTTTTAACTCTATTCTTATAACACAGCAGAACAATACTGTAATTACACAAACCAACTAACCTGTTTGTGCAGGTCATTGTGTTGTCTAATCTTGTACTCTAACTCCTGGACTTGCGCCTGCATCCAGCACCAGCGAGAGGCAATGGACGCGCGCGTCTTCTGCCAAGACCACAGTGCGCGCTTTTCACTGAAAAACAATTAATCCAAAATCAATTTGCATCCAAATATATGTATATCAAATACATAAATCCAATATATATATATATATGTAATCAAAATACTATTATTGTTTGTTTGTTTGTTTAGATATTAGATGGAAGAAAGGGATTGTTAGCAATGAAGTTTGATAGACCCATTGCTAGCAATATGCCTTATTAGGTCGACTTCCACATGGTTCCCCCCCTGGAAACCATCGTGAATAATTCTTGTTGAATTTGTCACAATGGACTAACTGACCTACTTCATCCTCACCTATCATCCTTCACTGTTGCTCCACTGGTATATACCGATAGCGCGGGTGGGGTTACCATTCTATTGTCATCCATTAAAAAAAAGAACAACATGCAGGCCCCTTGAAAGCCATCATAGTTAATTCTTGAATTCATCAGGATAGGTTGAATGACCTGCTTTTATATTCACCTATCATCAACCACTGATAACCCCCACCAGCATAAATAGTGCAGGCAGGGCTACCATTTCATTTTCACCCCTTAAAAAATAATATTCCAATGATTGGATGAAATTGTAGGTGCCAGTTTATTAAAAAAATTCTTTTAATTAACAGACAAAACCATTTTTATAATATTTTAAAATCCTTTAAACCCAGTGTCCAATATTATAATATTTAAAATTAATTATACAATAAAAAAAACCTGAGGAATCTAGTAAATCCCTAACCAGCTATCAAAGGATAAATTTTTTTACATAAATAAAAATATATCTATTTCATTATCACATTGGTACTGCCTTTTAATAATTTATTATGAAACAGGCCTATGAGTTTAGTGTAGTAATCACTGATAACTAATTTGTGTACCAATTTTTTTGTTTGAATACAGTTTATATATTTTTATCCAATAATTTTAATGCAATTAAATATCAGTAATATCTTGTATTTGTAATATATATTAATAATTTCATTGTAATTATTTTTGATTTTGTAAAGAGAATCAAGTGTCAAAGTTTAACTAGCTAAATAAAAAAAAAATTGTCACAGAAAAAAAAGCAAAACAAGTTTAACTTCTTGTATTATTTTATAACTAAATTTATGAACAAACAAACAACTACGCCATAATCTAAATTGTATCACTCTGAAGGTCCCTAATTTGAATCATAAATTATAATTTTTAATCATAAATGCAGTATATATAATATAATATTATATAAAGATAAAACAAATACCCATACATACACAGATATAGAGTATACATACTTGTAAACCTATTTATATCTGCAGCATTTTTTGCTAATATTTAAAATTCATATCTAAACCAAAATTGTAATCTGTGACATAAAACTGTTTACAGATATAAGCACAGAAGACATTATACCAACAAGAATTAACAATGTAAATAAACAAATAGGTGTAGTTACTTTATATTGTATTATACTTTCTAACTGCATTGGGTTGACTGGAAGAGATCTCTATCAGAGATAAGTCCACCCTTGCTCACAAAATTTATAAATGCATTAACAATGTAATTTACAAGTGCAATAAAGAATATATGTTCAATTTTAACTATTATTGAATTTGTCTTTAGCTGTAGTATGGTTGAACTTTCTATAGTTTTCTTTTAGCCTCTCAAAGGTTGACTGTATGATATCCCTTTATGGGATAAGTCAATTATTGTATATTGTACATTTTATTGTGTCCAATGTAAATTATTTACAATAAAGATTTCACAACAACTAGGAATATTACTTTTTTAATGGATGATAATGGAATGATAATTCTACCAGTGCTATCAGTATATACTGGTGGGGCATTAGTGAAGGATGATAGGTGAGGATGCAAGCAGGTCAGTTGGTCCATCATGATAAATTAATTATCCAGAGTGATTTCCAAGGAGAAGTACATGGAGGTCCACCTGACAGGGAATGTTACTAGGTTGAAACTGTACTTATAATCCTTTCCCTCTCAACTAACATGCTTAATGTTCATCTTATAATATACCTACTTACTCACATTCCTAAAATATAAGTACATCAGGGTATTAATTTTTTACATATAAACTACACTAAAATCAAACTAATATATTAGACAATTTTACACCATGTATTTAATTTAAAAAAGAAGATTACTAAAATAGGAATTAAACATCAGCATTAAGTATAATTGCCATGTGATTCCCACATAGAAAAATTCACCCCACCCCTTCTTTTCTAGAATGTGCAGTATCCCTATCAAAATGTTACTAAAGCCTGACTATGGTTGTAAACCCACCTGCTGGGTGTGGCAACTATTGGCAAAACCCCCCAATTATGGTGGAGGCCTATGTTTAACAGTGAACAAATAACAGCTAATAAGATTAATTATCTCTACAAATTATTATATTTTATTTAAAACTATATTTTTGTGTTGAATTATATTTTTCAAATAAATAATCTATATAATCTGTTATCAAATATATAAATGGGATAAGAATAGGAAGATGAAAATATGACCTGCTATCAGTCCTTGAACTATCATCAATTATATACTGAGGTCTGCAGTTTCTCATACTGTCTCAAAGAGTCATTCTTTTATAAATTAATTGTAATTATAAATAAATTATGGTTAAATATCTCAAAATTATTGTTATACTTTGCTATATATATATATTTTAAGTTATTTTAGTACATACTAAACATGAGTTAAAGCCTGCTAGTTATGATGCAATACTTTCACAACAGTATTTAATTATTGGATCCTATGCCCTAATAAATTCTTATGTAATATTGTGTAATCTTCTAATCTCTTGATAGCAGTACTTATTTTTATTGACCTATTTTTAACAACACACTCAAAAATGATTGTGCATTTTAAACTTATTATTAACACTTGATTCTACTGTGATATTTATAAATTATTGTTATTAGTTTAAATAAATACAGTAGACAGAATCAAAAAATTAAATAACACTGATATTCTATAAATACCTAAATAATTATGGTAAGGTATAAATATTGAATAATACTCACATTGGCATATGTTGTTGGTGAGGATTGTTGTACACAACAGCTTCATCATTACTTTCTGCTCCTGACGATGAAGCCGTAGCATCAGAGTCCAGCTCATGTTTCACTATTGAGAGGTGTGAGCGTAAGGCACCAGCAGTGTCTTCTAGACCTGTCAATGTACCAGAAGGTATCCCCACTGAAGCAGATCTGGAAGCATCACCTTTTGATGTGCCAGCACGATAATACTTAGGACCAACAACAGATCGAGACGCTGCACTCGCTTGTAATGTTGCTGTAGTTTCTATTTTCTTTAGGAATGCCTTTAATCCAATTGGTCTTCCACCTCCATCTTTCCTAGCAGCACGAGTGCATTTCTCAAATGTCTGTGATGCTTCCTCAGATATTCTTTTCCCAATTGCTCGAGCCTGAAGTATCCTTAACCGTCGTTGCAAAAAGGCACATCTGCGTTCAAGACGAGCTTGCATCAGTCTTATCTTATCCTCAGCCGCATCCCCTTCAGAGTCGGCGGTATCAGCCAAATCAAAACCACTAAGAGGAAACATACCATCGGGATCGCCTGTTGATAAGCCATCTCCTCCACTTTCCAATGTTTTGATCGCTTGGAGTAAGTCAGCTTGTGCAATATCACTGCTGCCCAAGTCCACTAGAATTTGCTCCATTTCTTGGGAATCTTTGGCAAGGCTAGGTTGGTTTTGGAGTCCCATGTCGTCCTCCTCCATGTGGGTCGCAATGTTATCGACGGACGCGAGCGCCCGTCTGTGATGAGATACCGACCTTTCAGGGTCGTCAACGGGGTCGTAGGTGCGGGGTGTCGCGGACAGCGCTGGGGCCATGACACGCGCTTAGCCCGCCGCGGACGCCGGCGCGCAGGGCGTCAGGGCGGGCTCCCGATACCGCACATACCGTCCCTTATGTAACACTCACTAATTATTCGTTCACTACACTGACACAACACTGTAATGCACAATCCACTAATAACATTCTCTTTAGAATCAATCTCCCTCCGGTTCCATAGCGAGATTATCCAGTTCAATTGAAAAGCGAACGGCGCGCTTCTGAAAAACAAGAATGTTTAGAACAGATTACTAGCCGGTCTTTGTCTATTTAAAGAAAACTTTTTTATTTACAACTGGACGCTAACACCGAATATACAAAACACATTCTATCTAGGCATAAAATTCGAAATTTGACCCACGTGATAATGAAAAGAGTACGCTAGCGATCGCAGTTGCTTGTTTCTGTACTATACGAAACAGGAAATGATACACTTGGAGAACAGTTTTAGTTAGATATCCATTGTGCACTGTTTCACTAACTTCACATTTGTAAAGGAAATAGTTTATAGTTATATCTAATAATGACTATGGAGATTTTTTTACAATAATAATGGCGGAATCAGGCCAAAAAACACTATTCAAGCGTGTGGATACTCCAGTGACGAACTGAAGACGGGCGAGACAAATGAAACGGTAGAGTCGCAAACAAATCGCGTAGTTCATTGGGAAAGAAAGAGATAGCTAGCACGTCCTTGATATAGGTACTTGCGCGGTAAAGTCAAATTACAATCGAATAAGGCAAGCACATTATTATCATTGAAACGAACAAAATTATAACATTTGAATAATTAAAACAAATTATTAATAAATATAAATGTAAAGGAAAGACCGTTTTTAAAAGGGAAACTTAATAAAAAGTTGCAAAATGACTATAGTACTATGTCACAAAATAAACACAATGCTTGTCGCCCAAGCGAAACGAAATAGAAACATAACGAACAGGTACCTACTTTTGATGATAGAAGTAAATTTAACAAAAATATAATAATTTATATAAATAAAATTGAAGCCGTCTAGACCACAAGTTTTAGTTTATTATAAAAAAAGGTTATATCAAAAATGACTATTTGACGTGTTCTATTTCCGGTATCTACCAATAGATTCATGGTAGTCTAATACAATGTTTCATTATGTACTTATATAGGTACGATATATAAAAGATAAAAATATGTTACTAAAAGTACCTATTTAAATTATATGAATAAAACACACTTGTTTTTATTTAAAACAAGGAATAAATAGAAACAAAAAAATTACCTATTTTTATTTTTATTGATAGCAACTCTTCGACTAAGCATGACTGCGTTTCGTTTTATGGAGAATTCTTTACTAAATGACAATGTATGAAAATAAAAACAGCACGTAGTCTAGTTATTCATCGGAGTGCGAGCAAAATATAAAGATGCGATAATAATCATAACAGAGTCGATTCAAAGACGCATGAGACAAAAAGTACCTAGCGACAATTATTCATAAAGAATTATAAGATATTATAAATATCTACATAGGTATCCTAACTAACCTGTTTAGGTATGGTATATTTGATTTTTAGAAAAATCCTTTAAATAGGTATATAATAAGTATTTATTTAGGTTATTATTTACATAACCTAGGTGTCTATAAGTTTAATATTTCAATAATTTAACATATGTAATTAGATGCCTGTTTAACAGGCATTACTTATTTGAAATTATTATATAAACATATCATAAATTACCCCTACTTATAAAACATCAATATCAACGTAGGCATTAAAACTGTTTAAGTACCTACTATATTATTACAGTATTTTCAGTACTTAGATGTTAGTAAAACATCTATTTGATATACCTATGCAATTACATTTACTTAATAAGTTTTATAACTAAAAACTTACCTAAAAACCCCAAGTATTTAAAGGGTAAAAGAAAAAATATATATTAGAATTGAGTATTTGATATTGTGATAAAAGATTTGAGAACACTTAGGTCATAATAATAAAATGCTTAACCTCATATACCAATTCATTATAAACCTATGTAATTAATGTAACACCTTAGAATGATAAACATAAATATTACTTTAAACTAAGTAATATTCTTAGTTGATAGGTGCATTCTGATATTAAATGATATACATGATAGTAAGATGTCATAAATAAGAAATGTAAATTTACAATAAGTGGCTAAAATAAAAAATATTTCTTACCTGTCTTTATTTACATCAGTACTTTCTTGAAACCTTAGCTCAGAAGCAAGGTACAATGTGTTCAAGAATTCCCACATCTTAACAGCAGTTGTCTACACCTAAAGTATTAAAGAAAATTTTAAACATTGTTTTTATTTAGTACATCAAATTAAAAAAGTAATAAATTTGTACTCAATAAAATGTTGACAGCTGCATGACACAAAAAAAAATATACCTTTACACACAGCCTCTCTGTATCATAACAGAATGTCATTTACAAAAAAGTCTACTTATTTCCAATAAAAGTGATCAAGTAGAGATCGTTATAGAGAAGAATACAAATTATCACTTAGAATAAATTTATAATTGGAAAGTTTTAATGAAAGTCATATAGGTCAGCAATATCGATATGATTAGTAAATATTATGATGAGATGTAATGAATTATTATTATTTAATTCCATCAAACAATAGTACATTTAATGACTGCTTGTACCAATTATTACTAAATACATAATATTTTTATTGAGGTATAACAAACTCATAATTTTAAACATCAATTTTTTTTATAATTATAAATATATATCTCAATCTCTAAATTTTAAAATAAGATGTAACAAATTATAATTATTATTATATTTAATTAAATAAAAGTACATTCAATATGTTATTGCAGTTATAATTATTAAACATGTTTCTATTGAAGTATAAATACCTTTTAAACACCAAAAACCTTTTACACATCAAATTTAATTATACATACATAAACAGTTGCTTATTAACAAATTATGAATTAAACAGATTTGACACGAATACATCAGGACCTTAATTTGTAGCAACTATTTGTGACTTATTGTGCAAGCCATTGCCTACTCAAATATAATTTTCAATGAACCACATATTTATTGCAACTTGCTTCTGATAATATTTTATTTTTTTTGTTACTTGCTCAGACACCTGTCTACAAACAAATCTTAGGAATGTTCCATTCTTTGAGAAATGTACTTAAGTATGAATATTTTGTTGTTTATAAAGAAAAATTAAAATTAGCTAATATACATTTTAATAAGCACGTACAATAAAATGTCATATATTAAAAAAAGAAATTGAGACAGTTTTAGGGAAACTTAGATTCATACCTGCCTTTAAGTAATTAACACTTGTATGAATTTGTTCGTATGGAATTATAATCAGAATGTTATTAAAGTTTGTTTTATCGAAAATTCTAGTGAATTCCAATTCAGGTGAAACTAAAAAACTGATTAAAAGTATTTAATGTACCTATAAAATTTTGTATCATTGAAGCTGGACAAGTTTTTAATTTCAATTCTAACGTTGTCAAATTAGATAATTTCAAAACGAATTATTAAAAGTAGATTGCTATTATACAATTATGTGTTTTCATTAATGATTAATAACGATATATTTTAATAACAATATAAATAATTAGAAATAATATTTTTATACTTACTTCGAAGGCAAGGACAGACAAGGAATAATAAGAAACGAAAAGAGAAGTGTTAAAATGAGTGAAAGAGAGCATATGAGCGGATAGTATTGGTTAATAAGACGGGAAAGCGAGAAGGCTAGTGATTCAGAAGGAGAAGTATTATGAGAATGAGAGAAGCAAGAACACTAATCTGTAGCAAAAACTGTTGAATTATTTAAATAGGCAGTTAGACTTTTTTAGAGGCAGTAATAAATGTTTTTGCATTATCTAACATATAATTTTAAAATATTATTACGTAGGTATAAGAATTCAGACTAATACTTTTTAACAGAATGAATAGATGTATACCTACCTAAGTATGTATTTAATTTATAATATTTAAAAATTATATAAGTAATTACCATTTTAGAAATTTCGTAAAATAAATAGTAATTATAAAATAATGCTTAGTATAAACATAAATATAGCAATTATATAATTCAAAAATAAGTTTTAAATAAATTTCTTACATTTCAGAACGTTATTTTTTTTAATCTATGAGAGTAGAATACGAACTCCACAGATGAATATAAGTATGTCCTAGTGTTGCCTAGTATTAACTCATTAATGCCACTATATTTTTTCGAGGACAGTTAGCCAAACACGTTCTATATATATATATATATATATATATATATATATATATATATATATATATATATATATATATATATATATATATATATATATATATATAGATAACCACTTTAGCCATTTAACACACGTAAATTAATGAATAAAATGATACAATTTGATTATTTACATTTTTCAAATATAAAACAACATATAAAACATAAAATTAATATTGGAGATATGTTTTCACCAAGTGTGTCGCAGTGACCCAAAAAGGCTACAGCTCAGTGATACTTTTGCTTAAAAGCAAAGCACTGATTTTCAGCTGCAACCTGAAGCAAGGCTACACGGACGCGTGCAACAAACCCAGAGTATAACCTGTGTAACCAATTTAATAGCAAAAGGTAAAATTATATTATATAGATACATACTTATATAGATGATGCATAAATAATATAATATATTTCATTAATTAATTAAACATAATATTTAACATATATAAATAATAATTCGCCACAGTAATTATGTTAAAAGCAGTCGCTACCAGGCGACTAATCCAAATTTTTGCTTATTTAATAAATGTTGCTTTATCAACTTTTTAAAAATTGATTTGGATGCTGTTAGTCTCATTGGAGGGGGTATGTTATTCCAGCATTTAGTCGCCTGGTGGCGAAAACATCCGGTAAAAGCGACTGTCCTATGGTTATGAACCGCCAACGGGGGCCGCGTTGATCGAGACACATTACATCCATAATAATTGTTGAAAGTCGGAAATTTGAGTTTTTTATATAGATATTCAGGGGATTTAAATTTCAGAAGATCAAACATAAGTACAGCAAGGTGCAATCGTCTACGTGAGTCCATGTTCAACATAGATGCTTCATTCAAATATGGTGTAATGTGACTACGAGGTGAAACAACAAAGCAAAAGCGACAGCACGCATTCTGAATCCTCTGTATCATTCGACGAGATGAAGAAAGGAGACGAGGCCCGTAGACCAGATCACCATAATTTAATCTGGATAACACAAGAGATTCACAGAGTGTAATTCGTGATCTTTCTGACAACAAATTTCGTATCTTGTAAGTTTAATAATATATATAATATTTATAAGTTTATAAGTATTTATAAGTTTCGTATTTTAAGTCGATAAAAGCAATTCCGGACCAAACCCAACACATGGTTTTCAAAACGCAAATTACTGTCAAAAAGCACACCAAGGTTCTTTGCCTCGCAAACATGTTCAATATTTGTATCACCGATCTTTACAACTAGACTATTGTTCGATGCCTTCTCAATTTGATTTTTCGAGCCAATTACCATATATTTTGATTTTAAAGGATTAAGAACAAGAGCATTATTATTAGACCATGCAGCGATGCGATCTAAATCTTCATTCATTTTCTGAACGGCATTAGATATCCCAATTTGATTTCTAGATATATACATATATATATATATATATATATATATAAGTACTGTATACATAGTACAATTATTTAATTAACGCAAGTAAAAATATACTACGTAATTGGAATATCCACTGATGTAAATAACGTGTGCCAAAAGGATTTTTTTCTTAACAAAACGTTATAAATTATGGCTATCATAATCTGTCAATAACTAATGTTGTTAATCATAAAGTGATTGTCTAAAGTTTGTTCATTTTAATAGATAAGGTACTTAAATAATTAAGTAACTGTACTTTTTTATATTATCAATTTATAGATTGGTAAAATAAAAAAGAGTAAACATAATAACATGTATGTTACAAAGAAATATATAAGTAAGTCAATTATCTATACACTATAAGTTCGAAGCTGATTTCGTAAGAGCATGAACAAAGTAAATTCTTATTATTTTTACGTTTTGAAGTATAAATAATTATAAGTGAATTTAATTATACTGAAGTAAGTTATACGTGAGTATAAAATTAATTACAAAAAATAACCACAAAATTGCATATTTTTCACATAATTACATTTTAAATATTTATTTTTTTAAATGTAATATTATAGAACAATATAAATATTTTGTATAAAAATTGGTGGAAAAACATACCTAATTAAACACAAGTAGTGAAAGTGTACGACTAAATATTAAAATTATAGCAAATATATGAATATTTACTATTTTTACAGCTTCAATTGCATATAAATTTAGAATGCTAACTCGCATTTATTTACAAAAGACTATAATTGTGCAGGACTGCTGTCCCCAAGAGTCGTGAAGGGGAGTCGGTCGGCACCAGAACACTGCTGGGTAAAACGGAAACTTATCTCCCCTAGCACGCATACTGTATACAGCAGTGATACAGTGTGCCAATTTAAGCAAACTTAACGATAACCGCGAAGGACTGGGTGCGTGGGTACAATAGATATAGATGACGAAAATTTGCTTGGAAATTAGGCCTTAAAGTTCGCGCTCGCATCACCGTTGTTCATTGATTACAATTTGATCTCAAAACTACTCGAGCTTTCTCTACCTAATTAAACATAAGTTAAACCGGTACTTATTACATTGAAAGTAATCAGTTTTTGTCTCATTTTTGTTATTAAATTGCCTGTTTGCCAATACTTAGTACATCACCTATACTACGTTTATGGTAAGGTAATTGACCAGTAGATTGGCCAGAAAATCTAATTCAAAGATGATAACACTAAACAGTGCCAAAAGCTTATTAAAAAAAAATAACTGATTCATTCATTACTGATAGATTGACAGATATCAGAAATTTTAATTTGAAACAGAAAATTCCAGACAATTTATCTTTTTGAAGACTAGGCAGCATGGTCTCCGACCTTAGCCTGTTCCAAACGGAACAAACGTACTAAAAAAAAAAAAAAAAATTGAAACAGAAATATACTGATTTAATCATAGATAGGCTGTCAAATTTTATTTACCTTATGTATTTTGTCTACCTGCCTAACATAACCCCATTTGTGTTGTTTTAGTGTTTGCTTTCTTTCTTCATAAATAATTGTGACTTACAATGGCATTAAATCTTGATAGAAGTCTTCAGTTAAATTCAACACAGAATACGCCATTAAGAAATAAACGAACAAGACAATTACTACAGAGAGAAGACACGCTAAATCTATCACCGATACTCAACGAAACCTCACTATTCAAGAATTTAAACGATACAACTTTGAAACAAGTTTTAGATGAATCTTCAGTGTTAGTTAATACCGGAAATGCCGGTGATGGATTGAATGAGGCATTTTTTGAAATAATACAAACAAGTCGACCGAGCGATGTATTGGACACTTTGGCAAGATTAGGACAAGTGTGTTGCGATTCTCTTGAACTAGTGGAGCCTTGGAACAGGTACAATGTTCATAATTATTGGTTGGCTGAAGAAGCAAATACGTGGAAACTGCTTCATTGTCTATATGCAGATTCGATTATGGAACATCCGGACAGTATTGAGAGCCTAATAACAGAACCAACATTATCTCAACAAACCCTTGTAGATGCTTTATTCCAAAGCGATGCAGAGTTACGTTTGTTACAATTACTTGTAGATTGGTTAGAAGCAACAGCTGCTTATCAAGAAGAGGCCACTATCACATCTGCACCTGTCATTGGAAATAATGTGCACTGGAGTAATACACTCCACCAGTTATTGATTGGGTCAACTTTATTTAATAAAGAGAGAAACAAAGCAATGGTAACATCTATGGATCCAGATGCTCCTAGACGACAAAAAAAATCTATACACTCTGATGACCAGAAAGATGATAATGATTTATGTAAAAGGATCTTCACAGAAGTGAGATGTGGCAAATTCAAAGAAGCCGTCTCCCTATGTATAAATGCAGGTCAAGCCTGGCGTGGAGCAGTATTACAAGGCTGGATATTGCTGCATTATTTGCCAAGAGATGACCCTAATGCTCCCTTAGAAATTTCTGGTAATCCTTCTAGAGATTTATGGAAATGGTGTGCATTAAATATAGCTAATAATGCTTCAGAGAACATACACTACAGAGCTACATTGGGAATATTGTGTGGTCATCTCACCAGCACAATACCAGCTTGTCAGGGCAATTGGGAAGATTTACTGTGGGCTCATTTAAGAGTACAAATTGAAATGAGGGTTGACAGATTTTTACATGAACATCACCTCACTGTAGATGCCAATACGACTACATCTGATGTCATGGATTTGTTACAATCTGAGCTTCAAACTGAAATATTATCCTTGCAGCAAATTTTCAATGCTGTTAAATCCTTAATGGATGGCAAAAAGGAATCACACTATCAAACCTGTCAACGTTATTTAATGCTTGGCCAGATAAGAGCAATTATGCAAGATTCTTTGGTATGGCTCGAGAGTGCTGAAGAAAGGTTTATTAGATTTTTGGCACATTTAATTTTAATATTAAGACAAATGGGTAAAGATCCCCAACATGATATAGGGGATAAAATTTTGGAGAAGTATGTAACTCAACTTATTGATAAGTTGGTTGATGGGTCAATTGAATGTCCAGAACTTATTGCTTATTACACATCCACTGTGCCAGTCGCTAGACAAATTCTTTTATATGCAGAATTGATGGACCACATTCAAAAAAGTGAATATAGGGAAGGAGTTGTCAGTGCTGGTTTAAATGCAGGAATTGATGTTGCAGCATCATCAAGGGTTGCCATAAAGAGAGCTATAACAGATATACAACAGGGCTATGGCAACTTGGACTTAACCTTTACACAAACCACAGCAGTTGAAAAGGACAAAACCTTGATAACTAAAGTGATATCATCTCTTGAATGGTTATCGCTTATTGAAAACCAGCTACAAGAAGCTCTTTGGCTTAGCAATGCCATGATACGTACATTTATATTCATAGGAAATACAGATGCTGCTTTAGCTTGCATTGTAAGTATCAATGAAATGTTTCCTGGCTTCATAAACAAAATTGTTCCAACTTCTGCTGAATTGAGAGAACATCTTTGCTTAAAGGCATATTTAGAAGCACTTGAAAGTTTTGCGACTTGGTACAGACATTTCATAAGTGGTCAACCCAAAGATGTGGAACCCTTACCTTCAGATGCATCATTTTCTGATAAAGTGCATTATGAACAAAGATGTGCCCAAGTTGAACAGCAGAAGGCCCGTTGGTCCAATGCAATATTGCATCAATCCAGGCATACAAAGAATCTTCTTTACAATGTATTACTATTCCCTGGAGGATGGCTACAGGATGAGAATGATTGTGACATATCGCAGAACTTTACCGAAGAAGAAAAACAGGAGAGGATCAAACAATTGGAAACTCTAAGGCGTCTTTGTATTCCAGAAGTTGTAATTCTAATTTTAAAGATATTACAGAGCAATGAAGACATTGATAATCACAAGGAAGCATTAAAATTAAGTAATCTGATTGCTGCAGAGAACAGATGTCTGTATAAAGTATTCACCAAGTCCAAATTAATAGAGGTTTTGGACAGAATCAAAGAATCATCACTATTGTTATTGGAGAAAGGATTGGACATGTTTGGTTATGAGGTTAATGATGAATAAAATGTCTAAATGATTTTTGAATAAATTTTGTATTTACATTGTACTTTTTATTTACATTTACACTTATTTACATAAAAAATAGTAAATAAAAACTTCAACAGAGCTTTCAACAATTATGGTACAGTCACTGGTGTTAAATTGATTAATTCATTACTGCTCTCTGCCAATTCTGTGATGGACACCCTTCCCCTTTGTTTTATAAATTTAGCAACATCTTCTAACTCCTTTTGGGATATGTAGATGAATTTACCCCTATCATCAATTACACCAGTAAGTTCACCATTTGTTTGCAAATCAGTTATTCTGTCAATGGCAGCTTGAGTTTTCAGTTTAAAATGTGCTGCTAAATCTTCCAGCAACACAACTTTTTGATCCTGTAAAAAAAAAAATGGTCAATATCAAACTTTATAGTGGTGGATTTCAGGTAAGATTTCAGACAATTATTTTGAACTATAAAATTGGAAATAAAATCTTGTCTAGCATACTACACGATCTAAGTAATCAGACTTAGAATTTTCTAAAGACATTATAAACTGTGTATTTTAAAATATGCTATTTATTAATCTTAGATAAAGAAATAATATTGGGGATAATACTTATTCGAAAATTAGATATTTATTTGACAATATACTGTTATAAGTTAAATAAAAGATTAATGTTTATATATAAAATTTTTTTAATAATCTATTTTAATTTTTTTAATACGTATTAAAAAATATTGACACATGGTCCATATATATATATATATACATATAGAAAGAATGTTTCTACTAAATATCCCATTTGTAATTACATTTATATACATTATAAATGTAATTAATTCTTATTAAAAAAAAGAATTTAAATGGATTATTAAAAGTACTTAATCTCTTCAATAGCCTGTAATGTAACAAAAATTAGAATTTCAAGCATGCATTTACAATAATTGCTATATAGGGGGAAAGGGATTGTTAGTAATGGAGACTGAGAATCCCATTGCTAGCAATATACCCAACCAGGTCGATCTCCTCGCGGTTCCCCCTGGAAACTATCATGGTTAATTCCTGATGAATTCATTATGATGGGCTAACTGGCCTGTTTTCATTCTCATCTATCACCCTTCACTGGTGCTCCGCCAGCGTATCCCGTTAGCGCAGGCGGGGTTACCGTACCATTTTCACCCATCAAAAAAAAAATTGCTATGTAGTCCCGGCATAGGATAGGCTTTTCCTTTCTATTGTAAGAGGCGACTAAGGGAGGGCGAGGGATAGGCCGCAGTGTCCCTCTTAAAACATCTCCAAACCCTAACTGTGGTTGCCAATCCGCCTGCCAAGCATAACAACTACTGGCAAAACCTCTAAGTTGGTGACTTATGTTCAGTATTAAACAAAAATCATACCAGTGTTCCTAGTTCATTATTTTTATGCACCTTGAAATTGCAAACTGACCATCCAATCAGATGTAAAGTGCTAACTGTCATCTATTGACATAAACAGATATGGACTTCACATAATACACTATGATATCCATGGTACCACTTATAGGACAACATTCTCCATAGAAGATTCCCCTTGGTCCTCACCAAAAGAAACTTATTTAATACACAATAAAGCCTTGTAAATGTATAAACCTACTTTGATATAATTAACGAAGTCACGCAGCAAACTTTCACGATCCTGCTCCTCTGTCTCTTCAAAGCCCTCACTGTCTACAGAGAAAGCAGCTTTCAAAGCTTCGTATTCTTCTTGCTCGCGCCTTTTTCGTTCTTCCTCTGCTTTACGTTCTGATTCCTCACGGAGACGTTCTTCTTCCTACATTATAAAGAATTATTTAGAAATATTTTAATGTTACCTACTTTTTTGTCTGCTTATCCTGTAAGGGTCTTGGCATGAAGATAAATTAGATTACTTTCTTGCTTTTCAACATTTGTCCTTTCAGTTACATAGCTTGAATATTTTTTAATAACTAGTTCAAGACATTTGTATGTTTTTGTCTTTACCTCTTTTTTCTCCTGTACTTTTCTTCTTTCCTCTTCCAGTTCTTCATCTTTCTTCTTTTTTATTTCTCGCATATGTTCTTCAGCTTCTCGTGCTTTCTTCTTTTCCAACTTGGCTTCAAGTTTAGCTCGTTTCTGCAAGAAAAAGGTAATATGGTAGATAATGTAACATAAAACAGTATACTAAATTAAATCCTTCTAATGTAATGTGTGTGCTCCGGCACAGAATGGGCCACCCCTTCTCTTCCCGTGGGTGTTGTAAGAGACGACTAAGGAAGGGCGAGGAATAGGTAGCAGCGCCCCTCTTAAAACATCTCTAAAAGCTTAACTGCGTAGCGTGCGTGCATAGTACTGGCAAAACTCTCCTTATGGGGAAGGCTTATGTCCAGCAGTGGACAGTTAACAGCTGAAATAATAATAATAAATTGCAGGGGGGAAAGGGATTGTTAGTAATGGACACTGAGAATTCCATTGCTAGCAATACACCCAACTAGGTCAACCTCCTCGTGGTTCCCCCTGGAACATCCCCCTAATAGTTTTATCATGGTTAATTCCTGATGAATTCATCATGATGGGCTAACTGGCCTGTTTTCATTCTCATCTATCATTCTTCACTGGTGCTCCGCCAGCGTATCCCATTAGCGCAGGCGGGGTTACCATACCATTTTTACCCATCAAAAAAATAATTATAATAAATTGAAATAATAAACTGCAAAAAGCAAGCATATGATTAATTTTTTTTCTAAGGGAATGCCAAATGTTCTTGTTTGGCTCCAATTATACTTCACTAACCAGATATTAAGCGTAATGGCAAATTTGCAGTTTATTTACTTAATTTGGTCTTAAGTTAAAACGAGGGGCCAAAGATAAGATCATTCATTATTGAGATGGCATAGGCGAGGCATGCTCAGATTAAAAAGATGGGGATTCTAGAACAAAAAAAAATAACATATTCACAAAGTGAGTGGTGACAAAATAAGGTCCAGAAACTATGTTCTAGATAGAATAGGTTATAGAGCAGCAGACAAAACAGCAGTGGATAATATACACTTTCTAACATAGATCCTATCAGAATTATCCACTAAAGGGAGATTTTATAAAAAAAGTTGCACAAGTGAGTTTCTCTGTTCCACTTGTATATCTGCAGTGAAGAAACTATTTATACATATTTACACATATCTGAGATCACAATATATTCTATGTATTCACATGGGGGGTGCCTATGCACAACAGCCCAACTAAGAGGCTAAGTGCGGAAAAGATAGTCCAATTTATATCACATTAGATTATGGGGGGGGGGGGTACCCACCCCAACCGTGACTGGTGCTCACCCAATGGTCCAAGCAAAGCATTATTAAGAAATGTCTACAATAAAACAATGATTCTGTGATATTCACCATCATACCTTAGCTCCCATTTTGTCATCAAATTCAATTTTTTGAGTAGTGTCTGGAGGGCCATTTTCATCGCCATCAACAACCACGGCTGCCTCTTCCTCAACAGCAGCTTGATGTCTAGCAGCTAGACAAAACACATTCTTTATTTAAAGTGTAAAACAATATGGACTGTAGAATTCTATTTACTTGTTTACCATCTCAGTGGTATATAAAAATGCTATAATATGTGTAACATACATAATATTGTAGATGGAAAATAGGTATCTTCATACAATTGTATAGTCACAAACAGTAGAATCTTAAAAAATAACTATTTAAATTTTTTTATAATTAAGTTATAAAAAATATTCTTATACATTTTGTTCTTTATTATATATAATATTGTAAAAATTAAAAATATTTTTTTTATAGTATGGAAATGGAATGATAGTCCTGCCCTGAAGTTTAATTTAACAAATTGTTCAAATATTCCCTATATTGCTAGAAATGGGGTTGCTAACTCTTACTGTTAACAATCCTTTATTATAAAATCAGGTTATGCTATAGTAAATAATAAAAGTGCCCTAAGTAAATATACATATATTTAATAGTAATGAAATATACCATTAGCTCTCATCCGTGCTCTCTGATTTCTAACCGCCTGCACTCTACCGGGACCGCCATCTCTTTGAGCGACGGCCCGAGGTCTAGCAGCAGCTGTTTACAAAAACAAGTGAATATTAGACTGCTTAGAATTCTAATATAATCATACATTTATTTTATTATACTTACGTTGAGTTTTGATTTGTGACACTCTAACGAAGGCAATAGATAGGACAATAATAACTACGGCGCTAATTATGGCTGCAATTATGAATGGATCCATAATGCTTAATGAACCTTGACACAAATAAAATTATAACAAATTAATGAATAGGTAATAGATCTCGATTGCTAATTAAATAGAAAACCTTTTTTGATGACGTAGATGAAGGTATATATATTGTTTTGAAGATACATATATTATTCTATGTAAGATCGAAAACCTAACAAAACAAGTTCGTGTCACATCACAATTGTTATCGGCAGCCTTACGTCACTTTGAATAAAATAAAATTTGTATGAAATCTATGCAGTTTAATTACGTTAATTATAAAAAAAATGCCTACTGTTTTATTTATTATGAAAATTTATATTAATAACAATTTTTTATTTTAAATTGATGAAGGATATTATATATACGCATTACGTTTATTAGTAGGTAGGTATATATCATATTAATGGATGTTAGTGACTTATTCAGTTTTGAATTTAATTTGGTAAGCGGATGGATTATATCTTAACACATACAATGTCTTAATTATATTGATTCCCGCAGGCATAGGTGAGGGAAAATAATTGGTATTGTATAAAGTAGCTAGATTTTTTTAATAGACGCATCGATATAAATATAGTCATGCTATAAACAATTATACAATACTAGTATAGTATTATATTATCTCTGACAATACTATGAAAATATATTTATTTCACTGTGTTCTGTGTTAATTCTTCAGTTAGTTTCGATAATATAAGTGCTGTGCCGACTACGTCTATTAGTAAAGATTGTCAACTGTTACCGTCACTGTCATGTTATGTCATTTAGATAAAAAAAAAAAACCTTTATTTAAGTCTAAGAACAAGGAATTACAAAATCTTTGATTTAAGTTACTATCATCATGCTTGCACCTTACGACACCCCACAGATATGTCTGTGCGACACCAGTAAGAAAGAAAGGAGTAGCCCATTCTATTCCAGGGCCACATGGCTATTTATCTAAGAGGTATATATCTAAGTTATGCTGCAAAGTTTTTAGTTTCTGATAATTTTGCATCGTTTACAGAGATATTAAATTGGACTAATCAATAGTAGGCTAAATTAGAAAATAATATGTCGTTTGTATGTGTCAGTTCATCACAATGTTTCATCATTTTATTTTGTAATAAATAAAAATCGAATGATGTATTTGCGATCATGAAAATTATGTAGGAAAAATATAAAGATTTGAATGATGATTGGAATGACGTTTGACGTCGACTTATTTTGAATGGGTGACGTGCCGTGTTGTCATCTGTCATGTTAATTTCTAATTACAAGTCTATTATATTTCTTGCTTTCGTATTTTGCAAATTTGCCGATTTTGATAACAAAAAAATATGAAGTCTATAAAATTATCTTTTTTGCCATTATTACTAATGATAAACTTGTCTTCAGCTTTATATTTTCACATAGCTGAGGGCGAAAGAAAATGTTTTATAGAGGAAATACCGGATGACACGACTGTTATAGGTAATTTTTCTCTTTATTACAAATTATTTAATTAATGATATATTTTTCTCGTTTTTATAGAGTGATTGGGGTTTTCAGTGAACTATAAGGTGCAACTGTATGATCCACGGTCGGGTGGGTTCATGCCCTCTACTCCTGGCATCGGCATGCACGTCGAAGTGCGTGACCCCAATGATCGTATCGTGTTGTCGCGGGTCTATTCATCTGAAGGCATGATCTCGTTCACATCCACTATTCCTGGTGAACATGTTATTTGCATGTACTCCAACAGCACTTCTTGGTTTAGTGGTTCACAACTGAGAGTAAGTATTCACTAAGCATCTTATTCATAAAAAATACAATTTTTATACAATATAAAATTTAGACTTATAAAAGCAAAAAATATATAAACACACTGAAGCAAATTGAAAATATCAAATAGCGGTCCTATAAAGTTATAATGGATATTTATTATAACTTTGTGTTAGTGGTCTTTTTTATTATTTATGTATGTGAAGTGATAGATAATATGCATTCTTTTACTGAATGAAATATTATTATACTAGAATATAATAGAATAGACATATTATAATATTCCTTGCTAGTATGTCTTTTAACAAAATTATACCTAAGATAATAAAAACAAAAATCATAATATTATTGTATTGAGAAAAAAAAATAAAGACACTCACCAATTTAGAAATTTTGCTTCTAATTATCTTTAATTATAAAATTATCAATGATAACCTCAAGTATTGAATCTAGCGCTATCTAGTATGTCATGTTAAATTTTGTTTAGTAATAACCACCTTAATATGTAAGTGATGTTCCACTATATTCTTACATTCTTAATCAATATTAATTTAATCAATTTTAATTTTGTAAATATATTAGTAAGTAGTTCCAAGAGATTCAAATATATATACATATATGCAGAGATCTAGAAAATTGCATTCAAAATTAAAAATGCTTAAATTTTGATAACTTTTATTGCACAAGAAAGTATTGAATTAGATTTTTGAACTCATAATTCATTATTAATTTTATTGAATCTGAAAAATTTTTTTTTTATGATTTTTAGTTACTTGTAACATTCTATAAAACAACATGAAGAGTTAATCTACATATGTTACAAACTTATTTTTTTTGTGGTGTTGATGTCATAATGTAACAATTGTTCATACCCACAGTTACAGATTGTTCAAATAAAGATTTTCATATGTGTAAATAAAAGACTCAATATTGTGTTGCATAATATAGATTTCAAACATGGAATAAAATTTGTGATAAGTACATAATAAATTATCTTTCAAATATATTTTCAACAAGATGACAAAAAATTATATACATTTCCTTTTTTTTACTTACATACACTACTTCTATTATACAATAATTATTTTACATACACTTCTCTCATATAATTTTGTATAATTCAACCCTAAGAAGACACAAGTCTGCGCGTTCACAGCAAAAAAGATGCCTATTGTCATATCTCCTCACTTTCAGGGCACTTCCTTTGATAATAAATTGAGTCTAGGAATTCTTTGCGTTGATATATCCATCTATATCCAGTTCAAGGGCCAAACATGTATCATGTTTTTTCATTTGAAAAATGAAACACACTTAAGATGATGACATTCTGTGTAATTGTGTGATGAAATAATATATTATCACACACTGTGAGATGATCACACATAGAGATGAATGCAAGAAAACATTAGATATAGAAAAAGAAAATAAATAGATATGAAAAAAGGGCAAGAGCAAAAAACTTAATAATAGCTCTTGCCCATGACTTCCTATGCATGGATTTTGGAAGTAGGAAAACTAAAATATAGATGGCATATCAATAAAACAAACATCAGTTTAATAAGTTCCTTTAGGGATACAACTGTAAAAGTCACATTGATTTTGGTGCAGTAGTTTTTGCATAATACTGGAACAAACATAAATTGAGAAAAAAAATCTAATAATTATTGTTTCAGTTTTTGTTGCGTTTATTAAAATTCTTCATATAAACTTTTTATATATATCTTCTATGTACAGACTTCTCTAGTTACATTTTTAATATATCTATATAGATTATTCAGATATCTTGTACTGTTTTCTACCTTACATTCCAATTAAGATTACTGTTTTCTTCATCTTCAATTATAATTTCTTCTTCATTGTAGACCAGTTGGTCACTTATAATCATAGAGTTTCTTTCCAGAATGTCATTATTCAATTTAATTTCAGTTTCTTGTATTGTTTCTTTTTCTTTTATGGTATTTGAATAGTTCTCTGTTTCTATTATAATTACTGGCACTTTGTTGATATCTAGTGTATCTAAATTGTTCATTTCTGTACACATATTTTCTACTGTTATTTGTTCTTCAATTGTATTAAAATCTGCTACAACAATTGGAATCATGTTAATATCTAGATTTAATTCTTTATCACTTCCTACTTGTAGTATATATATTTCTTCATCTTCATCTATGAAATTGGGTGATTCTTCAATTGTATTTTTTGTTTGTTGTTCTTTGTTATATTCCAACTGTTTTGTCTTTTCACCTCTTCTATTTCTTTTTATGGTTTTATTCATTGGTTCATTTTTGTAGCAATCAGCAGTAGGATATTTACTTGCAGCTACCTCTAATTTTCTTTTTTGTTTGGTTTTTATGTTCTTTGTATCATTTTGCATTTCTTTTAATAAGCTTAGAACTGTTCTCCTAACTGCATCTGTCTTGTTATTTTTATATCTTTCTGGTGGTAATCTTAATAAAACCTTATTTACATCTAAGGGATTTATACCCGTTTTCCTAAAGCCTAAAAGTATGTTGCAAGCTGCATTAATATTCAGTTGTGCCATGAGTGATTGTAGTGATCGAGGAAAGTATTCATTTGGTATGCAAGTAAGAAGTTGGCCATAATCATTTTTCCATTTTTGTAAAATTTGTCTCCAAATACAGTTTATTCGTTGGAAAAAGGCGACATCTAAAGGTTGGGTAAGATGCATTGATTTAGCAGGTATAAAGGCGAAGTTTATATCGTGTTCCTTACATAATTTTATTGAATCAATAGACAAGTGACTTGATAGATTGTCTCCTATAAGTAGTTTTTTTCCAGGTTTATTTATGAAATGTGGTATGATCACTTCTTCTAGCCAATCTTTAAATATTTCGCCATCGAACCGTCCAGATTTTGATGTGTTGTATTTAGCTCCTTTGGGACCATTTTTAACCCAGGTATTCTTTAAATGTGTTGCTTTATAAACTACATAGGGTTTAAGCAATTCTCCTTGGGCAGTACCAGCTAACATCAAAGACACGGACTCCAAATGTTTGACTACTTGTTGTTCAGGGTACTTAAAATTAGGTTTTGTAATTATTTTGGCATGACCAGGATCGGTGGATAAATGAGTTTCATCATAATTCAGTATATTTTCTGGAGGTACACCAACAAGACTATTCTTCAGCTTCTCAAAATATTTATTGATCACAGATGTTGATAGAGTCTTCGTTTTTGTCCTTTTGAGGTTTTGGCATGCTTCCGGAAGTTTGTTTTTATGTCTCTCCAGAAAAGTACTAACGTAATCCGGCCCTGGAAAGTTATTTTTGAATCGTTTGTTCTTAATGGATAATGTGTCCAAGTACATCTTAATAATGTATCGTAATTCTAATATATTTAAAGGATATCCCCATTCCACAAGTGTCTCAAGATGTTTTACAATTTCCTCCTCAACTTCTAAAGAAAGTGCTAATTGCCCTCCATGTGGTTTCATATTCCTTTTTGTTCGCCTGTATAAAACAGACTTTGTTATATTATATTTTTTTGCAATTTCTGTTATGGACGTATCTGGATTTGTAAGTTCCTCTGTCGCTTGACGTAATAAAAGTGGATCGTATTTTTTGTACTTTTTACCACCTGGTTTTGGCTTATATTTTCGCGGCATGGTGTGATTCTGTAAAAAAAAATCATAATCATTCGTTACCATAATAAAAATGTTCTCATTTATGCTACAATTGTTTTGCAAATAACTTAAACGTATCCAAACTTGAACATCATTTTAATATTATGTGAAATGGCACCTGCTGAACATTAAAATGGGACTTAAATACTTATGCATAGTAACAATTTTAAGTACCAGAAATGTATACTGTGCGCGTGAGTTTTGATTGACGCAAATCGTACCTTTTTATATAAGCAGAGTATTCTAACTCTGTTGTTTGTTCCTTTTGTACTGTTGAGGTTGCGCCCATGTTCCCATTTCATATGTTAACGATCATCGAAATATTCTATTCTTTACTCAATCAAATCGTTAAGATTATCTTATATTGAATTATATTATAGCTGTTCGATTTTTATCATATATTCTATAGTTCTTTGGATGTTCAACTTAAGTATTTTTTTAGTATGTGAAAAGTCTCTGTGGTATAATACCACAATAATTCAATGTTATTAGCATATAATAATTAATCTGAGAGATTTTTTGTTTAAAATACCCTGTTCCTTTTAGTGTCAAGTATTTGTCAACATGTGTTGTCACAATTTAAAATAAAATATTATAATAATTTTTTTTAAGTTTTTCATTCATTGAACTTGATTATAAAAGTCGTGATTTTTATCCTCATTTGCCCCTTTAATTTATACATATTCTTTTCGTTTTATTTATGGTATCTATAAAAAATGTTAAACAGTTTGAAAAGTTACGTTTTTAAAAATTGAAGCGTGAATTTAATATTTTTAAAAACTACAATAATATAAATATGATGATATATTGTCTATATTTTATTCCAGGTGCATCTGGACATTCAAGTGGGTGAGCATGCAGTGGACTACGCTAATGTAGCACAGAAGGATAAACTGACAGAATTGCAGTTGAGGATCAGACAGTTGTTGGATCAGGTTCACCAGATCACCAAGGAACAGAGCTATCAGAGGGTATTTATATATTGATTCCAAGCATATTAGTTAAGGAGAATAAGGATTAAGTAATTGTTGTTTGCCTGCTTATCTCGGTAATATTTTCATTATAATTTTAAAATTTTTCAAGGTTTAATTCTTTACATTTGAAATAACTGGTTTTTTTGTGGAATGAAATCTTAAACAATTAAAATGTTGAACATATTTTTTGTTGGTAGTTTTTTTAGATAACAATGTTTTATTATATACTAGCTTTTTCTCATCACTTCATCTGTGTGACTGGCATATGTTCATTGATCAGAATAAAAGTAGTATACCAAATTTTATAGTAATTGATTAAGCCATAAGCCACTAAGAGGTAACAAACTTACTTGTACATTTATAATATTAGTAAGGATTTTTATTAAGTATATATTTTATATTTAAAAAATGTTATTCCAGCATCGTGAGGAGCGTTTCAGACAGACATCGGAGAGCACAAATCAGCGTGTGCTGTGGTGGAGTCTCCTACAAACTGGTGTACTTGTGGGGATTGGTTATTGGCAGATGACACATCTAAAGAGTTTTTTCGAAGCCAAGAAATTAGTTTAATATATTTATATTTTAAATAAGTTAAGCTGTTATCACTTTTTCATCAACATTTTGTAATATCTCTGCTATTCTGTAAAATTAAATACTTTTTGTTTTTTGTAATTACCATATTTCATCATGTTTCTGTAAAGTTTCTGTAAATGATCTGTATTTTTCCAAATAAAAGAAAGATATTATGTAGAAATTTAATTAAAAATTAACCCATAAAATAGGCAAGAAAAAATATATTAAAATGAATTAAGAGTCCTTTAACAAATAAAAAGTAATATAATGTGCAAAATATAAACAAATCCCTGTTATGATAGTATAAAATATTATTGTACATTTATTGAAAATTTACAAAAGTTTGCCCAAATGTTTTTTAAAATAACCTTAATCTACATTTTGTTTTACTCTAAATGCATCATCCAGGTATTTCATAAATAATGATGTGTCAGGCTCAGGAAAGGGTGACAACAAAGTAAAATCCACCATTTCTAATGTACTCTCTAAAGTATCACAAGTGCAGTAGTACAAGTGTCCATCAATCTGAAGTTGCTCTGCTAGTTCTAGCTGGTGATTGTCCATTAAATCCTCATTTATAACCACTAATAACGGTTTCTTAGCTTCAAGAGCCTCTAAACAACTCCCTGCTCCCGCGTGACTTATGATCAGATCTGCTTTATGTATATCTTCTTGGATTGAATCTTTCAACCTATAAACATCTATCACAACTCCATTCCTCTCGTATTTGCCTATCTCAAAATCACTATTACCAATTTGAAGTATAATATCTTTGCAACCAATCCGTTTCAAAGCCTCCAATGTGGAAGGCTTAAAAATGGTATTCACGAGTAAATCAAAGCGTGTTGTACCGACAGTTACAAAACATTTCTTATACTGTTTTTCCATATCGAAAAGTACTCACGTAGTCACAGAGGATAGGATTCACATTCACGGAACTTTTCAAAATCTGTTCCTCCTATTTTTGAAGATACAAAACAAAAATAGTATAAATAATGACGTAAAGTGTCGTATTAAAAGTTCATTCATGATTTTTGTTCATTCGACAAACTGACAGAGACGAAATCGATAATTTGTCAATGTCATCTCTTTTTTTTTTAAGTACGTTTGTTCCGTTGTGGAACAGGCTAAGGTCAGAGACCATGCTGCCTAGTTTTCAATATGATAATTTATCTGGAATAATGTCATCTCTATTAAAGTGTATTTCGTATTGTAATTCGTATGAATTACTTTATTTGAGTTCGTGTTTCTGTACAATTTACTAATAAAATGTTATATCGTACAAATCCTAATTATACTATATCTATTACTACTTATTTTTCTTTACTCATTAAGACTATTACTCAGAGAAACATTAAAACAATCACATAACAGAGCAGTAGGATGGATTTACTGGGCACTACCAACCTCTTTCAAACCTACATAGTTACAGAAAAATAAATAGTGACGTTCTTGACAATCTTCTTGTCTTAGCAATTTTACCGAACAATATTTTGTATCGCGACTTATTATATCTGGATTTATTTACTGTAAATATTATTCATTATACAATCTCGTACTAAGTCTTTCTTTATATATATATATATATATATATATATATATATATATATATATATATATATATATATATATATATATATATATATATATATATATATATCATAAGCCCACATCTACACATCTCTACATGTTTATAAAAAATATAACGGAAAGTATTACATTTTCTGTTAGTCTACATTCTCAATTTTTTTTACTATTGGAGGGTCCTGCGATTGATTATAATTTCACCTGATGGAAAAGATGATGTGGTGTAAGAAAGATGGAGCTCGCGGGCCTACTAATAGTCTATTCATATTTGTTATAAATTGCTACAGATTATATTTGGATGGAAAAACATAAGCAGTGCCTCCCAGTAGGGAAAACACAAGCTTTTTATAGGCATTGAATTCAACGAGATTAGCCTTTCTCCAGTTGGACAAGGTATCCAAAGTTAAGTCAATGCGCTCCACTATAGACTTTTTAAATGATTTGATCTCATTTGAAGTAGCTCTGGCACTGGAAATATATTTCTCAATTACGATATTGTTATCTGTATCCCCAATGATACCCCCGGTATGAGCAGATCGTTGATGTGTAGTAAGATTATAATTATGAACAGTTCCTTTACTATGGATCTAAAATATGTACCTGAAGATTTTTAGTACCGTAATACCATATAATATTGAGGTTTAGTTTAGTTTCAAGTTATTTTTATTTGCGTGAACTTACTTACTACTTACTTTACAGTTACTTCAGTCGCCTATATTTTTATCGTACGGAATTATAATTAAACAATGTACCGAAATCGATAAGAATTCATTCATGTATAGCTTTGCATAGGTTTATCTTACCGATTAGCTTAAACTGACCCGTCCTTGTTCTAATTTACTAGTGTTACAAGGTTGATTCATTAAATATTAACGAATTAAGAATAAGAAACTTATGGTATCTATAGATTAAAAAAGTAAACAAGTTATTTAAGTAAATCATCATATCAGATTTAAATTGACCATTGCTGAATATAAGCCTTCCCCTAGCGGGGTTTTGCCATTATTTGCCATACTTGGCAACTAATGGCCTGACTACGACTGACAACTAGGTTGATTGGCAATCGCAATTAGGGTTTGGAGATGTTTTAAGAGGGCCGCTGCTGCCTATCCCTCTACTCACTGTGTTCATAAGTCTTGTTTCTACATGATACCCACGTCCACTTTATGCCATAGTGCAGCTCGCCATCGATAAGGAATTTACCCCCATACCCCTACCTCCATTAGAGCCAGGATGATTGCGTACAGCGCGGTTTCAGATATGTCTCCTCCTTAGAACGCTCAGGTTATGGAATGAGCTCCTTGTCGAGATTTTTCCAAGAGACTACAGGAAAGAGATTTTTACAGGAATGGCAAAGCGTAACACGTCCTGGTAACGCAGATGTTCATAGGCTACGGCATTAGCTTACCATCAAGTGGGCCGTATATTCGTATATATATATATATATATATATATATATATATATATATATATATATATATATATATATATATAAAACGAAATATTATAGTAGATAGGTAGTAGTTTTTACCCGCTATTTCGTCTGTTTGACCTGGATACATGGTCTGACTGGAATAAAAAGTTGACTAATGTCCTTCTCTAAAATTTTATGGTGCATCCCTGTATGCATGCATTAACGGCATCAAGAGGGAACAGACAATCTCACTTTTACATGTAAACCACACAAATATTCGTACATCATATAGTATGAAATCCAATGAGTCCATTTCATTGGATTCTAGATAGCATATCAAAAGTTTAGTCTTCAGTAACGCAATTGTATAAACCACATTCCAGTTTGGTGGAGTAATTTTTGAGGGTTTTTTTTTGTGGTGAAAATAGAATGGCAACTTCGCCTGCGGTAACGGTGTTAACGTTATATTGCCGAGGCACCAGTGAAAGGTGATAGATGAGAATGGAAACAGGCCAGTTAGCTCATCATGATGAATTCATCGGGAATGAATCATTATAGTTTGCAGGGGGGACCTTGTTGTTGATACTTAGTCTCCATTACTAACAATCCTTTCTCCCCCCGCCCTATTTTTGCTGGGTCAATTAATATGAGTAATGATGCATATATGTTTATTTTTTCTCACCTATCTTAAAGTCACCGATTTTTGAGGGATGACGAATAGCAAGGTGGGTGAAATCACACCTATAAGCTGCAAGTGACCTGGTATGTTCTATCGTAATTAACGTACATTATTTAGTACTTCTGACCTTTAGGTAACACTCTCTCTAGTAATACAGGTTGCTCATATTTTATCTCTATATTTTATTTAATAAAATATACCATCAAAATTTGGGAATTAATCGAAAATATTGGAATTAGGGATAGAAACGTATATAAAATTATTAATACTCAGGTATTACTTAGGTATAATATTTAAAAACTTTGCAAAAATTTTGCAAAATATACATACATGTAATTTATCTACCTATGGTTAAAGCTGAAAATCTGTGTTTTGTTCCTTGAACAATGTTCCACACTGAGCTTCGACCTTTTTGTATTGCTGCAGATCACACGTAATAACACAATTTTATAAATCTTATGTTGTTTTATGTATTATCTATTCTTATGAACATGTTGTGTGTGATTAGTAACAAACAAATAAACGATCTATCTATCTATCTATGGTTTTATAAAATAATTTTATTTTATTTGAAAATTGACGATTGTAATTTTTAATAGGAATCAAATCAGAGACATTTGGCGATTATTATGAGTAAACGTAACATTTAAAAAAAAAAAAAAAAAAGGAAAAATGTATTTATTATCAAAATATGTTTTTATAAGCACAGAGTTTAACATTGTTTCTAACACTAGGCTGAGTCTGATTTGACATATCTACCATATATTTCGTAAGTCTACTGCTGTTGCTTGATTTGGTTTTTAACGGTGTTTTTCATCACCAGAGGGATTTCCATTACCGATTAAATAGACTAATGCATGTTCATTATTATCATATCAGTTGTTAATTTTCCACAGCTGAATATAAGCCTTGTTGCCGTGGTTGTAATGCATATTGCTAGATATGTATTCTGTCAATTTACTGGTAACTCGACTAGTTTTGAATGCAAAGTGAGCCCTTAGTAATCAATAGCAAGATTTATTTTTTATCTATTGCAGTCGAATGCGCTAAAAGAGAGTTGTGTTTATTAGAAAAATGAAAAAAAAAAATGGGTATTTATACAGTTATATGCATGTACAGATCGCCTACGATAACATGCCATGTCCCTCCAAAATACACACAAAAAAAAATGTGTCAGTAGAAATATTTACAAAGTTTCAATCGAAGAATATAATACTCCGCTGACTGGTCCGCTATTGAAGACGTTTCTTCACATATACAAACAGCACACCACGTCTGTATATGGCCACACACATTTAAGTAAAAAGTTGGAGGGGTGTTATTTATGTTTATTTATTTATTAGATTTTTTTTTTAAAGATTTATTCTGTCGCTATGTTGCTTGTTTATGGGATAACCTTCTAGTCAGTGTATAATTTCAACTGCGTATAAAGACTGTTGATATTTGTCTCTAAATTTATTGATGTATAAATTATGTATAAAAACGCAAAGCCCTGGTTATATCATGTACGATATTTAGTCCACTCTTATTTAGTCATTCACCCTTGGCGAAGCCCTTGCAAAAGTTTAGCAATGTGTCCCTGGTGTGCTCATTTTGAAATATGTATTTAATATTATCTTCAGTTATGATTCCATTTATCTACACTGCAGTTATAGTGGTTTTTCGAATATTTTAGCCCGTCAAAGAATATATGCTGTATGATAATGTAGAAAATGTATATATCTGCGTCTCTTTCTGTACTAATACGAAAGTGACTTTATTTTTAATTTGTCGATGCCAAACGGCTTAACCAACAGTTGTAAATTTTTGCATACATGTTGTATTTGACATGAAGACACCCGACTATTCTAAATGTCCTTGCTACTCGGACAAAATCGTGAGCAAAACTAGTGTTAATGTAGACACCCTGTACAAAATCAATTCAACTTGCTCCTCGTGATTCCGAATGTTATTCCTTCGACTAGTTTCACCGTGTATAGGTATCGGTCGTACATTAAAAGTTAACATGCCCACCTGTGCTCACTTTATTAATTAGATAGCTAATGAAATTACTAATTATTTAGAGAATTTTCTGTTATAATCCGTTAATTTTTTCTACGAATTATGACTAGGACTTCATATTTGGAAGGTGGACAGTGCACATTGTTTGTGTCATTGCAAAATGCAATTATGGTTGTTCAGTGTATTTCTTTTCGTACCTGCATTAGGGGAGGACTTCCCATCATTGATAACTGCGAATGCATCGATAGGTACGTAACCTAATATAATTATATTTATCATAAAAATAATAGGTACTTATAAGCCTTGATTTACCTATTTTCCATAAATGAGGTTTCGAATTCGATTCCTGATCGAGCGAATTTAAAAAACGAATCTTTCTGAATTGACTCGAGTTTGTGTGTACTGGATTTTGATTTCCGTTTACTAACTTTTGGTGGAATAACAAAACAAAATACAGGTAGCCGAATATGGTACAAAATAAGATACTGAGTTTTAAAAAATTTTACCTGCGCTATTAATGGGTGATAATGGAATGGTAACTCCACCTGCGCTATCTGTATACACCGGCGGGGCACCAGTGAAGAATGATAGGTGAGCATGAAGCAGGTCAGTTAGCCCATCATGACGGATTCAAGAATAATTGATCATGATGGTTTCCAGGGGGAACCACGTGGAGGTCGACCTAATAGGGCATATTGCTAGCAATGGGGCTGTCAAACTCCATTGTTAATAATCCCTTTCCCTCCGACCTGCGCTATTAGAATAAATATGTTATTCTTGCCTATCTATAAATATATAACACAATTCTAATAAAACTACACCAGTCGATATGTAGAAGATATTTAAGATAAGTTGATGCGAGAAGTTTTTTAAAGAATTTCTGAAATATTTGTCTCCCTATACTATATATTCTCGCTTTGTGGTCCCTTCATAGAATGGCCCTTCCTTTCCCGTGGGTGTCGTAAGAGGCGACTAAGGGAATTTAGTAGTCGAGGGATGCTGCGGCAGCAGCGTCCCACTTAAAATATTACCAAAGCCTAACTGTGGTTACCAACCCGCCTGCCAAGCGTGGCAACTATAGGCAAAACTACTATACATAGGGGTAGGCTTAGCCCAGCAGTGGACAGTTAATGGCTGATGTGGTATATAGTATAGGTACTACACTATCTTTGTTCCAACATCACATATAATAATATTTATTTGTAAACATTAACTTTATTAGCAAATTATTTAAGAAACTAGCTTTGTCTTACGACTTTGCTGGCGTTTGATATTTCATTTCTTGCACATTACGTTTTGAATTATGACCTTAAATAGAAAACTTCATGTATCTAACTTTTAAACTGACGAAACTCCATACAAACTTTCAACACCCATTTTACCGCTTTAGGGGTTGATTTTTCAAAATTACTTCCTTATTGTTCACTTACGTTGTATAAAGAACCTATCTGTAAAATTCCACAATTCTAGAATCCGCGGTTTTGGCTGCACGTTGATATATGAGTCAGACAGTAGGTCACTCGTATTCATTCATTCATACTCTTTTAAATATATAGATTAAAAGAAAAAATAAAATGAAAATTGGAAAGTAATGATAATCAATGTGTTTGCTGATTGGAGATCAAGTGAATTCAGGGAGAAAGATATATCATTGCTTGTTAGCCGTTGACGTCAGTGGGTTGTTACTGTGCAGATAATTGACGTAAATTATTACGTATTTTTTTTTTATTCAAGATAGAATGGCAAACAATCTGACGGCCCACCTGATTAGCAGAAGTGTTAACCGTTGCCTATAGACATGAGCAGTACTATGGACATAACAAAGTACACTGTTTTGCCTATGATACCACTCATGCGTTGCCATTCCTGAGGACTCAGGTGTTATACCTCTGTACCCTGTAAATTCAATGCCATATCCCAGCCTTCAAATCGAAACAGCCATGTAAACACAATTGCTTTACGGTAGAAACACGAATGGAACAGAGGTGTCCAAGCCAACAACTTCTGTACAGTCTCCCTCTGGTATACGTGTAGTTATACCTAACTAGTTTTTACCCATTACTTCTTCTGCGTGACCTGGATGTATTTATTTATTGCAACAAAAACATAAAAATAAACAATAACATATAAACAATTCAACTGAAATATAGTAGCATGATTAAAACAAAATAAACAAATATATATATATAATATATAATAACATACAAAGGTATAAAAGGCGATATTTGGAGATATTTTAAGTGGACGCTGTTCTCTCGACCATTAAGTTCCCTTAATTGCTTCTTACGATGCTCACGGGAAAGGAAGGGGTGGCCTATACTATGCCAGGCTTTTCTCTGATTATATGTAGGTAGGTATAGTATAGTACCGGTAGGTAGTATATTAGTAGGTTGGTAGGTTTTTTTTTATGGGTGAAAATGGTATGGTAACCCCGCCTGCGCTAACGGGATACGCTGGCGGAGCACCAGTGATAGGTGATAGATGAGAATTAAAACAGGCCACTTAGCCCATTATGATGAATTCATCAGGAATTAATCATGATAGTTTCTAGGGAGAACCGCGAGGAGGTCGACCCGGTTGGGTATATTGCTAGCAATAAGATTCTCAGTCTTCATTACTAACAATACCTTTCCCCCTAGATAGGTAGGTAGGTAGATTATGAATATATTCACATTTTTTTTTATTAGCCGTAGTACTAGATCGTCAGTACCTCGGCGAACAATACCAGTCTATACTGGACGACCTGAAGGACTACATCAAGGAGCTGGCAAGGGTTGACCTCAAGCACGGCGGAGTCGTTGTACATTATTTCTCATGGACTACAATCAGTCTTAAGAAAGGTACATGTACAGTTTGTTTCGATAGAATTTAATGAAAATATAAACAAAGAAATTGGCTCGATCAAAACATAATTTGCTGATGTCCAATAGCAAAATGTATGTACCATCCTTCTCGTTATAAGGCTGTCTACTGAGTGACCGCTTATTAATTGCATTAACCGAAATGAGAAATCTACCTCTTTATAATAATATATATATATATATATATATATATATATATATATATATATATATATATATATATATATATATATATATATATATATAAATTCTCTAATTCTATTGCACTTCATATTCAATGTACTCTGTGATACTGTTCACGTCTATATAGGCGATGGTTACCACCTCCCATCAGGCGGGTCGTATGTTTGTTTGTCATTTTTAATTACACAAAAATAATATTAATATTTTACTAAACTAGGCAACGCACGCGTAATACCTCTGGTACTGCAGGTGTTCATAGGCTACGGTAACCACTTACCATCAGGTGGGCCGTATGCTTGTTTGCCACCTCAGTGGTATAAAAAAAATATTTTGTGGTAATCTATATCACTGGTTACTTGATTTGAGTTATTTTGTTTAATTCCGCTACCATTATTATTGGCAGTAATCTGTTAATTTGCCTAAAGATGCCTCATTTAGAGGTAAAACACGAGGTCGCAAAATGTGCGTGGACGAAATGGTAGTTGGAGATATATGGGTAATATGGAAATTTGTAGAACTTCTGGTAATAATAATAGTAGTCAATCTTCGAGTGTTAGCAGTCGCACACATACTAATGGTAGCGGAATTAAACAAAATAATGATTATCAAATAAATATTAAGAAATTAATATTAGTACTACAAATTAGTTGGATAACGTTTGACTATGCCCAAAAAGCCTTGATTCAAAGCCCAAATCTTGGAATTTATCAAGTTAATGCGTGGATCATCTAAAAATAAATGTCAGTCGCTTCGTATTTCGGGGGGCTTTTAAAGCCTACGTTCAGTAAGTCATGGTAGATTCGTGTAAAATGTAAGCAGCTTAGAAGTTCTCGACCTTAGGTGTAGCCTTCGTGTAAAATGTAAGCAGCTTAGAAGTTCTCGACCTTAGGTGAAGTTGTAATACTGCAAGTATAATATATCGTTTTTGTCATCAGGTTTTATAGCAGTCTTCAGTATAGCATCATGCGAAGATACATGGTCCTTATTCTCCAGAACGGAAGAAGAGGATTTACTTCTATTTGCCTTAACAGAGGTGGACTGTCCACGGCTCCCACTGAACGCAGCTATCACCGTCACTTACACTGAACCTGGTGAAGAGTTACCGCAGATACTCCTCGATTTGAGGACTACAAGGGCATTTAAGTGGAAATCAGCGGCCATATTGCATGACGACACTTTGAGTAAGTTATTAGTAGCAATTATGTTTTTAATGGCCGTGTGGTCCCGGCTATAGGATAGGCAAACCCTTCTTTTCCCATGGGTACCGTAAGAGGCGACTAAAGGTAAGCGAGGGATGGACAGCAGTGCCCTTGTTAAAACCTCTTCAAGGCCGAAGTGTGGTTGCCAATCCACTTGCCAAGAGTGGCAACTACTGATAATGTTGGTAATTAATAACCCCCTCTGTGCTATCAGCATACGCAGACGAGGTATAGTCTGAGGGCATATTACTAGTAATTGAGTTGTTACACTTCATTACTACCAATCTTTTTCCGGGGGGAGAAGAGATAGTAATGAGGAATAGTGGGGTCGTCCTCCACGCGGTTTCTCTAGATATTATCGTGATAAATTCTTGATGAATTCATCACAATTAGCCGAATGTCTCGTTGTCATTTTCACCCCTCTCTGGTTCCCCGTTAGTTTATACCGATAGCGCGGGTGGTTTACTATTCCTTTATCATCCATTAAAAATTTCCCTTACCTTTAGTTGTGATTATGTTTGCCCTTACTCCTGTCTAAAGCCCTCCATTTGTATTAACGAGCGCTGTTACTTTCCCAGCTTTAAGACATGGTATATTAATGGTGATATATTATACGATTGAGTTATTGAGTCTCTTTTATCGAGCTTCTCTTTTTAACCGACTTCTAAAAAAGGAGGTGTTTTTATGTTTATCACGTAATAACTTCCTCATTTGTAAATCAATTTGGATTTTTGTTATCTGAAGGATGTACTTTCAGATTGGTTCTTTAGAAATAATATTAAAGTTAAATTTTAACAAAGTTTTTAAATTAAAATAACTTTTGTTTGGTTTGCTTTTGGTTTTGCCACGATTGAAGTCGGATTTTTATGTGAAGTATAATTTTAAATTATATTTTTTTTATGGATGAAAATGGAATGGTAAATGGCCTGCGCTAATGGGATACGCTGGCGGAGCACCAGTGAAGGATGACCGATGAGAATGAAAACAGGCTAGTTAGTTCATCGTGATGAATTCATAAGGAATTAATCATGATAGTTTCCAGGGAGAACTGCGAGGAGGTCGACTTGGCTGGGTATATTGCTAGCAATGGATTTCTTAATCTCTATTACTAACAATCCTTTTCCGTCCTTTTAAATTATATTAGGTGACTTCGAAAAGAAAATTCCAAATTCACCTGTCTGAATGAATGAAAGCTCCTTATTGTTCCCTTTAAAGGATAACACAGATTACAAGGATTAATATTATATGTATATCCAAAAATAATTATAAAATTAATTACAAAAGCAAGATAAAGAGGCAACAACGGGTGAACTGAATTTTTTTATACGTCACATGATATTGCGTCATTGACGATTTTAAAATGATTTTTTTTTATTTTGTTTGCCGCGGGACCTACCTATATTAATTTTATCTAAATAGATTAAAATCGCATTTTTTCTTGTGTCTTATATTTGTCTTTCTATACGTCTTGTCGGTTCATTTGTTGTAAATTCTTTTTCATGTACTTCCTGGTATCCAACTAAGACGAAATAATGTATTACTATGTGTAAATCGAAGACAATGTACTTAATATTATTGAAATTGGTGTGAGGGGTCTCAATCAGACCAATAGGTACTAAAACATTTATTCCAAAACATTTTTTGTCTAATTGTCAGTCTGTATGTTTATTCGGGCATTACTGAAGATAAAACTTAAAATCAGTTGTATGTTTTATCTTAATATGTCCTCTAGATCATTTATTTTCTTATTTCTGAAATCCACGCGTACGAAGTAGTGGGTAAAAGTATACAATAGACTTACTCCGATAATTATATTGTTTTCAAATATTCTAAATGGGGCATTATAGAAAATAATAATTCCAAAAAGTATTTTATTGTTATTTGTATTTCTACAGGTGTATTATTTTACACTACATTTTTTTGTAATAATATTATATTACCTGTATTTACATATATCCTATAAATATTTGTAGCATCTTGTGATATAAATAGAATAAAGCATGATGAAACAAACAACATCAGTTTCATCATGCCGTGTGTACGAACACCAATAGTAACCTGTTATGTGTACCAAATAAATTAAAAAAATATACACTACGTTAATAATGAACCCCATTGTCGAGCCCTAAAATAAATCATGAATTTATGTCACGAAGTAAACTTGTACAGAGCAATTAAGAAAAAATAGTACTACAGCACAGATCTCCCTCCAAAAACACGGCATGGTATTAAATATATTTTTAATGTTATTGGCCATATAGTCGATATTCTTTTTTTTATAATTATTTACACTATTATATTCATCGTTGTTTTATTCCTTTTTTTTCTGTTATAGTACCTATTTTCGTTTTGATTCGTACCAGACTCAATTGTTACAAGTTTTTAGTATGAGTTTTTCGTCTTTTGTATTATACGCTTGTGTATACGCTTAGTTCCCTTAATATGCAGTTAGATTCTCACGCAATATTTCGATGATGATAAGAAATCGTGATATATTGTCATTTCATTTCATCACTATACTTACGTACGAGAGGAAGTATAGGGAAACCATATTCTAAGCAAGGACATCGCCATCTTATGTCACGTTACTTCCAGCAAATGTTATCAGAGTCCTGGAAGTGACAACAACATCACCTAATTTGGAATTCAGATTTACTTTCTGTGATATTATTTACAATGTTGTTGTAGTTTTCATTCATTTTATATATTTGTTTGTTTTTATATATTTGCTTCATTTGTTTTATATATTTGTGCAAACTTTTATGGCTGTTAAAATATTATTTGTATAATTATTATATGTGTTGGTATAGCTGTCTGTTTGCTTTAAATAAATAAATAAACGGGAATAAATTAAATTAAGTATTACAAATATTATATACACATACCTTACAACTATGTACTATAAATATTAAAAACAAGACCTTAAAATAAATAAATAAAATAATTAATGCCTTATAAACACTTCTTGTTTAGGGATAGGTAATATCGATACCGCTTCTATATCTAGGTATATATTGGTTTCTTCTAGATATTAGTGACAGAAGAAAAGGTCATTAACCTTTTCGATATCATATTTTTTTAATGAATGATGATATTTTTAATGACAGATGATAGGTGAGGATGAAGTAGGTCAGTTAGCCCATCGTGACGAATTCAACAAGAATTGTTCACGATGGTTTCTAGGGGGAACCACGTGGAGGTCTACCTAATAGGGCATATTGCTAGCAATGGGGCTGTCAAACTCTATTGCTAACAATCCCTTCCCCCCCTCGATACCATATTATCATCATATATATAATCATCATCATAACAGTCTTTAACTGTCCATTGCTGAACATAAGCCTCTCTCTTGGGGGGGTTTTGCTAAAAGTTGCCACGCTTGGCAGGCGGATTGGCAACTGCAGTTAGGCTGTGGAGATGCTTTAGCAGGGACGCTACTGCCCATCCTTCGCTCTTTCTTAGTTTCGCTTCTTATGATATCCACGGGAAAGGAAGGGGTGACCTATTTATTCTATGCCGGGACCACACGGAACAGGATATTATAATACAGAACAACCATTATCAATACATATAATAAAATCGTAACTGATCGCTGTCTGTACATGGAGGATATATAATAAAAACTATTATAGGGGGGCTCTATGAACGCAATACAACCTATATAGATAGATTTTTAGAATTTTTGTGTTTGTCTGTGCATTTGTGCACGCTAATCTCAGAACTATTTAACCGATTTGAATGCGGTTTTCACTAATACGTTCCAGTTTGCTCCACTTAAAATTTAGTGTTTGTTTTATTTCAGTCCGGTTCATAAATAAAAAAGTTATATCAATCTAAAGAATCATATATAAAATGCTATAAAATAACCGATCAGTAGTTGCATTGGCTGAAACTTTATGAAGGTATTAGGTACATAATTATCATTTAAGTATATAATACAATATAAAACCGGATTTATGAAGGGTTCCAATAAGAATGATATACGGGAACTACATAAAAGCGAACAACGCCGCAGGAAACGTCTAGTAATTAATATTACATTACTAGCTGACTCGGCAAACGTTGTTTTACCACATACATTATTTCTAGAACTATACATGAAAATTTATCGTACTATAATCATTATATTCGATTGTCATCTTACAACCATATTGCGGCATATAAAAATCACGATTAAAAAATAGGGGTTGATCATAAAAGGGTGAAAATTTGAAGTTGTACGTATTTTTCGTTGCTAAATCATAATAAAATAAAATTAAAATAAAAAAAAATGTGATGGGTCATCCTTATTAATATGGGTTATGAAAAATAAATGTTGGCCGATTCTCAGACCTACCCGATATGCACACAAAATTTCATAAAAATCGGTAAAGCAGTTTGGTAATAAATACCGTGACACGAGAATTTTATATTTTATATATAATGACATTTAATAATTTAATTCCATTTTAATGTTTGTCAAACACAAGGCATGCTGTGGTTGTCTATAAATGTAAGAACAGTTAGATCTAATCTACCAGTGTATTGTACTAAAATGTCTAGCTGTATCTTATGTTGGTAATCCTATAAATAAATAAATAAATATATAAATAAATAAATAAATAAATAAGATGTAAATAGAATATATGTTATGATGTAAGAATGTGTGCATGATACATAATAATCATCGTTTGTATATATATCTCATATTATTAGCCAACGTTATTCTTAAATTTTAGCATAAAATCCATTGTTTGCGAACAATTCCTTTTTAGACCTATAGGTATCTATTATTGACGTTGATAGATTATGTGCAGGTTATGTTTAGCTCTGATTTTTCGTGAATACTATGGGAGATCTTTTGTAAATTTTAATATTTAAATGAAGATGATGATTGACATTGCCAATAGTTGGCCCTTTGGTAGAGGGGTTGGCAACCGCAGTTTTTGGTTTCGCAGGTTTTGGTGATATTTTAAGATAGAAGCTGCTAACCATGCCTCGAAAATTAAATTCCTTAAGTCACCTTTTTTTATACAACTTAGAATGGCAAACAAGCTGACGGCCCACCTGATGGAAAGTGGTAACCGTCGTCTATAGACATGAGCAGTACCATGGACATAACAGAGTATACTGTTTTGCCCATGATACCCCCATGCGTTGCTATTCCTGAGAACTCAGATGTTATTCCTCTGTACCCAGTAAATTCACGCCATATCCCACCCTTCAAACCGAAACACAGCCATGCAAACACAACTGCTTCACGGTAGAAATACGAATAGGACAGAGGTACTCAAGCAATCGACTTTTGTACAAAGTCTCCCTCTGGTAATCACCTCTTATAATTCCAACGGGAAAGGAAAGTGTGCCCATTCTATGCCGGGATCACATGGCAAAAAATATTATGGATTTTTTTTATGCAACTTAGAATTGCAAACAAGCTGACGGCCCACTTGATGGACAGTGGTAACCGTCGTCTAAAGATATGGATATTTTGATTTTATGAAATATGAATTTTTTACAACAGGTCGCGACATGGTGTCTCGGGTGGTGCAAGCTCTGACATTGCAAATTGAGGATGATAGTGTACCGTCCATATCAGTCACGGTGTTCAAGATGAAGCACGAGGTAAATGAATATTTGAGGCGCAAAGAAATATACCGTGTTTTATCCAAATTACCTGTCAAATACATAGGTGAGTTTTTTTTTATATATAACCCTACTTCTACGGGGGGAAAGAGATTGTTAGTAATGGAGACTGAGAATCCTATTGCTAGCAATATACCCAACCAGGTCGACCTCCTTGCGGTTCTCCCTGGAAACTATCATGGTTAATTCCTGATGAATTCATTATGATGGGCTAACTGGCCTGTTTTCATTCTCATCTATCACCCTTCACTGATGCTCCACCAGCGTATCCTGTTAGTGCAGGCGGGGTTACCATACCATTTTCACCCATCAAAAAAAACCCTACTTCTACAGCGATATGGCACTTGCATGTCATTGTTTTGCCTATTTATCTCTTTACTGTTATTCGGCATTTCTATTTTTGTATGTTCGACATATGTACAAGTAATAGGGTTTTTTTTAGGATTATTTTGTTTAATTCCGCTACCATTAGTATGTGTGCGACTGCCAACACTCGAAGATTGACTACTATTATTATTAGTAGAAGTTTTACGACCTGTTCCACTATATAGGTCCCCAAATGTTTGTTGTTTGATATCTAATGAGATTTGGTATGATTTAAAAGCAATTTAAAAGCAAAAGACAAATCACATGTTCATCTCTGAAAACGATTTGTCTTTTGCTGTTGTCTTGTTATCTTTATTCTTCAAAAAGAAGGGAGTTCCCAACTCGATTGTCTTTTTTTATGTTTGTTACCTCATAAATCCGTCAGTTATAAGTCGATTTGGAAAATTATTTTTTCATCTAAAAGGATATATTTACAGTTTGGTCCCATAGAATTTTTATCAAAATCAGTTCAGCAGTTTAGTTCTTAAACCAAAATAACTGTTTTTTTGGAACACAATCTTAAATTATATCTGAACAGTACAATAGCTCATACCAACATTGACTTAATGTTAACTAGCAAAGCCGAGGCGGGTGCCTCGGCTTTGCACGGATGCAATGCTGCACCGCTATGTCCTTGCATTTTAAATCTGTAATATCTTCGGAAATAATCATTAAAATTACATGCTGTAAAAGGTCATATTGATCTATATTAAATAGACAATGTAATTAAGGTACTTAATTGGATAAAAATTATTGCTGTATTGCTTAAAATAATTTTGTAAATAAGCCATTTTTTCCCGTAAAATGTAAAGGATAAAAAATGGTTATTGTGGGTTATCCTTAAGAGATAGACATATACCATCGTGGACTTTTTTGTTGACCTTTTTAAGGTGTACAATACTGTAGTACATTATTTTGATTTATCTCGTGGAGTTCAGCCAGCGTTTGCAATGTAAGCGCAAAAAATGTGTTTATTTATGACATCACATTAGAAACCTCTAAATTTACCAGTGTTTCTCTACAATATTATGCATATATTCTACATATAAACCTTCCTCTTGAATCACTCTATCTATTAAAAAAACCTGAAAGTAAGAAATGTTTTATCATATTCTATTTTCAGGTGAAAATTTTATAGCGATAGTAACCTCTGATGTGATGACAACCATGTCAGACACGGCCAGGGAGTTGTCCATGTCACATACTCTGGCACAGTGGTTGTACGTCCTCTCAGATACAAACCGTCATAATGGAAACTTATCTAACCTGGTCAACACTTTGTATGAAGGGGAGAATATAGCTTTCCTTTATAATATTACAGATGATAATCCTAAATGTAAGGTAAAAAAATATTGATAATATGTCTTAAATTAGGCTTAAATTAGGTCGTGTTTCTGATATGCTATCAGAAATACATCTGGCAACACGAGTATGTTTATATAATCTTAAATAGCAAATATGAAATGCAATTAATGGCAGACAGTCTATGGGGGAGGCTTATGTCCAGCAGTGGACGGATAATGGCTAAAATGATGTTGATGATGATGATAATGGCAGACATAATAAAAATCAAATGGCAAAAATAAAACACTATGTTTAATTTAAATTGAATGAAGTGTTTGGGATACTCTGGGAATGGAGAACGAGTAACCAAAAGACTGAGAGTTCTTGACTATAATGTTTTTTTTTATACAACTTAGAATGGCAATCAAGCTGACGTCCTACCTGATGGAGAGTGGTAATTTACTGGCTTGATTGATTATTTATTACGTTTTATTGCTTTAAAATTTATAACATTATAACAATGCTTTCAGAATGGTATATTGTGCTACAGTCAAGAGATGATGAGTGCATTCATATCAGCTTTGGATACAGCAATTCAAGACGAGTTCGACATAGCCGCCCAGGTCTCCGACGAGGAGTGGGAAGCTATCAGGCCCACTAAGATTCAAAGACGAAATATGCTTCTAAAACACATGCAGGTAACTACACGAGTATAAATTAATTTTCTAGAAGCTGTGTAAGTATGGCCGTGTAATCCTGGCATAGAATAGGTTACCCCTTCCTTTCCCAAGGGTGTCGTAAGACGCGACTAAAGGAGGGCGAAGGATAGGCAGCGGCGTCCATTTTAAAACATCTCGAAAACCTAACTGCGGTTACCGATTCGCCTGCCAAGCATGGCAACTACTGTCAGAACCCCTAAGGGGGAGGTTTATGTTCAGCAGTTGATATGACGATGATGATGTGTAATTATGATTACTGACAATGGATGCTATTGGATTAATTAAGATTAAATACAAGAAGAAAAGAGTTGGTAAATACTTTTTGTCCCAGACTTCGAGTTGCAAAACAATGTGCCTTGTACCAGTCAGTCAAATTATTTGATAGGTTGCCCACTGATATGAAAATCACTGATCATTTCAATACCTTCAAAACTAAGCTAAGAGCTATTTTGTTGAAAAAATTATTTAATAGTTTAGACGAATTTATTAATTGTGTGTTTGACAAGTAATTTAATTTTGTTACGACAAGTAATTTATCTAATATCTATTATAAGCTATCAATTTGTGTTTATTTTTTTTATTTTTGTATTATTTTTTTATTCACTTTATTGTTTATTTCTTTAATTTTTAGTTTATAAAATATTGTAACTTATTTCAAACACAATTGTGTGATTGTTATTGAATAAATGAAATGAAATGAAGAATAGGTACATTCTCTATTAGGTACGGCGATGGGTGTTGTTTTCGGCTAGACGGACTGATAGCTTGTTTGAAAGTTAATAAGGAGTAATAGCTCTGTGTCCTACAATCTTACTGTAAAATTTTTAAATGGAAACATAGCAAGTACAGTTATTTGGTAGCAGAACACAGGACCGAAGTGGTTAGCCTCTGTGGATGGCTTTTGCACAAAGTCTTTGTCTGATAGAATCGTTAATTTATTCTTTTGCCAGCAATATCTGGCCGTTAAAGCCGAGTGCGGTAACTGTACTACGTGGAGGGCGCTGGCGGCGGACACTTGGGGTACCACTTACTCACTCCTATCCGACACACCAGAGCAGGAAGTAAAGGCTGTAGAAAATATTACCACTCCTGTAATAGAGAAGATCGATTTGATGCAAGTAAGATAATTTATTATGATTTTAAATCCTTATAGTTTAAAAGGTGTGTTTTTTTAGAGATGAAATGACAACTTCGTATGTCATTGGCGAGGTATTGGGGAGCGATGATAAATAGACATGTCCTATTAGACATTGGCAGGGTATTAGGGATCAATGATTAATAGATGATGATGTCAGGGATGAGGATGAAGTCAGGTCAATTAGCCCATCGTGGTTAATTGACCGTAAATTAATCAAGATAGTTTTTAGGGGCTTACCAAATCCTTCTCCTTGTTTCCCATAAGCAGATATACCAACATGAAGTCCAATGATAGTATTCATGAAATTAAATAACATAGGACGTTTTATATTATAGTAATTCACGCAGTCGAAGCCACGGGATTTAGATTGTATATTTTTATTTAATAATTTTAATTAAACAGTCTGAACCATTTATGACCAATTTTACAAATAAATAGAAAAACCTATATTGTGGTATAAACCAAGTTTTTAACAGAAGAAGGTACTCAATTCAGTTATATGTTTTTGTTACCTCATAACTTCATCAGTTCTGGACCGATTTGGAAAATATTTTTTTTTATCAGAAAGGACATACAGATCGGCCCCATAGAAATTATATCAAAATTGGTTCTGTAGTTTAATTTTTAAATCAAAATAAATGGTTGTACTACGATTGAAATTAGTTATTTTGTAATACACAATTTAATTATTTCAATTTATATAGTGAATATACGAGAGGAAATTTGTTAATATATTAATTTTCCTGTAACAGAATTAATTTTAAAGAAGTGTTTTGTTTTGTCACGCTGATGACGAATAGGTCGGATACTGGCGGCCTATGGATGCCATGAGGTACGACGATGTTTTGTTCCCACACGTGGAACATGGATTTAGAGGGAAACAGCTACCCATTATTACATATCATGTAAGTACCATATAACCTTTTAGGATTCTACTTGCAATTGAATCTAGTTTAAAATTTATAAACTGAATAAGAAAATTTATTTTCTTTTATGAGAATTGAATGAAATACAATATAAGATAAATGATAAAAAAAAAAAACACAGCATAAGAAAGAACGATGTGCAGCTATTAACAGGATTTTTTTTTATGCAACTTAGAATGGCAAATAAGCTGACGGCCCACCTGATGGAACGTAGTAACTGTCGTCAATAGACATGAGCAGTGCCATGGACATAATAGAGTATACTGTTTCGCCCATGACACCTCCCATGCGTTGTCATTTCTGAGGACTCAGGTATTATTCCTCTGTACCCTGTAAATTCACTGCCATATCCTTCAAACCGAAACACAGCCATGCAAACACAACTGCTTCACGGTTGAAACACGAATGGGACAGAGGTGCCCAAGCAAACGACTTTTACACAAAGTCTTCCTCTGGTGATCCCTCGTATAATTTTATATTCTTATCTCTTAAAACATCTTTAAAAGCCTAATTGCGTTTGCCAACCCGCCTGCCAAGTGTGGCGACTACCGGCAAAACTCTCTTTATGGGGAAAGGAATTATGTATGTCATATCCAGTGGATATGGCATATTCTATGCAAGGATTACACGGCAAAAAGTATTAGAAAATTAGCGAAAGAAAAATATTAAATTTAATTAGAAGATTACGGCTAACAAATTTTGCAAACATGTGACGTTCAATGTGTGGTATGAGAGAAGGCGAACAGTGTCAATGTGTGTATGTTTTTATATATATAAATAGTATATTAGTTCCAGTTTGGTCAGGAAATAGGTATTAATAGGTCATTATATATTTTCAGAACCCTCCGTGGACTATATTGCAGGTAAATGAATCCGGCGCAGTCTCCGGATATAGAGGGCTTATGTTCGACATTGTCGAACAGTTGGCTAAAAACAAGAATTTTTCGTAAGTTTTGTGAAAGAGAGTTAATATTGAATATAAATTGTTTTCCATAACGTGTAAATATTGATTTTTAATAAGAATCACACGGTTATATGGTACCGTTAATGCTCTATATCTTCGCGGCTCACTTTTGGCCACAACAGAAAATCAGTGTTTTGCTCTTTTTAGGGCAAAGCAATAAACTGAGTTGTGGCCATTTTGTATTACTATGGCACACGCATGAAGAAAAAAAAATTGTTACTAATTTTATGCATTCTCATTTTGTTTATGTTTTTTTTTAATTTTTGTACATGTATCTTTTTTTTTATCTTTTTTCACTGTGCATTTGTGTCTATTGCTGTTTGTGTGCTGTAAGTAATGCAAATAAATTACTTATCTATCTATCTATCTATATAAGCAACCTCTCTATAAGCAACATTCTTTATATTTTTAATTATTCTACTCAGCTTAGTCAGTAAAAGACATAAGTAAAAATATTTTCCAGACGGTAAAGTATTTTTATACTCCTTTTTCCCTATAAGCAACTTTTCCCAATAAGATTTTTTTATTTATTGTAAATTGGTTCAAATGAGTTGCTTATACTCGTATAGAGCGTTCACTGTATATTATTAAGCGTTTCAAATGCATGATGACCGTCGAAGTATATATTCGGTAGATATACCCCATTAGGTATATGTCTGCGCCATTTATATGCTGAAATTTATCGCCTGATTTAGTTTTAAGTTTTTTAACCGACTTTAAAAAAGGAGAAGGTTCAGACTTAGAATACTCAAAACTCCGATTATAATTTTTTTTATACATCTAAAAAATATACTATCTTCTGTAACTTAGATTATTAAACAAAAATTTTATTAAAATCGGTTGAGTAGTTTTTAAATTAAATTAACTGGTCTGACTACAATTGAAGGCGTCTCTTTTCTGTAGAACAAAATCTGCCTATAGTAATGAAACAGAGTGGTGACTCCTATCATACGGCCATTAAATAAATTGTTATAATAAATTAAGCCAATCAATTTAAAACTGAATAATTTAATTGCAGGATTAAAATCTTACTGCCGAGTAATATAAAGAAAGATTTCTCAAACGAGTCCATCACAGAGGTAATTAGTAATTGTTATTTTTAAACTACTTCAAAAAGTACGTTCAACTTTTTATATTGTAATCATTAAATTTATATACATTAAAATATGTCCTTATGGGATTTTAACATTCAGATCTACATAGATAAAGTTCACGTTAATTTTTTTTTAATGGGTGAAAATGGTATGGTATGGTAACCCCGCCTGCGCTAACGGGATACGCTGGCGGAGCACCAGTGAAGGATGATAGATGAGAATGAAAACAGGTCAGTTAGCCCATCATGATGAATTCATCAGGATTAAACCATGATAGTTTCCAGGGGGAACCGCGAGGAGGTCGACCTGGTTGGGTATATTGCTAGCAATAGGATTCTCAGTCTCCATTATTAACAATCCCTTTTCCCCCCAGTTCACGTTCATTATAAATAACTGATTAGTTTATTAGAATTATTTTGTTTAATTCCGCTATCATTAGTACGCGTGCGACTGCCAACATTTGAGAATTGACTACTACTACTACCAGGAGAAGTTCTACGACCTTTCAAATTAGACATCAATATCTGACTTTTTAGGTAGGTAGCGACGCGTGCCTCTAATAGGCATTAAAGGAAAGATCGTAGAATTTCTACTAATAATAGAAGTCAATCTTCGAGTGTTGGCAGTCGCAAGCATACTAATGATAGCAGAATTAAACAAAATAATTCTAATAACCAGTGATATGGACTTCCGTAAAATAACACCTAATTCAGTAAAATATCCACTACAAATAATTTGGGTATATTTCAGATAATGAGTGAGAGCTCGCAGCTAGCATTATCAGTGGTGGCGAAAGGTCAGGCTGCCCTAGCTGCGGCAGCCTTCACCATTGTACCTGACCGAAATCCAGGTATTCTTATTATTATTGAGAACTGGACTTATTTAGTTAGAGAAACCTATATAGGTCTCTCTAATGTAGGTATATATAATATATACTACCTATATATAACCTAAACACTACGACATCTAAGATTTTTTGTGCTCGCCCTTTTTTTAAATTCGCTGCTAATTTCTTTCAATGATAGGAATTTGAAGAAGTTTTTTGTAGCGATGTTTTTATCTCCTCGAGATATAAAGAGTATTTTCCAAAGGAGGTATACCGTTCGTGCATAAGTAGGCTGTAGTCACAAATTAAGTGTTGGAAATAAGTGACAGTTTTAAATTATAAACTGACTGTATATATATATATATATATATATATATATATATATATATATATATATATATATATATATATATATATATATATATATATATATATATATAAAAATAAAATAAAAAATGTACACACAGAGAGAGAGAGAGAGAGTAAAAGTTTTGTGTGTGTTTTAGAAAACACAAAATGATTTTTTTTATACAACTTAGAATAGCAAAAACAAGTTGACGGCCCAACCAATGGAAAGTGGTAACCGTCACCTATAGACATGAGCAGTACCATGGACATAACAGAGTATACTATAGTTATATGTAAAGGAGCATTAATATCAGCAGAGTGGCGTGCAATATTATGACAATTTACAAACAAAAAAAAAAACTAGAAATTTATGTTTTATGATGCGAGAATATCATCTCATAACATAGATGTACCTTCACTCTATTTACTTACTTAAGATTGAAAGAAATTGTTTCATTGTTAGAATTTTTAATTTGTGACTTTTGTTAGGTATAAACTACACGATACCAGTGAGCACACAGCCGTACGCGTTCCTGATAGCGCGCCCGAGGGAACTCAGCAGAGCTATGTTGTTTTTGCTTCCATTTACTACTGATGTAAGTATATTATACTTCCATTATATGGCCGTTCTAGTTATCAAGCGATTGAATAATAGTGTACAATAAATGTTTCACTCATTAAAAATATTTATTTCAAAAATCAACATATTGGACAGTCTTTTTTGCTTATTAAATCGGTCCTATGGGTGTTTTTGTGGATAATGTAGTTTTTGTTTATATTGTAGGATTGATAGTAGGTTCATTTTGTAAATAAATTTAATCAATAATTTAAAAAAACAATAATTATTTTACAATAAAACAAATAAATTTTTAAATTGTCCAAGTTAACAAAACACTCTCTCTAGTCGCTGGTTCGGTGATATTTTACTAACTTATTAAAATTGTAACTTGGCGATGTTTTTTTTAAAAGTCGAAATAATAATTTTTAAAAATTTGTTTTATTGTCAGTGTGTCTGTATGTTTATTATGGTATCAAATGCGGGTTTGTGAAAGTGTAACTTTAAAAGTGATATGTTGTTTTATTTTGGTACGTCATCGAAAAGTAGCCTATTTCATCATAGTTTCCTACTTCGACGAACTTTCTATTGCCCACTACCTGCTACTTAGTACGAAGTAGCGGCCAATAGACTTATTAAATAAAATAGAAAAATGCAGAGAAACAAAACAGAGTGATATTAAAATCATTAACATGCTTTAGAGGGTGTAAAATATAAGGTTATTTGTAAAAAAAAAAATTGAGTATAAAATTGGCAAAAAATTTAATCTCCTATACCCATCCTACTACTGTTCAATTTCTTGTACTAAGTAAAGGGCTGAACACGCCTAGACGCACCATGACTCTAAATGAAGTTTTTTTTTATACAACTTAGAATGGCAAACAAGCTGATGGCCCACCTGATGGAAAGTGGTAATCGTTGCCTATAGACATGAGCGGTACCATGGACATAACAGAGTATACTGTTTCGCCTATTATGCTTTGCCATTCCTGAGGACTCAGGTGTTATTCCTCTGTACCCTGTAAATTCACGCCATATCCCACCCTTCCCTTCCCACCCACCAAACTGAAACACAGCCATGCAAACACAACTGCTTCACGGTAGAAACACGAATGGAAGTAAAAAGTAAAAGTATCATTTTTGACTTATGTTTTTATTTTTTTTATTATACTCGTATTTTATTTAGTTTTAGTTGTAGAAACAATTTTGATTTTAAACAATTAATTTAATTAATGTATATAATATACAAAAGTTTTATTAGGTAGTGTTACCAAGTCAAAGTAAGTCATTTTAGCCTTCGTATAAAGCTATATATAAACATGCCACGAAATGAGATTCGTTTTATCAAGTGATATTTGCTTTTAGTATATGAGGTTCTTAGGAACTGTTAATATTTACATTGATGAATTGCTTCTATCGTTCGAGCTGTACAAACATAAATTCGGGAATATGTTTCTCAGCTAATTTCTTATACGCACTATTATTATTTCTTACAAACACAACTGCTTCACCGTTGAAACACGAATGGGACAGATGAGTCCAAGCAAACGACTTTTGTACAATGTCTCCCTCTGGTAAATCATTAACCTAACATTTTAAAATAAATTTTCAGACGTGGCTCTGTCTAGGACTAGCTGTAATACTTATGGGGCCTACTCTATTCGTGGTGCATCGCATGAGTCCGTACTATGAGGCCAAAGAGATTACGCGTCAAGGCGGACTGGCTACCATACACAACTGTCTATGGTATGTGTACGGGGCTCTCTTACAACAAGGTAATATTTTAATATCTAAATGTTTTTTCTTTTATCACTTGAAATAGCAAATAATTTTACGACAGTGTTACCAGATATGTCTTTTTATTTTTATCCAAATTTTAAATAAAATGCTCTGAATTGATACGATTTCCTTCATTTATATCAAATCGTAAACTTGCGTTGTTTTTTTTTACTAGATATATTTTAAATACACTATCGGGACTTAACGCGACGAAATGTTTTGCAGGTAAATAGTCCTACGTATAGAGGCATAACACCTTAGTTCTCAGGAATGGCAACGCATGGGGGTATCATGGGCGAAACAGTATACTCTGTTATGTCCATTGTACTGTTCATGTCTATAGGCAACGGTTACCACTTTCCATCAGTAATTTTTAAAGATTAGATTATATAAAAAAAAATACTTCAGCAGTTTCACTAGAGGCTCCGATGGAGGTAAGATAAATGCGTAAGAAAGGTAATTGTCTCATAAATTTGAAAGTCCTTTACCTAAAGAACCATTTGTCTGAAACATTATCATTTTACGTGAGGTTTTGTTACATTATTGCGGATAGTATACGTAAACTTTATTATAGGAAAATGAGGTCGTCTTAAAAAAAATATCGTAATTTCTCATAACGTTTACGTAATGAAAAGTTATGGGTAGATTTGTATTGTGCCCATACACAGTCTCTCTCTTATTTTTTGTTCTCACTTTCCATTTTTCCATATATACTGACATTGTTTCCATGCTAAATATCCTAAAAAAAGCATAAAGTTCTAAATATACTATTTTTCTGTTGTTGTTTTTTTTTTTAAATATACTATTTTTCTGTTGTGGAACACCAATGAGGGATGATAGATTTTTTTTTTCAACAATAAACCAATTAATAATGACAGGCTGTTACACAGTTGGTTTTTTTAATGGATGATAATGGAACTGTAAACTTGCCTGTGCTATTGATTATACGCTGGTGGAACACCAATGAGGGATGATAGATGAGGATAAAGCAGGTTAGTTAGCCCATAGTGACGAATTCAACAATAAACCAATTAATAATGACAGGCTGTTACACAGTTGGTTTTTTTAATGGATGATAATGGAATGGTAAACCCGCCTGCGCTAACGGTAAACGCTGGCGGGGGGCACCAGTGAGGGGATGATAGGTGAGAATGAAAAGGCAGGCTAGTTAGCCCATCGTGATGAATATATCTGGAATTCAGCACGATGGTTCCAATTCCAGGATGGGAACCACGTGGAGGTTGACCTGACAGGGTATACTGTCATCCCTTCCCCCTACATAGTTGGTTAAAGAGTAGTGATATTTCCAGGTGGTATGTACTTGCCGCGAGCCGACAGCGGGCGTTTGGTCGTTGGCACGTGGTGGTTGGTAGTTCTGGTGGTGGTCACCACGTACTCCGGAAACCTGGTCGCGTTCCTCACATTCCCCAAACAAGAGGTGCCGGTGACGACCATTGCTGAACTCTTGGAGAATAGTGACACGTACACCTGGTCGATCACTAAAGGATCCTATTTGGAGAATGAATTGAAGGTATATATTTTGATTGTAAAATCCTTAAGTGTCTAGTGTCCGAAAATCTGATATCCAAGTGTCTGAGTGTCCACAGTCCGAGTAATACCTGCAGCTGATTTTCACCATTGTACAATCCGCCGCAAACTAAAGTTCCATCCCAATCACTTTGATGAGTGGCGGTCCTCCACCTGATAGGCGCTAATATGTAAACAAACAAACTCACTGGCTTGGCTTATCAAATTACCATTAAATTTGGTATGCACACGTGGCATTGAGGGTGTTATAGACTGCTTCTTATCTCTGTCGGTGAACATATGCCGGTTATGTGGACAAAGTTGCGGGTAAAAGCTAGTGCGTTATATTTATATCATATATTCGTCAAAGTGACTCATTTGCGTGTTAACTTTTGCGTTTAAACAGCTCAACCGATAGTCATGAAATTTAGCATCTAATAATAATCATAATGTACCTACCCGTAATCGTAGTAGAATTGCACACGATTGTTTCCAGGGAGAACCGCAAGGAGGTCGACCTGATATTGCTAGCAATGGGGCTACTAATCCCCATTATTAACATTCTTTTCACATCCAACATTGTTACTGTTCGAATGAAACCAGTAGATTAGAAACAGGAAAACTTTTAATAAACATAAAAGCACTTTTACATTTGAAATATATAATGTAGGTGCACATAAATATTTATTACATACTTGTTCAAGTGAATAAATTAAATAACATGTTTTCAGAATTCCGACGAGCCGAAATACAAGGCTCTACTGAAGGGCGCCGAATTAATTTCAGATATAAAAGGAACGAATGCTACTTCCATTTTAGGTGGGTGTTATTTATAATTGTTAATACTCAAATATATATATATATATATATACACACAAATTTTACATTACTAGATTATATATTCGATACAGTTTATGTAGAAAATATGCAAACAGGTTGCATCTGAATTTGGTAGGGTTATACGTCCGTATAATATTTTTTATAATACACTAGCCTGCTATGAATTGACAATTTTATCACTCCTTCTATGTAATTTCTTGTTCTTAGGTTTTAGGTCTATTCGATGTCATCCGATTTGATTTCAATTAGCTAACGTCCATTCGACGTCATCCCGATTTGATTTCAATTAGGTAACGTCCATTCGACGTCATCCCGATTTGATATCAATTAGGTAACGTCCGTTTGACGTCATCCCAATTTGATTTCAATTCGGTAACGTCCATACGACGTCATCCCGATTTGATATCAATTAGGTAACGTCCATTTGACGTTATTCCGATTTGATTTCAATTCGGTAACGTCCATTCGACGTCATCTCGATTTGATATCAATTAGCTAACGTCCATTCGACGTCATCCTGATTTGATTTCAATTTGGTTACGTCCATTTGACGGCTATAGGATCCCAATTCGATCGCGTCAAAAGTCAACTCGCAGGTCGATGTTGCAGAATCAAATCTGTTAAGCCGCGCTCGCGAGCAGCGCCACGTGATCGTCGACTGGAAGCTGCGACTTGCGTATCTCATGAGAGCAGACTACCTCGCCAAGGACACCTGCGACTTTGCTCTCAGTAAGTGTTATAATATTTTATTTGAAGCAAAGAAGTAAGTCGAAGAGCCAATAACCGACGGGGAAGAAAGGTTCTTGAGTGGCGACCGCGTATGGGTAAACGCAGTGTTATAAAAGTTTCTTCAGGGTCGGTAACGCACACGTAACATTCTTGGTGTTGCAGGTGTTCATTTTCTTTTTTTTTTCAACGTTTACCTTCAGACGGGTCGTAAGTTTGTTTGCTATCTTAAAAAAACTGCTTTATTAATTAAGACAACATTGAGAGAGCTGCGTCTTTTTAAATTGGATTTTTATATAATTTGCCCATCGTTTTTTTTTCAGGTGCAGATGAATTTTTGGACGAACAAGTTGCAATGATTGTGCCCGCTGGGAGTCCCTACCTTCCTGTTATTAATAAGGAGTGAGATTTTTTTTATACAACTAAGAATCGCAAACAAGCTGACGGCCCACCTGATGGAATGTGGTAACCGTCGCCCATAGACATGAGCAGTACCATGGACATAACAGAGTAAACTGTTTCGGCCATGATACCTCTCATGCGTTACTTCCTTCCTAAGGACTCAGGTGTTATTCCTCTATATCCTGTAAATTCACGCCATATCCCACCCTTAAAACCGAACTTTAAAGTTTGACAGTTCAATTATAAAAATAAATAAATTAAGATTATGACTCAAAGGAAAGAAAATGTAACTTCAACCTTTTCTTGAAAGAGGTAATTGAAGGGCTCTCTTGTATGTGGGAAGGGAGTTTATTCCGTAATTGGGCAGCTCGATACGAGAAAGAGTTGCCCATAAAATGTGTTCTACACAAAGGTAGGTCGAGAATCCTGGACTGAACTTGACAGGAGCATTTAGGACGGATTGGTGGTGGTAATAATTTAAATCGAGAGCGGAGGTACGAAGGAGAATTGGGGTTATTAAGTATGTTATAAAGGAAAGAAAGGATGTGCATATCACGTCGAAGTCGGATAGGAAGCCACTTTAACTGGTTGCGAAAGGCAGAAACGTGATCATATTTACGAAGACCAAAGATGAACCTAATGGCCAGATTTTGTAATCGTTCCAGCTTGTTTAGAAGCTCCTCAGTCACATCCAAAAAACAGAACGTCGCCATAGTCAAGTATTGGGAGTAGTAGAGATTGTTTCGAGCATGATTTTAGTATTTACTGGGAGAAAGTATTGAAGTCGCTTGAGAGAGTGAAATGTAAAGTGCATTCTCTGAGCTCATTTATATATATATCCATTATGAGACCAAGGTATAACCTATATACTAACTCCATATATATAATTCAACCTATATCCTGCTGCTGCCAATAATGATAGCTTGTGATTTATTTATATATATATATATATATATATATATATATATATATATATACCGTATATATAAGACAGAACATAAAAATAGATCAACATTTCAACAGTGCAAAGTGTCAAATTACCATAAATAAAAATAGATATTAATGATCAGATAATATATATATATATAAAGAACGTATATTAATTTTAAAACGCAATCAAATTTAAATAAAAATAGATACAATGTAGATAATATTTTAAAATATTTTTTAAATGTCATTAAAAGTTATTTTTAAATTCTCAAATGAAAGAAAAAAACAGATACCTATACAGTTATTATATTTTACCTAACGTGTCGTTTTAAATAAATTTAAATAATATTAAAAATTAATATATCTAGTTGTATGAGGAAATATAAGCACAATATAAGTCTATGTGTGGTAGACCATAGAGAGATTACTGTAATTTTATTATTTGTTATATATATCTATGTATCATTATAACAACCTTTAACTGCCCACTGTTGACCATAAGCCTCCCTCTTGAGGGATTTTGCTAGTAGTTGCTATATTTGGCAGGCGGATTGGCAATCTCAGTTAGACTTTGGAGATGTTTTAAGAGGGATGTTGATGTCTATCCTTTGCCCTGTCTTCGTCGCCTCTAATAAATTTCCATGAGAAAGAAAGGGGTGGCCTGTTCTATGCCGGGACCACATGGCCATAACAATACATTATTCATGGAGATATTAATTAGCCGTATCCCGCGGCTTTGTTCACGTACTGAAGTATATAAAGTATCCTATATATTTAATTAAAATTACACCTACTTGTGTATCCAATTTTACACAAATCATTCAGCTTTTTTAAGTCTGACTAAGTAACAAACATACAGACAAATCAAACATCATCGTCATCATCATCCAAACACGTTTATAATTTTAGTAGAATATAGTGGATCATCAACATAATTTCAGCCGTCTATTCTATATATCTATTCACTGCTTAACATGAGCTTTCTTCATAAGGGTTCTCCATAAGTAAGTTACCTGTAGTCACAATGCTTGACAAGCGGGTTGGCAACCGCAGTTAGGCTTTTAGAGATGTTTTAAAAGGGGCATTCCTGCCAATCCCTCTACCATTAAGTTCCTTTAGTCACCTCTTACGACACTTATAGGAAAGGAAGGGGTGGCCTATTTTTTTTTTTTTGATGGGTGAAAATGGTATGGTAACCCCGCCTGCGCTAACGGTTAACGCTGGCGGAGCACCAGTGAAAGGTGATAGATGAGAATGAAAACATGCCAGTTAACCCATCATGATGAATTCATAAGGAATTAACCATGACAGTTTCCAGGGGGAACCGCGAGGAGGTCGACCTGGTTGGGTATATGGGATTCTCAGTCTCCATTACTAACAATTCCTTTCCCCCCTAAGGGGTGGCCTATTCTATGCCAGGACCACACGACCCTGACCATGGTATATAATAAATGTAATTTATAAAAATAGAAATTATACCATCTCGATTGTATTAAACGACAAAAAATTTTATTATTTCTAAACTTAAAGTTTAGAAATTATTAATAAGGTGGTAGATGAACAAACAACGCGGGAGAATGACGGAAAATTGTATGCGAATATGGAACGTGTCTGTCGTGTTAGTGGCCAGTCCGAATGAAGGAGCTGGAATAATTATGTACAATTTATTTAATCTACTTAATGGAACAGAAAGTGGTGTTTATACTGATTATGAGATGAGTAGGTACAATTTTTTCTCAAACATGCTTGGAAATGTGAGCATTATTTTGACAATCTCCATCGAGATAAATCAAAATTGCCGTACTGCCCACATACATACGGACAGCGGCCGGCAAAAGTTGTATGAAAATCCATATCTGTCGTGTTTTGCGGCCAGATAAATTACTATGTAAACTCATATCTGTCTTGTAATTTAAAAATGGAATGACCTTTTACTTCGAAACATGGCTACCAAGAAGGTAACTAATAAAAGGTTTTATTTAAATTTCGAACTGGCTTGCAAATAGCAATGGCAATTCAATATTTACATTATAATTTTGAAATTAATAAAATAAATAACAGCAATGATAATAACATATGAAATATAAAATAAAAATAACATTACAAATTAATTACAGTTAACATTATAAATTAGTTAATACATGTCAATATAATGGTAACTATATGCCAATAATAATGACTTCAAGTTATAAAATTGCAATTGTCATACTTCTTACAAGTAAACATAAATAAATAATAATGTTATAATTTAATAATTTAATGTTGGCATTTAGGTATTCGGTCAGATTAAAAGGTGATTCTATAATTATATTTAATTGTACATCATAATGCTATATCTACTAAGATACGATATGGTTACTAAACCATAAACTATAAATATCTAAATAGAAGAGATAGTTAATCTAGATATATAATTAGAGATAAGTAATTAAAAAATAAAAAAAATATATATTTAAAGATAAAAAATTTCTTTGAGATCATTGCCAGCAGATTAAAAGGTACAATATTATTATGAAAGATGTTTATAATTAATAAAGTATATTGTAGACCCTGTGGGCTACAGCAATTAGAAGCGATCTTTAAATTTTCATAAATATTTCAATACGAACTCGAACCGATACGACAACATAACCTTCAAGAAAAGAGCATATTCCTTTTTAAAAGGCCGGCAGCACACCTGCAATGCCGTAGGTGTTGTGGGTGATCATGGGCGGCGGTAGTCACTTACCATCAGGTGAGCCGCATGCTCGTTTGCCCCCTGTGTTGTAAAAAAAAAAATAATTCAAATTTAATTTGATCAGTGTAATTAAATTCTAATTAAATTCCAAATTAATTTAATGATTTCAACGAATGTTTTATTTCCATATGTTTTATTTTAATTTAATGCAATTTAATGTAGTTGTTTATATTTTTATATCTTTTTATTAGTATCATTATCAATTTTAGTGTTATTAACTAAAATTAAATAATGAAATGCAAAATACAAAATATTTCAATATCACCCTTAGGGAAGTATAAGAAATACGTTTATTTTTTTATACAAATTTCACTGTCATAATGAAGTTATTCTTGTAATGTAATCTTATGTGTTTAAGTTCCCACTCTTTAACAGGATAAATCGCATGCAGAAGGCTGGTCTCATCAGTAAGTGGCTGTACGCGTACTTACCGAAGAGGGACCGCTGCTGGAAGACGTCGTCGGTGGCGCAGGAGGTCAACAATCACACGGTCAATTTGAGCGACATGCAAGGGTCCTTCTTCGTGTTATTTCTTGGTAATCCTTACATTTTTTTTGTATACAACTTATAATGGCAAACAAGCTGATGGCCCATCTGATGGAAAGTGGTAACCGTCGCCTATAGACATGAGCAGTACCATGGACATAACAGAGTATACTGTTTTGCCTATGATACCCTCCATGCGTTGCCATTCCTGAGGACTCAGATGTTATTCTTCTGTACCCTGTAAATTCACGCCATATCCGACCCTTCAAACCGAAACACAGCTATGCAAACACAAATGTATAATGAAATACGGTAAATATATTATCATATATATATATATATATATATATATATATATATATATATATATATATATATATATATATATATATATATATATATATATATATATGACTAACTGACCTGTCTTTTTACCTTCACCAATCATCCTTCACTGGTAGTGTATACCCCCGCCAGTGTGTACCAATAGCATAGGCAGGGTTACCATTCCATTTTCACCCATTAAAAAAAAATGCATTGTTTATCAATATTTTTGTTGCAGGAATCTTCTCCGGGACTTCGGTGTTGGTGTTCGAATTCTTATACAACAGGCGCAAGAAGCGAACAGAGAATGTTATAATCAAACCTTACGTAGAATAAAACATTTATAAGTGAAACGACTCTTAATTATCCTATTAAATCGAATAGCATTTTTGTAAACTATTAATTTACGGAATATTCATCCCCGGTTAAAAGGCAGTATCGAGCCTCTTAATTTAAGACGAGACTTTGTTTCGCTTAGCATCTTCTACCGCCTGTATAACGGAGTGTGTTCTGAAGAACTCTTCAATTTGATGCCTATAGATATTTTTCACCGGGGGGAAAGGGATTGTTAGTAATGGAGACTGAGAATCCCATTGCTAGCAATGGGATTCTCAGTCTCCAAAAAAACCAGGTCGATCTCCTCGCGGTTCCCCCTGGAAACTATCATGGTTAATTCCTGATGAATTTAGCATGATGGGCTAACTGGCCTGTTTTCATTCTCATCTATCACCCTTCACTGGTGCTCCGCCAGCATATCCTGTTAGCGCAGGCGGGGTTACCATACCATTTTCACCCATCAAAAAAAATATATCTTTCATCATCGTACCGCTCACCATTCGCTGGCGCTGATCTAGAAAGATCCGCTGACATACAAAATCAAAGATGGATACAGGCTACTGATTGCAGGCAATCAAAATTGACTGTGCCAACGTTGAATAAACAACTATCAAAACGTTTATTGTATCTAGATAAAAAAAAAAAAACCTTAAAACATTGATAGGGGACAATAATGGGCCATTGCCCGATAAACAAACATTTATACACAATAGGAGCCACAGACAGCCCTCTACGTCGAGGCTGTTTCGACGCCGAAGAAACGGCTGCTCACGTACGCCTAGAATGGTCCCTCAGCATTTGGAAATCCTCGGAACGGTGAGGTCGCTCCGTGAAGCCTGTAAAGATCCCAGAAAGCTTCTGTTTCTGGGTGGAGCTGGGTTAGTTGTACTAGCCACGACTTTACGTATAACGGCCTAAATGAGAGGCTAAGCGTGAAAAAGAGACATTATTATTTACTTTACATTACATTACTGCTCACCATCAGCAGGGAATCCATCCTCAAACCTTTGAACCAGAATGGTAACGCGCAGTGCGGGTTTCCTCTCGCGAACACTTAGGTTGTGGAATGATCTTCCTGCCGGACCTTTTCCTAGAGACTACAGCACGGGGTCCTTCAAAAAGAGTGTAGTAAGGTTTCTTAAAGGTTGACAACGCGCGCGTGTCATCTCTGATGTTAGAGACGTTCATAGACTACGGTAACTTCGTTCAATATCAGACGGGCCGTATTCTTGCTTGCCACCTTAGTTGTGTAAAAAAAAAAAACATTTGAAATGGAGGAATAAAATTATATTTAATTTGCAATAAATTTTAGTGGATTATTATTAATTAATATATTTGAATGGACGATGATGTAATGTTATTTACTAACTAGTGATAACAACAGTACGTTTTCTAGTGATTTTTCCTCGACTTTGTTTGCATGAGATGGATAGATAGGTAATAGTAAACTTATTTAGAAGTAAATTGAAGTCAAAAATCTTATTTTGTATAATTGTGGCACACGCATGAAAAAAAAAAAAATGTTACTAATTTGTAGCATTCTGATTTTGTTTCTGTTTTTTTTTTTTAATTTTTAGTACATGTATCTTTTTTTTTTATTTTTCACTTTGCATTTGTGTCTTTTGCTGTTAGTGTGCTGTAAGTGATGTAAATAAATTATTTATCTATCTATCTATCTATTTTAGTGATATTATTATTATTTTTATCGAATCCAAAATGAAAGAGAATTTCAAATCGGTTATATTTTTTTATGTTTATTATCTCATCCCTCCAACATAAGCTCCAACATTACATACGAATACAGACGAAACCGCGGGATACAGCTAATAACTGCATATTTATTTAGATTTCTACACACACACACACACACACACACACAGATGTTATCACATTCACAACCTAACACATATTATGTATTATTAAAAATACACACGCAAATGTAATAAAAAATACGCTAGCATGGAAACAGCGGCGTGACAGAAACGTGAAAATAGTTCCGGCATTTTGTGAACGAATCCTTGATTGGAATAAGATCACGTGATAAGCTATAATCCTATACTTACTAATAAATGAAATTAAATGGCAAATATGCATAGTGTTATGTATGGTATGGTACATATGGTAATCATGCATGCGCTTTTTAACGACCATGTAATTTTAGTACATTTAAATAGCCGTGTAGGTCTCGGCATAGAATGGGCCACCACTTCCTTTCTCGTGAGTGTCGTAAGAGGCGACTAAAGATCGAAAGATGGGTAGCAGCATTCCTCTTGAAATATCACTAAAGCCTAACTGCGATTGCCACACGCTTGCTAAGCGTGGCAACGACTGGCAAGATCTCCATATGACTAATGTTTAGCAGTGAACAATTAACGGTCGATATCATCATCATTAGCATCATTAATCATTTATCAATAAGAAAACTTTTGTTTTGCATTACCCAATAAAAATACTTTACTTAAAGGAACAAGTGCAGTAAATTACTGGCATAGTGATTTCTGTTATTATGTATTTTCGTAATTGAATGATTTATTTTATTACTTTGACCCACATATCCCTCAGCGTTGTATTTCAAACTTTGTCGCCAATCCTCTTGTATCCAATCGCTACCCGAGTAAGTGGCAGTAACTTCAATTTTGTACGCCCCATTCGTTCGAAAGGCAGCAAAGAAATGGCATGTAAATTTTCAATTTTAACTCTCCCAAGAGACCTTACACATATTTACGAGTATACTAGTTTTTAACCGTGACATCTTCCGTGTGACCGTGATATATTAAATGTTCAGGAAAAGAAGTGACTGTTTACCATCAGACGGTTCTATCGCTTGTACAATGGACTGTGCTCAGAGAAATTATTCAGTATGATGTCCACGGCTACTTTCTACTATCGTACAGCTCGCCATTGACAGGGAGTTCACCCTTATATCTTAGAACCTAAATAGTCGCGTACAGCGCGGTTTCAGAGATGTTTCCTCCCACGAACGCTCAGGTTATTTAATGAGCTCCTTGTCATGGTTTTTCCAAGAGACTACAGCATGGGGTTCTTCAAGGGATAAAGAGATATTTTCAGGTTTGGTAACGCACGCGAAATGCCCCTAGTAATGCACGCGTTCATAGGCTACGGTAACCGCTTACCATCAGGTGGGCCGAATGCGTGTTTGCCACCTTAGTGATATAAATAAGATAGGCTGTACGTTTGTTTGTATTATTTTGTGTTGTGACAAACAAACTCATTTTCATGTTTATAATATTAGTAACAACTTACCACGTGTCCGTATATACGCGCATAGTCGTCACGTGAGGGCAATGTACTGTAAATAGTTGAAATTAATTTGGAAAACTGGAACTTAATTATATAATGGCGTGTCCAAACCACGAACGTTACGTTCAACGTTAACTCGGCGATACGTCGTTTTATAAATCAGCCAAATATTAAATGGATAACATTCCGTGGCTTAAAACTGTTTACGAATACATCGATGCTGGAAATGCAAAATGTAATAAATGCCATTTTGGCCGAAATTGACTTATATAATATCATTGAATTCAATGGTCTTTTCCACATGGTATATTTAATAAACACATCTAGACCAACTAATTGAGAGACTATATTATGGGGTTCTTCAAAAAGGGTGTATTGTGTTTCATCATGATTGGCAACCCGCCAAAAAAAAAAATTAAAGTAAACATTTACAGAAGAATGTAGAATTAGTTGCACCGACAAGGGGAAACTCTTAAATGAAAAAAAGAAACATTTACACTACATATTATCACACATTTTGATTTTTCGTTTCGTTTCGTCTTTTTTACTTTTCTTGTAACATTTACAAAATGGCGTTTAATGTGTTTTGATTTTCCAGCGTCAACATTACGCGATCTATTACGTATTATAATCGAAGTCAAATGTGTATCGAGTCACGTAGTCAATTTGTACCAAAGTTATAGAGTGACGATGAGAACAACTTTGTAATAATTTATTAATGCCCAATAAACGAAAATGCTGTACTTTATATTCTCCAAACGCTATGGCAGTACACTACTATGTAGTGAGAACTGTTACGTACACTGTGACTTATTAGGTCTTTACATGCAATTTGAAATGGGCAAAACGAGCTGATAGTTCACTTCTGACCTAAGTAATAAAAAAAGAGAGAAGGTGGAGAAAAAATAAAGAATATTAGAAAAAGATCGGAAATTGAAATTATACTGGCAAGTAAAAAAAAGAAGATATTTTATGTATTTACTGTACGGAGACCTATTCTAGCGACACCCAAGGAGAAAAATGGACCAAATGCATTGCGTGTTATCAATGGTGCCATGAACTTTATGCTGGGTCGACGAGTCAAACTGTACTCGCATACATAAATGTACTCGTATATGCAACCTAAAAATATGGACATAGTGTGAATATCAAAGAATACATGGGACTTGCATGGTACTTCTTTTCTGTTTGAAGTTTAAGATGTTTTTGTAAAAGATTTTATTTCTAAATATTCGCATATCCTCTTTCTGGTATTATCTATGTAGAGACGGAGCAAGAGTATTGTTTTAATTTTTATCATCTATTTCTTATCATAATAACAATAATATATGGCTAAAAAATCTAAAAATAATTTCCGATGCTAAATCTACGAGTACATGTTACTAGTAACAATAAGCTTATATCAGAGGGAAATGGATTGTTAGTAATGGGGTCAAATATCTCTATTCCTAGCAATATATTATATCAGATAAATCTACAGGCAGCCCCCCCCCCCCCCCCGAATCCTCTCTGGAAACCATCGTGGTTAATTTAGTCTAGGTTCTAGTTAATTTCGTCAGGAGGACTTACTTTCATCCTCACCTGTCATCTGTTAGTGGTGCCTCGCCAGCGTATGCTGTTTGAGCAGGCGGAGTTACCATTCCAGTATTACTTATTAAAAAAAAAGTAAGATCATATCCTCCTTTGTTAAGGAAAGACCAATGATCAATAATGAAATGTTGTGATATGGAAGATATATTCGAATAATGACCTGCTCCGACTTCACACGGGTAGATAGGAGGATATTAAATTATTTTTAAAAATAAAATACAGCTCAGAAAAACTTCTTTCCTTCATTTCATCTTCTCTTTTCCTTTATCGCACCACGAGAATGGATCAGCGACTGCATCCAAACTTGGTAGACCACCCGCGGTCACGTACAAATAAGTTTGCAACCTCTTACTCGTACACGAACCGTACTGCAACAATATGGAATGGCATTACCCGTGAAGTGTTTGCTTCATTCTATAGCCTCGGATCCTTTAAACGTAGATTAAAAAAGCAAGTATTAAGCCGGTATAGTATGGCCAACCATTGAGAGTGGAATGTACTCTTTTCAGTTGGTCGTATTCATTGATCATTTAGTTTCTGTGACAGACCAGGATGATGTGGTCAAATGTCGTGCTGTAATAAAAAAAATACAGGTTATATTACTCGTTGTTAACGTAGTTTTCTATAGATGAAAAATATTTTAAATTCGATTAAATGCACTTGGAGTTTTATCATTACATTTTGTTTTATACCACTGAGGTGGCTTACAAGATTGATGGTAAGCGGTACAGCCTATGAACGCCTGCAATACCAGAGGTATTACGCGCGCGTTGCCGACCCTGAAGAAACCTCTATATATCTCTCGGGAAATAAATAAAACTCTGTTATGTCCATCATCCACTGTTCATGTCTATAGACGACAATTACTGTTTTCCCTTAGGTAGGCCGTCAGATATTCTAAATTGTATAAAAAAAAAACATTTTTCTTTTTTTATAATATTCTTTCAGAAATATATTTCTAAAGCACATAAAAAAAATATTCTAAGTCTAGTTTCTAGATAATTTTTCTGCGAAAAAAACATCTCATCATTCTGATTTTGGCAGCAAAATAAAAATAAATATGATAATTTAAAACAGCTGCTCAACAAGTCTATTTAAATAAAGATCATACCTACCATTCTATTTTAAGCGATAGAAGTCGCAAATTTGATGAGTGGTCCAGACACCACGCACAAATATTAAAATTAGTTTTAATTATGTAATGTCAGCTTATCGCTAACAGTTTATCAGCTTTTGCTTGCAACTTGCTACGCGTAGATTTTGGAAGTAAAGAATCTAAAGAAACAAACCATTTTTAAATAACATATTAAGATAAAAAATATACTAGGTTTTAATTAGACCTTCAGGAACGTAATTGTGAAAACTTCAATAATAATGCTATAGTGATTAGGTGGTCCCAAAATAAACATATGTGATAGAAATTCTAAAAATGATTTTTTAACTTCTGTTAAAATAAAAAAAAAAATCTATATATTTTTTATTTTAATTATATTTATCTGAGGCCTTTAAAATCAAAGGCAGCTAACCGCCGTAAAACGATTTCTTATTTACTCTGTACTCAAATATAAAGAGAGTTCCATTAATTAAAATACAAATATATACTAATATTTTAATTTTTTTCAATCTAGTTCAAGATATAGGTTATCGTTCCATATCCTTGACAAAATAGTAGTTTTTATAGTCTCCTGAACATCCAAGTTTGTCAGACTTGGATTTAGCTGTCTTTGTTATTATAGGCCTCATATACATTAATAATATAATACATATATTTAATATATATATATATATATATATATATATATATATATATATATATATATATATATATATATATATATATATATATATATTATAGGTACAATTTTATTACTCATTAGGTAGCCTAGCTTATAATAAGATGTTTCTATAGAAACAGGCACTTTTTGTTAGTTTGTCGAGAGTGAATTTAAAATTATGCAAATCCAAAGCTATTATAATATTATGTATGTTTAATAGGAAGTATAACTTGTCTTATGTTGGAAACTATTGGAAAATACCGAAAAAAACAAGCTGTAGTTTAGTAAATAACTGATAATTAGGTAATTAGTAAAGTTGATTATTTGTTACTTTCTTTACTGTTTCCAGCATGTAATTCAAATCATATTTATTTAAATACACTTGTTTACAAGCATTTTAAAATCGCCATTTTTGTATGGATGCCGTGTTCGAAAAGTCGTTATCTGTTGAGAAGAACTTGCAAGAAACACAATAATTACTTTTTTAAATATCCATTAACATTATGTGTATTTATTTAAATATACTATGTCTTATGTTACGTGGTCGTTATAAGCTCGTGCATGATAATCTAACGCCATGCACATTTGTCATTCAAGTAATAGTTAAGTGGCTTTGTTCAATAAGTGTTTTTTAATACCACGTTTAGACTTATTAAAAAGTAGATCTAAAATATCCTTCGGTATCTTAATATAACATTTAATACACACATACAAGTTGAAATCGAAATAATCATATTTCTATCCGTGTAACTTAACATTGTTTCCCTAGAAATATGATGCATGATTTCAACTTATGTGGAGGTCATTCCATGAAGTATTTAGTCTACAAAGGAGAATAAAATGTACGTTTTCTCAAACATGCTTGGAAATGTGAGCATTATTTTGACAATCTTCTTAGAGATAAATCAAAATTGCCGTACTGACCAGATACACGCGGGCAGCGGCCGGCAAAAGTTGTACGAAAATCTATATCTGTCGTGTTTTGCGGCCAGATAAATTACTATGTAAACTCATATCTGTCCTGTAATTTAAAAATGCAATGACCTTTTACTTCGAAACATGGCTACCAAGAAGGTAACTAATAAAAGGTTTTATTTAAATTTCGAACTGGCTTCAAAATAGAAAGCTGTTTATTGAAAAAAAAAAAATAAAGGAACATTATGGCGCGTGAAAAATTATTATTGTTCGTTATTTGTCATTGAACTTAAAAAGTAAAATTGTGTTTTTGATTTCCACGCATTGTTTGTACATATAGTACTATATAAGCCTTGGCCACAACTAGGTATTGATGGACTCACGTATGTGTGCCTCGGCTACGCCTCGGCCCACATTTGCACATTCGTCCATCAATGCCTCAGTTGCTGGCCGCTGCAGTAATGTACTATTAGGACTTGCTGTCACCATCATATCAGGCATAAAATACTTTTTAAAATAAATTGAAAAATATATCTATTTACTAATCTTTGTAGTTGTAATCATCAACATGGTTTGTGTACGAAATTTCCGTGGAAAATAGGAAATTTTCTGGAATACACGTCATTTTAGTGGCATTTTGGAGTAAACAGTTGAAATAAATATATTTTTTTAAAATGATAACAGCCAACAATATTATTATTTGTAGTTAAAGTAACAACATTTGATGCCGTATCCATACCGGTATTTTGAGTAAACGCTACTGACGTTCAATTCCAGATTAGTCCTAATACAATAGTGAAAAGGTTCAAATTGTGTTACTATAAATTGGAATTTACCTTGTTAGTTGTTAGTACATAAGTGGAGGTAAAGCAAAACCGGCTCACAGTTCTTCTCGTCTGTTTCGTTGATCGGCCGCTTATTAATATACTTTACGGAGTGTCGTTTTTAATTTTTTAAAAAAAATTGTAGGTGTCAATGACAAGATCGAAGAGAAAGTTCGCGATTACGGACAAATTTCTGCCAAGGTTAGATTTTCTAGTATATTCCTGTTTCGTTGATGTGATTATAAATGGTGTTGGAATGATGTGGTAGTTTTAGGTTATTAGGCTTCGCTCGTTTGTCACGTTTTACTAACATTATAAATGTGAAAGTTTGTAAAGATATTTGTTACCAACCACGCTTGAACGGTTGAAACGGGTTTCATTGAAGCTTGATCCAAGAAAGTATTTATTAAACTATTTATTAGGCATGGGTAGTATTGGTATTGTTCCAATATCTATATATTGGGTTATTTTAGTTATTGATGGCGGATAAAAGGCCACCATTACGATATCGCTCGTACAGGTTGGATATCTATATTGATTTCGATCGTGTTTTTCATTACGGCACTACATATTGGATAACGGACATTTAGCGTATTCGTTATTGACCCAATATATAGATATTGTAACTAAAATACATAGATATTGCTATATATTACCTTTCCCGACTATTTATCTTCACGCAAAGTTTCTAAAGCAAAGAGAATGGACTGTCAACTACCTCTACGCTTACATATTGTAGTGTATTTCTTACCTGCTGCATTTTTATAACTTGTCTCATACAAGCACGACAGTTCCGGAGACACTAGACTACTCTTATTTATTTATTTAAAGGAACACCAACAGCATATGTACAACAAACATTTAATACAATACAATATTAATGCACATGCCTTTTAAAGATATTCACAGCATTTACTTTAACATAATTATACAGTATGAAGTGAAGTAAACAATTTTAGGGGTTTTCTTTTCGAAAGAACATGGTTTATCTGACCATAACAGGTTAGTCTAATTTTCCCCCGGTACTTACATCTACATTAATAACCCACACCTTAATTGATATAATATAATACCTATCTATACATAATACATATAATCCTAAATTATGCAGACAAATCCACGGGATGTAGCTAGTTTGTTTAGACAAAGCAGTCAAAATTTATTAAAAGGAAAAGGTTCCCAATCAGTTTGTTTCTGTGTGTATGTTACGTGGTATTTTTGCCACTTCAAAGACAATTCTGATACTTGTATCTATCTATATCTATACTAATATTATAAAGAGAAAAGATTTGTATTTTTATGTGTATGTTTGTAATGAATAAACTCAAAAACTACTTTGCCGATTTCAAAAATTCTTTCACCATTAGAAAGCTACATTCACTCTGAGTAACATAAGCTATATTTATTACTAGAAAAGATTAGGGATCCCTAATAAAACTTTAGTAACGTAACTCAAGGTGTAAAAAAAATGCTATAAGATATCTATCGCCGCGTGCGCTGCGGAAACTATTGGTGATAGAACAAAAGTACGTTCTACAATATTGAAAGAAATATCAATAACTACAAAAAACTTCCCGATACTATATGTCCAACTATTATCGTTATGTCACAATAGTCACTTTTTAAAATGTTGTAAAAATGTCTACCCGTGCGAAGCCGAGACGGGCCGCTAGTTTCCTTATATTTTTTATGTAAACGATAGAATTTGTTTCAGTGTTGATTTCATATTAATATTTACTAGCAATCTCTTATTTTTTTTTTGGTCATAATATATACTTATACATGCAATTAAATTATTTCGTTTATAAAACCTATAAAGGTAAACAAGGTGACGGTCCACTTTGATGGAAAATGGTAACGCTCACTTGTATTTTTTTTTAAATATCACATGAATGAACTGTGGTTTTCATTGTATATCTTATGCATTATCATTCTTGAGGACTAAAGTGTTTTTTTTTATTGGATGAAAATGGTATGATAACCCCGCCTGTGTTAACGGGATACGCTGGCGGAGCACCAGTGAAGGGTGATAGATGAGAATGAAAACAGGCCAGTTAGCCCGTCATGATGAATTCATCAGGAATTAATCATGATAGTTTCCAAGGAGAACCGCGAGGAAGTCGACCTGGTTGGGTATATTGCTAGCAATGGGATTCTCAGTCTCCATTACTAACAATCATTACCCCTCGGACTAAAGTGTTATACCCACATACTTGTCATAAGAATTTTACCGTGTGGTCCCGGCATAGAATAGACCACCATTTTCTCATGGATGTCGTTAGAGACGACTAAGGGTACTTATCGGTTGAAGGATGGACAGCAGCGTCCCTCTTAAAACATCATCAAAGACTAACTGCGGTTGCCAACTCGCATGTCAAGTGTGGCAATCATTGGCAAAAATCTCCCTTTGGGAAAGGCCTATGTTCAGCAGTGGATAAATAACGGTGGATATGATGATAAGGTGAAGAATTTGACTCTTCATAAAGAAAAGCTGTATTTCGTTCTGCAAGCACTGTTGTTTGGTGGCAGATTCATGAATGGGACAAAGGTACCCATGCAGATGAAATTTTTTTTAATGAGTGATAATGGAATGGTTATATACGCTGGTGCCCACCAGTGAGCGATGATAAGTGATGATGAAAGCAAGTCAGTAAGTTCATCGTAACGAATTCCACTAGAATTAACCACGATGGTTTCCAGGGAGAACCACGTGGAGGTCGATCTGATAGGGTGTATTACTGGCAATGGGTCAATTAGATTCATTACTAACAATCCCTTTCCCCCCTGCAGACGACATTGTAACCAGTTTTAGTAAATCTCGATCACATACCCTGCCTTGTTTATGTCATGGATAGTGACGGCGTGATAATATAATTTTAGGTTAGACATTAAGTTTGGTCTGTTGGCAATTCGCACAGTATAATTACTTTTTTGTCTAATTTTCTATTACATCTTTCCTTGATATGACTTTTATTTCTACCCTTTTACTTTTAATTGCTGAATTAATCTTTAGACAATAACATTATATATAAAAAAAACAGATAAGTTACAAAATGAAATCTGGACATTACGCTAAGTTAAAGTCTCCTTTTTATAAACTTTCGCGTAAATGACAAACTCTAGCTATCTTATTTATACTATAGGTACTACTGGTATTCTACCTTGAAGTGAAATTCCGAATTTTCGAACTCAATTTTGTGTTTTTCATACCGAAGTCGGCTCAGTAAATGGAGCTTAACATTTTCTTCGTCAAAAATCCTATCTTAAAAGTCCAAAGGAACGATACTTTAACATTTTTAATGTTTTTAAACGGTTCAAAATGTATTATGTAATTTTAAAATCAAATTTGTGTTTCGTTCGGCCCCGAAATTTCAGAAAACAATTCATGGTAGACCTTCTGTTTCTGTCAATGAACATTTTTTAAGAAAATCGAATTATAATATAACCACAGTCTATTAAGTTGTAATCGTATTGCAACTATGTAATTTATGGTCGAAAATTCACTCGCAAAATATGTATAGGTATGGATTAGTTGAATCTCTCTTATTTAAATGAAGTCTTTACATGGACGATACAAGGAAGCATTTTCTATAAGTATTTATCTCAGATGAATAAACTAAATATAGATCACATACTAAATTAGTCATTTTAGTATTCATAGTACTAACTCTGGTTAGTTGGGGGGAAAGGGATTGTTAGCAATGGAGTTTGACAGCCCCATTGCTAGCAATATGCCTTATTAGGTTAACTTCCACGTGGTTCCCCCTGAAAACTATCGTGAACAATTCTTGTTGAATTCGTCACGATGAGCTAACTTGCCTACTTCATATCACCCTGCCTTGGTGCCGCGCCAGTGTATACCGATAGCACAGGCGGGGTTACCATTCCGTTATCATCCATTAAAAACTCTGGTTAGTTTAGGACTAGTGTATTAAGAAGAGAAATAAAAAATATAGTTATATAGATAGATACATATTTACTCTTTATTGTTCTCTCCAAAAGAAAGTAATAAGCGAAGCAAATACAAAAATTACAAGATAAATGATCAACCATTATTTTTGACGGATGGTGACATGTGAGAAACTGCTATAACCACCACAAGAAATATGAAATGTAATGAGCCATAATATAGTTTATTACATGCCATTTCAAGGACTGTATTGTTCTACTGGCCCCAGTAAAGTGGATAGTTTGATAAGACGTACTAATAATGCAAACATTCAGATTTGGCAGTTAATAATTAATATTTTAGTTATCATTACATTTTCATCATTACAACCTATCTATCAGTCAGTGCTCAACAGTTAGCGTTCATATTTCGGCACAAAGTATGGTCCCGTGTTGTTTGCGTTCATCGACTCTTTGCTACATATTTGAAGTCGTCATTCTATCTTGTCAGGCTTTGGAGATGTTTTTAGAGGGACGCTGCTACCCGTTACTCGCCTTAACTTAGTACTCTCTTACAATATCCTCGAGAATGGAAGGGGTAGCCTAGTCTATACTGGGATCACACGGCAATGTGGTTGCCAATCCGCCTGCCAAGCGTGGCAACTACTGGCAAAACAATCCAAAGGGGAGGTTTGTTTTTTTTTATACAACTTACAATGGCAAACAAGCTGACGGCCCACCTGATGTAAAGTGGTAACCGTCGCCTATAGACATGAGCAGTACCATGGATATAACAGAGTATACTGTTTCGCCCATGATACCCCCCATGCGTTGCCATTCCTGAGGACTCAGGTGTTATTCCTCTGTACCCAGTAAATTCGCGCCATATCCCACCCTTCAAACCGAAACACAGCCATGCAAACACAACTGCTTCACGGTTGAAACACAAATGGGACAGAGGTACCCAAGCAATCGACTTTTGTACAAAGTCTCCCTCTGGTACTTGTGCTCAGTAGTGGACAGCTAAAGGCTAATATGATGATGATGATTGTATTTCGTGAGAGGTTGTCTCGCCTGCGCTATCAGTAAACACTGGCGGGATACCAGTAAAAGATTATAGGTGAGGACAAAACTAGTTAAGTTTGGCCAACGTGACGAATTTATAAGAAATTAACCACAATGGTTGCTAGAGGAGACCCCGTGAAGGTTAATCTGACAAGGTATATTTTTAGCAATGAGGACTAGAGTTTTTGTTACTAACAATCCCTTTCACCCCTTCCCCTCTTTTATGTGGTTGTTTCACGCTATGTTTGTCTGCACGGAGTCGAGAAGTTTTTTCCTTACATTTGTCGCTTGAATTTCGCAGCCCATTTGTATTACTGGTCATGATACAATTTATAAAATTGTTGTTACAACGTATATATTATATTTCGTGATGCCCATGGTAGATGTATGGTCGTGTGGTCCTAGCATAGGATAGGCCAACCCTTCCTTTCCTGTGGGTGTCGCAAGAGGCGACTAAAGGAACGTGGTAGAGCGATGAGCAGCAACGTCCTTTTTAAAACATTTCTGAAAACCTAACTGCGGTTGCTAACCCGCCTACCAAGCATGGAAATTACTGGCAAAAATCCCAGACATACAAACAACATAAGTCTTTATAGGGAAGACTTATGTTCAGCAGTGGACAGTTAACGGCTGAAATGAAATGGCAGATACGGTTGTGTTTGTAAACGACGATGACCACTTTCACAAAAAAAGTGTAAGAGTAAGCATAACTCAAAGATTTTCTTAAAATCGATACTGTGAATATAAAATGTAAAACGTTAACAAACTGAGTTATACTGCGGTGGAAGATCACGAGTGTATTATAATAACAGATGCGGAGGAACCGGTTGCTTGTTTACAACTTGTATGTAAAGCAGCCTCGAAGTGGGACGAGCACGTCGCTTGTGTGTGATCATCAAGGGTCTCCTAATAATACACCTATAAGTACCTATAGTTTGTGTCTTTTTAATGGGTGATAATGGAATGGTAACCCAGCCAGCGCTGGTGGGGTACCAGTTAGAAATGATGATGATTAGGATGAATGTAGTTTAGATAGTCCATCGTGATGAATTTCATAAGAATTAAACGAGATGGTTTCCAGAAGGAACTGCGTGGAGGTTGATGTAATAGAGTCATATTGCTAGCAATGAAGCTGTTAGATCCCCATTACTAATCTCTTCCCCTTGTATTTGTATTGCCTCGTGGTTCCGGTGTAGAAAAGATCACCCTTTCCTTTCTCGTGGATTTTGTAAGAGGCGGCTAAGGGAATTTAATGGGTAAGGAATGGAAAGCGTTTCTCTTAAAGCATCACCAAAGTTTAAATGTGCTGTCAATCCGCCTGCCAAGCGTGACATCTACTGGCAAACCCCTCCTTATGGGGAAGGCTATGTTTAGCAGTGTATAGTTAATGGCTGATACAACAACAAACACCTGTTAGAGGAGAGGGACTGTCAGTGCTAGTTCTATTAGTAACATACCTTATCAGGGCCACTTTCATGCAATCCTCTCTGGTGTTTTCGTCACAACAGATCAACAACTTACAATTACTTAGTGGTGCCCATTAGATTATGATTCCATTATCGTCCATTAAAAAATAATAAATATCTACCATCACATTAGTTGGATAGGACATGACTGTGATCCTGCGATCCAAAGATCACGTCATAAACCCTTACATTCTCAAATTTATGTTTCGGTACTTAAAGCTATTGTCCAGCAAATCATGTCAGAGGCTTTCGTTTATATAAAACGACACCAGATTAGTAACTATTGACAGCAGAAAGTGACGTCCTTATATGAATAGCACAGACAACTAAGAAAATAGGAAAATTTCTATATATGTATAACAATTTATTACTCTAACTTTTTGCCAGTTACTCATTAATTTTTTTTGTTAGTTTGGATTTTAGATGTAGGAAAAGCGATGAAATAGATCCCTTCTGTATAGCATATCAAGATGAAATATATTCCGAATTTTTAAGTTAGATCTTCAGGACCTCTTTACGTAACCCGGGAACAAACATACAGATGTCTGGCTGACAGACAAAATTTCTAAAAAAATATGGTTTTGGCTTCGATTACTGTTATAAAAACTTTGCTGACCTAAAATTAGATCATAGTTGAAATTTTTAGAATTAAACTAAAATTGTGATAAAAATCTAAATACAAAGAAAAGTATTTTTTTGGTCATGAACGCTTTGTAATCCACACGGTGTTGCCTGTCGTGGTAGGAGAACGTACCTACACGCTAGTGCAATGACGAGTTTCTTCGTCATCAATTAGCAACGTTTAGGTAATGAAAAAACCTGGTCAGCTGTGTTAAGACCCCTCATATAAATTTTTAAATTTCTCTCATGTATAGACATCACTTACTTCTAATTTTGTTATATTAGTATAATAATGTAATACTTATAATTTATAACTGGAGGGGTAGTTTCTTTTCTCTCGTTTCTCCGTAATGCCGGAATATTACTCCCTGGGGCCAAAAGTTACTGTTGAGAAACATACTTATAATGTTCGGATTTTAAGCAACGATCTAGACTTTGTAGGAAACAAATTTGATATGGAAACAAAAACTAAAAAAAATAACATCCTGAGGGAGACTTTGTACAAAAGTTGTTTGCTTAAGCACCTCTGTTCCATTCGTGTTTCTAGCGTGAAGCAGTTGTGTTTGCATGGCTGTGTTTCTGTTTGAAGAGTGGGGTGTGGCAGTGAATTTACAGGGTACAGAGGAGTAACACCTGAGTCCTCAGGAATGGCTACTCTAGGTAAATCGCCTAGAATCATTTAGGCGATTCTTTATAATACGTGACAAAAATAAAAAATAATCGTATGAAATCTTAAAACAATGGAATAGATTGCTTGACACGGAAGTTATGATATTTATTCGTAAAAGTAATATATAGAAGATGAATTAAACGAAAAATATAAACGGAACTTAATTTAGAAATATTTAAAAAATGCATATAGTATGATGCAATATTTGTTAAAGTTTTATAAGCTTAGTTAGATGATAACATTCTATACCAGTGTTGCATCATCCAATCTGTCCAGTTATCGCCACTTAATTACAAGATTGTTTATGCAAATGTATAAATAATAATAATTTAGAATCCAGGTTTATTATTACTATCTACCTATGGTTTTATATTTATTCAAAGATGAGATGAACGCTAATAGTAGCGGAAATTACGTTGGAATTAGAAATTTATGTCTAATTATTAGGTAGATTTATTTTGAGGAAAACGTCAACAATTCGCCTGTAAATTATTTATTTTATGTAACTTAGAATGGCAAACAAGCTGACGGCCCACCTGATGGAAAGTATGAACCGTCGTCTATAGACATAATTAGTATCATGGACATAACAGAGTATACTGTGTCGCCCTCGATACTCCTCGTGTGATGCCATTCTTGAGGGCTAAGGTGTTATGTGTTTAACATTAATAATATTGTACAAAAGTCGATTCCTTGGGTACCTCTGTCCCATTCGTGTTTCAACCGTGAAGCAGTTGTGTTTGCATGGCTGTGTTTCGGTTTGAAGGGTGGGATAGGGCGTGAAGTTACTGGGTACAGAGGAATAACATCTGAGTTCTCAGGAATGGCAACGCATGGGGGGTATCATGGGCGAAACAGTATATTCTGTTATGTCCATGGTAATGCTCATGTTTATAGGCGACGGTTACCACTTTCCATCAGGTGGGCCGTCAGCTTGTTTGCCATTCTTAGTTGTATAAAAAAAAAAGAAAGTCTATAAAATGTTTAATTACTTAATCATATTTATAAATTAATTATTTATAGTTATCTCTATCCAGCCTTTGCTAAGATTGCAGCGACAGATTTTAATATAAATTTTAAGTTGTTTTTATTATTATTTTATATATTTTTTTATCGTATTCGAGTATATAAATTGTCTGATGGTAAGAAGTCAGTCCAAGACAATAAGCAACATCAAAAACTCTCTGAGCCTCATCACACAAAGATCAAATATCCAGTAATTTAATAACAATATTAACGGTCACAGAATCACATTAATTCTCTAGTAATCAAGCTGGAATCATCATATCAGCCTTTAACTATCCACTGCCGAACATAAGCCTACTCTTTGGGGGGATTTTGCTAGTAGTTGCCATGCTTGGCAGGCGGATTGGCAACCGCAGTCAGGCCTTGGAGATATTTTAAGAGAGACGCTGCTGTTCATCCCTCGCTCTCTCTTAGTTGCCTCTTACAATACTTACGGGAAATGATGACCTATGCTAGGTGCACACGGTCAAGCTGAGATAACTTGTGTTATGAGAAACCAGTCGACAAATATTTGGTGGCATATTCTAAGTACGGCCAGACCAGAGATTGACCAGATCAGAATTTAAAAAAGTTCCTCTGTTAGCCTGACCGGGAATGAACCCACATTACTGCCATATCGTACAAAACATACAGAAGTAAGCTTAGCGTCAGGAATAAGTGAGACTTGTAGAAAAATATTAAAAGGTTTTATTTTTTTATTTCAGGCTAGCCAAAAATTTGTGTACCAGAAAAGGTAGCCGCCGGGCGAACACTGGAAACCGCCTAGAACACGCAGTGCTCACCCACATACAACACGTGCCGTAGTTTCCCTGAAGTTTGAACTTCCTCATCGCTAATCATCATCCATCTCCTTTTCACCGGCATCACTTAGTCAGAGCGAAAGAGACATACACTGGCAGTCATGGCTCGTGGAGACGAATGCAAAACCGCGTCTAAGGCTAACTATGCCTGCAAAAATTTGGATGTAACTGCTCCTTTAAAGTGAGTATTATCACGAATAATAATAGAATAAGTATGTAGGCTACCAACCTATTTCAAACCTACGTAGGAGTAAAAGAAAAAATTTGCTCGTGATGATATAATGAATACCTAATATTTACAATAAATTATATATATATATATATATATATATATATATATATATATATATATATATATATATATATATATATATATATATATATATATATATATATATATATATATATATATGTTATGTTCATAGTACTGCTCATGTCTATAGGCGACGATTACCACTTTCCATCAGGTGGACCGCCAGTTTGTTTGCCAGTCTAAGTTGAATAAAAAAAAATATATATATATATATATATACTATATAATATTTTCCATAAAACCAATTGCTAAAGACAAGCAGATTGTCAAGCACGATACTATATTTTCTAAACCAATGTAGGTTTGAAGTATGTTGGTAACCTTCATGAGTATAAATGATTGTATTCATCAGGAATCGAACTGGTAACTAGAGGAAGTATTCTAGACCTCTACAATACCAGTGTCACCATTTCATTCATTCATTCAAGTCGGTCATTACATAAAAATAATTTCGAACTTTTCATAATAAATCATAATTACTTACATATTTTCTTGTGAAACTTGTTGTATTTCATGAATACTAGAGCTGGATTTAAGATTTTCATTTTCTTTCTGTTGTATGCAAATATATATTATTATATTATTCTACCAAAAAATGTAACCACATTTCTTAAAAACATAGATCGATAATCGACAAAATATTCTGAGTCCTCTACAAACAAGATATTATATTATACATTTTTAGTTTTATGTACGAGAGAATATAAATATATGTAATATATATATATATATATATATATATATATATATATATATATATATATATATATATATATATATATATATATATATATATATATATATATATATATATATACACAATATAGCAATTCTATTTGGAGAACGATTTTAAAAACATCGATATAGAATTAATAAATCTTATTAATTTTCTAGAAAATCAGTTACCCAACCATCCACATCTCAAGCACCAGGGAAGCAGCAACAGAAGAAGGATTACGGAGCTTGGGGTCCCATCTACAAAGACAGGAAGACGTTCACAGATATGCATTTGTGTTGATAAACACATCGAGCCGGATCATCATCACTTCGCATGACACTGCTTACCATTTACCATTCATAGTCACAAAATAATGTTTGTTTTTTAATTCGCCTTTTTTTTTTAATTATAACTGATAATAAATAACGAATTTTCTCATAAATTGTTTTATTATAAGTCTTTAGTATATTTGAAAGTCGAATGTCGAAAGTCGCTATAAAAATGTTTGTAGTCAATTTACAATGTTGATATTTTACTAATAAATCGATAAAATGAGTGGAATTATAACAATGAGGTTAAAAAATAGACCAAGTAATTTGAAATCTTTTGTAAAAGTTATAATTGTAATATTCAAAATTATTAGGCGATTTTAAGTTTATATTTTTAGCAATTAAAGGTTTTACACTTGTAAAATTTTGTAACGATTATTTTTTTATCATGTTACAAAATAAATGTCGTGAAAACAATGTTGTTTTTGTGACGTGTGGCTTTTTATGTTTGTTTGATGGTTTAGGGATTTTTTATTTTTGATTTGCACACTAACAAAACATGTATTTCATTCTTAATAACATATTAAATTGCATCATTCATTACTGACAGATTGTTTGTTTGAGTCCTATAAAATATTTCAACAATATTATGTTTTTTGCGTTTAAGTCGATGAATATTAAATATATGTAATTACATAACTATTATAATAATAGTATATTTACACGTAAATCTGGAAATATTGTATATTTATATAGACGTAATATTGAATTTAAATTAAATAATGTTAAATGAAGACTGAAGAAATAAACTGAAGTTCGTTGTTTATTGATAATTTCAATAATTAAAAGAAATATAACAAATAATTGGCTCCAATAGAGATAAAATAATAATAATTCTTTTATAATTTAATTTTTTAATCAAAATATCTGATTGTGCTAGAATGGAAATCAGTTTTTCTGTGGAAAACAGTCTTATTTAAGTTTGTTTACGTTACATATTCAAAGAGATACCCGTATACGTTGATATTAGCATATAGGAAAAACACCAGATATTGAATCTAACCCGACTAATAAACGTTGGGGAATATATAAAGGAAAACATAATTGTATTCAGTCGAAAAAAAGCACTTAGTAACGTTCCTATATACTAAATTTTAATATATATTAATTTAAACCACCTATATGTGATGTACATACTATCTTTCATTAGAAGTTGAACAAATAAATAATTGAGACTAAACGCCTCATCGTCATCGTACCAACAGTTAACTGTGATGAAATGAAATGGAGACTGAGAATCCCATTGCTAGCAATATACCCAACCAGGTCGACCTCCTCGCGGTTCTCGCTGGAAACTATCATGGTTAATTCCTGATGAATACATCATGATGGGCTAACTGGCCTGTTTTCATTCTCATCTATCACCCTTCACTGGTGCTCCGCCAGCGTATCCCGTTAGCGCAGGCGGGGTTACCATACCATTTTCACCCATCAAAAAAAAAAACAGTTAACTGTCCACTGCTAAACATGGACCTCCCCTTGGAGTGTTTTGCCAGTAATTGTTACGCTTTGCAAATAGCAAACTTTGGAAACCGCAGTTAGGTTTTGGTGACGTTTTAAGAAGGACGCTGCTGTGCATCCTTTGACTATTAAATTATATATTTTAATTATAATATATATATATATATATATATTATAAATATTTTAAGTCTTAGGAGAGATTTTGCCTCACTCTGCGTGTTCTACCGCTTGTACAATGGATTGTGCTCAGAGGAATTGTTCAATATGATGTCCACAGTCACTTTCTACCATCGTACGGCTCGCCATCGACAGGGAGTTCATCCTCATGTTTTACAGCCTCAATGGTCGCGTACTGCGCGGTTTCAGAGATGTTTCCTCCCACGAACACTCAGGTTGTGGAATGAGCTCCCTGCCGAGGTTTTCCCAAGAGACTATAGCATGGGGTTCTTCAAAAGGTGGGTAAAGAGGTTTCTTCAGGGTCGGCAACGCACGCGTAGTGCCTCTGGTATTGCAGGTGTTCATAGGCTACGGTAATCACTTACCATCAGGTGGACCGTATGCATGTTTGCCACCTCAGTGGTATAAAAAAAATTCTATCAAAGACGAGTCTACTGATGTCCAATAGTACAAATGTAAACCAATTGATTAAATGTTTCGATTTGTTAGTAATTTTGTATCTGTGATAATTTTAACACAGACTGTAATCTGTAAAATGGGCCACCCCTTCTTTTCCCGTGGTTGTCTTAAGCGACGACTAAGGGAACTTAATGGTCGAGGAGTGGGTACCAGCGTCCCTTATAACCGCCACCGCCAAAACCTAACTTTTTTTTTATACAACTTAGAATGGCAAACAAGCTGACAGCCCACCTGATGGAAAGTGGTAACTGTATAACTGCAGTTATAAATCCGTCTGCCAAGCGTGGCAAATACTGGTAAAGCCCCCCCAATAGGGGGAGGCCTATTGTCAGTTGTGGACAGTTAACGGCTGATATCATGATGATGATGGTGAAGCTATGTTTATATGTTGATCAATCCTTGAACAGTATTAGAAGTGTAATGGATTTGAGTATATCCAAATTTTTTTTTATACAACATAGAATGGCAAACAAGCTAACGGCCCACCTAATAGAAAGTGGTAACTGTCGCCTATAGACATCAGCAGTACCATGGACATAACAGAGTATACTGTTTCACCCATGATCCACCTCATGCGTTGCCATTCCTGAGGACTCAGGTGTTATTCTTCTGTACCTTGTAAATTCACGCCATATCCCATCCTTCAAATCTAAACACAGCCATGCAAACACAACTTGGGGACAGAGGTACCCAAGCAATGGACTTTTGTACAAAGTCTCCCTCTGGGAGATTTTTTTGTCATCTATCAACCCAGTTTTTTGGGAAAAATTATTCAGGTTCAGTCCCATGAAAAAATTCTTATGATTTCGTATTCGCCCTTCATTTTATATTATCGACATGTAGCCTATGGCATTATCACCATATGAAAGTAACGACGTCCCATTCATTGATATTCAATAGGCCATTTAGGCTACACGGTGTCGGAAAAATCCAGATACATTTCCATAAGTACATATTAATACTGTGTATTCTTTGATGTCCATAGTGTTGCTCTTTTCTATTGTATTTAATTTATGTATGTATAATTGTATGATAATGTAATGGTAACCCTGCCTGTGCTAACGGTATACGCTGACGGGGCACCAGTTAGGGATGATAGGTGAGGATGATAAAGCAAGTCAGTCTATCGTGATGAGTTCGATAAGAATTAACCATTATGGTCTTCAGGAGACACCACGTGGAAATCGACCTGAATAAATATATCGCAAGCGATGAAGCTTTTCTGACCCCATTATTTTGCCTTTAATTTTTAATTAACAATTTTTCCTCCCTCAAAAGATTCATGTTGACATTCGATGTTCGTATTTCCGAAATGCGTTCATTGACTGCTTTGCATAATTGATATCTTGGGTTCGATTCCTGGTTGGACTAATTTAAGGAATTAACATTTCTGAATTGGATCGGATCTGGAAGTTCTTAGTTGTGCTCAAAAATGTTTTTTGCCTGTTTCATCCTAAGACAGGTCATCCTAGCTTGGGGACCAAGCGATTGGTCTGATTGTGTAGATATATAGATAATTTATTTGCATTACTTACAGCACACAAATAATAACAAACATATACAGTAAAAAGAGATAAAAGAATGCTAATACAAAAAAAAAAAAGGAAAAATATAAAACAAGTAACAGTTTTCTTTTTTCATACGTGTGCCATAGTAACACAAAATGGTCACAACTCAGTTCATTGTTTTGCCCTCAAAAGAGCACGTGTACTTTTTATTGTTATATCATTATTATGACTGGAACTATCATCACTTTTATACTTGTATCTGCAGTATAAATAACTAAAGATGATTATCCTTAACTCTTGTGAGAATTTATTGTAGTGGGATCAATTAGTTTATAATCTATCCTTGTCTATTCTATTTAAGAGCTGCGCTCTTGTCGGTGGAGCTCTTGCCACTCACTGCGATATTCAGCGAGTCTCTTCACCACGACACCAACTCCTTCTTTGACCTGCCTGTTGTAACTATGTCTTGGTCTTCCGCTTCCCCTCTTTCCTTCTATCTTTCCTTCTATCTTACCTTCTATTATAATGTTCATAAGTTCATCGTGTTGTATCGAGTGTCCCAACATTTTTTTCTCTCTGTCCTAAAAATTCTCCTATTTTGTCTTATCCTTAGTTGATAATGATGGATATATAAATATGTAGTCGATGGTTACCTTTGTTTTTGAGCCTAGGATTAGATCAACAAGATGATGCTGGAATTTAATCAAAGTTGTTTGTAAGAGCTTGCTTTCAGTAAAAAGGCCGCCTTTATTTAGTAAAGAAAAATCCGTAATAGTTCACGTTTGAAAAATAAGGCATAATCTAAATTTCAATACCTACTCTATTACGATTCAATAATTGATATTTTATATATTTATGAATAAATTGTTAACTTCTTTAATACTTCTTTTTTAAGTCGTGTGGTCTTGGTATAGAGGGGTCACCCGTTCCTTTCCCGTGGGTGTCGTAAAAGGCGACTAAGAGAGGGCGAGGGATGGGCAGTAGATTCCTTCTTAAAACATCTTCAGAGCCTAACCGCGGTCGCCAATTCGCCTGCCAAGCGTGGCAACTGGCTCCAAGGGGAAGACTTATACTCAGCAGTGAATAGTTAAAGGCTGATATTATGATGATGATGATGATGATGAAATTGTTAACTTTACTTACAGTTTCCCAAAACGTGGGAAATTAATCAATCAGTCATTTATTTGTATAAACATAAATACAGTCATAAAATTTTATTTCAGTCTAAGTAATTTTTCCAAGAAATCTACAGTTTGAAGTTACGCAATTTCAGTTTAATAAGAAAGAATGTAACAATATCACAAATTTCACACAAACACACACACACACACATACACTCACACACATGCACGCACGCATGCACGAACGTGTTTATTTTTAAATTTAGGTTTCAGTTGAGCAGAAAATGTTGGATAGTTTTTATTTTGTATACTATTGTTTTTTTTAATTGTTTTGTTCTTGTTTTGTATGCACTGTGTGAGTCGCCTAATTCTTTGAATAATTTATTTGTTTCTTTCTTTTGTTCTATTTAGACTATTAATTATATGTGATTAGGGTTTAATTGCAATTAGAAAGCTCAGGCATCTATTTATTATTCTTAATTCATAGATAATGATATATCATGAAACAAAAACTTCTAGTTGCGAAGCAAAATTTATTTGTAGATACACGTTTCAGTGTTCTAAATTCAATCTACAACATGTCTACGAAACATCTCGTCGTATTAGATATCTGTGATTACGTTTGAGGTCATTCTTTGTTTGAGAAAAAATATACTTGTATAGAAACGTGTAGGTACCATTGTTTATTTAATAAAATTGTACAGAGATCTAGTTGGATGGGCCGTACGGATTGGGGTGTGAATAATTCATACCGTGCAATTAGAGTTGTGGCAGCAAACGGGCACGAAGATTGGCTTTCTTGTTAAACAATTTGATTGGGAATTCCCTTACTACAATAGTCGATAGTAATCTATAATATTCTATAGAAATGTATTATTTATAGTTATTTCTTTTACATTTATGATATAGCTAGCTTAGGCATTTATTTATTTATTTACACTTTATTGCACCAAGAGAAATAACAAATACAGTAAATATTAATGAGAAGTGATACAAAAGGCGGCCTTATACCTAAGCAATCTCTTCCAGACAACCTTTGGGTAGAGGACATTGAGAAAAAGACAAAGGGTAGGTGGCGCACTATTATATAAATATTATCATATACAAACATATATACATACATACACACACATACATAACATACACATACTTAACAGCACACATACAACAGAAAAAAAAAATTACGAAGGAAAACGAAGACAGAACACAGGAAAATAGTACTAAAGTGAGAGGTAGTAGGATTTAAAAGAGGTTTTGAAGCTAGTAAGAGTTTGAGCGCACCAAATAGAGATAGGTAGTGAGTTCCATAGGCGAACTGCCTGGACAGTAAAGGATTTAGAATAAAAGAAAGAAGAATGAATGGGAAATTTGAGTCGGAGGTTATTGACACTGCGTAATGTATGATCATTAGTTTCACTGAGAAACAAGAATCGGTCTTTTAGATAATCAATAATTAAAATTATATTATTATTATAATTTCAAATTTACATCTTCTCTATTCAAACAGAATTGTTTACTAGATCTTTTAAATTCTCATTTTTTATGAATCTATTGCAGGGTTCGGAATGTTGAGATGAACGCGCAAGAAATAACAATTACTCTTTTAAATTTCTGTTAATATTATGTGGAGACTTTGTACAAAAGTCGATTGCTTGGGTACCTCTGTCCCATTCGTGTTTCAGCCGTGAAGCAGCTGTGTTTGCATGGCTGTATTTCGGTTTGAAGGGTGGGATATGGCGTGAATTTACTGGGTACAGAGGAATAACACCTGTGTCCTCAGGAATGGCAACGCATGGGGGGTATCATGGGCGAAACAGTATACTTTGTTATGTCCATGGTACTGCCCATGTCTATAGGCGACGGTTACCACTTTCCATCAGGTGGACCGTCAGCTTGATTGCCATTCTAAGTTGTATAAAAAAAAATGTACTATGTATAAAATTACATGGTCATTAGAAAGCTCGTGCATGATCGGTTAATTTCATGCACGTTTCTCATTCAATTATATTATATGATGAGTTATTAGTCCATTGATAGAAGGACGCCTATAGTTACAAAAAGCACCATGGACGCCATATCACATCCTATGCTGTCCATAGTACCGCACTGTCTTCATATCATTCAAATCTTGATTGTGTTTTATTTTTTCAACCGACTTAAAAAAGAGATCCTTAATTCGATTGTATTTTTTTATGTTTCTTAATTTATAACTCTGTCAGTTGTAAACCGATTTGGAAAAATATTTTTTCATCTGAAAAAATACACTTACATACAGGTCTCAAAGAAATTATATTAAAATCGATTCAGCAGTTTTGTTCTTACATCAAAATAACTGGTTTTGCCACAATTGAAGCTGAATGTTTTTTGTAAAATATAATTATGTGTTTATTATGTATAAATAAATGCACAATAGATGAAAAACTGACTGCCATGATCTGATAGAGTCTATTTTAACTGGCTGAAAAAGGAAACAAGTCTCGATGACGTGTTATGAAATTAAATGGAGTAAGATATATGTATGTCTGTCCTTTTCATCCTATGGGTGTCATAAAACCCGGGAACAAAGCATTACACATCAGGGCGACGAATGAAAACTCGGAAAAATACATACTGTACGAGTCAGCATGGTAATAGTAGGTCAACTGAAAAGTTCCCCATAGGAGAAATCCAATGGGAAACGATCCACACTCAGTTGTTGAATGTTGTTGGGGTTTTATGGGGTGATATGTATATAGGATGTTTTGCTGGAAGAAATCTCTTATTAGAGATAAACTCGTCTTTGAACATTATGTTTCAAATGAATTGTGGTTAACATTATATTTTGTGTACAATAAAGAATAAAGAATAGGAGTTTTGGTTTTCTGTTATTCATCTAACTTCAAAAGATGGTAGTTCTCAATTCGGTTGTATTTTGTCTATGTTTGTTACTTTATAATTCCGTTAGTTATAAATCGATTTAGAAAATTCTTTATCATCTGAAAGGATATACGTAAGTATATCCTTTCAGATGATAAAGAATTTCATTTCATTTGCATTCGTTTCATAGAAATTTTATTAAAATCGGTTCAGCAGTTTAGTTCTGAAATTAATATAACTAGTTTTGATCACAATTCAAGTCGGTTTTTTTTATGGAACACCATCTGATGAGATAAGGAGTCTGTCCTTATAATAGGAAGAAGATAATTAGTTATTTAATTTTAAGTATTTAATATTAATATAATTAAAATATTTATTTATAATTATAAAAAAATATTAAATATTTTAATTATATTTTAATTAATGTTTCCTAATTATTATTTTTTTGGTTAAATGGCAGAGTTTTTTTAAGTCATTAAAAATATGTTTAAATTTAAATTTAATAACTCTATTACATTGTTTGTGTTCTTATTGTTTACATTTGACTAAGCACTTTAGTTTATTCGTCTTCAGTTTTTTAATACGGTAGAATCAATTATGAAGAAATCGTATATGAGGAAGCTTCAAACCTTGAGGTAAAGTTTAGGATATAATTATTTATAAATAAAAATCTAGGAAAAACTTTTTTTTTTTACAAACTCTAAGTACGGGCGTACAAATATGTTACTGGTTCCCGCTCAACCCGTGCGCTGCCGATGCGCTTTTCGCATGTCCCCGCAGTAGTGCAAGAGGTCCCGCGGGCTAGCACGTGCTATCGACCGCAGCGCGCTGCGGACGGTGCGGGATCGGCCGGCACGTGAATGCGCGCGCACGTGCCTGAATTAGTGCTGTGCCTTGGCTAATTTAAATTTAATTTTAATGCATAGGCACAACATGATAGACATATACATCCGACAAACTCCGTACAACTTACAAACTTGGAAGAGATATCGACAGTTGTAAAATTAAAGCCGAGCCTTAGATATTTAACGAAGACTTAGGTCATAGAAAAATACTTGAACATTTTGTACTGGGCATTGGAAGTAAAAAATAAACTATACTGTATCCGATGGAAAATGGTTACATATAGACAAGAATAATGCTATAGATGTTGCAAAATATATTGTGCAGCACATGCTGTCTGTCAGCCATATGTACAATTTCTAAGGAATAAGGTGTTAAAGATTTTATTGGCTATCAGTCTGAAAAAGCAATACATATGTAGTGCAATTTAGCTTTCTGGGAAAAAATAGGCAAAAACTGCCATTTTTAATTACATTCCATTTTGTTGATTTTTTGAGAAAATAATTTATGAATACGTAAATACAAATTACTATACTGCGTAATTCATTTCGTTACTTCTCTGTAGCGAATGCCACAGCTTTATCGATAAGAGGCCGGCACGCGAGCTGCGGCACTCGGTCGCCTAGCGTCAGACGCCGCATGGCCGACCGCGGCAAATATCGCGTCGCGCCCGTCCCGGCGCCGACAAAGAAACAGTACGCGTACGTCCCGTGTCCGCGGTCCGAGGAGGTCGGCACAGAGTTCGCGCTCCAACTCCTCAGGGGCCATCACCACGTCGAACCACCGGAGACACCGCAGAAATCCCCACCCGGTGAGTTTCCCGAACTTCGATAGGCAACTTTAAATTACGCGGGAAAAGTTGCAACGACTTTTGAAGAGTTAATTTTTTAATCTGCATCGTTTCTGGTCGTGTAATGCTCTGTGATATGTGAAAAATTTGAAGTTTGTGCTTTTAAAAAAGTAACATTGGTTATTATTCTATTTTTGAAATGTGCCAACTAACCAGCTGGAGCGAGCCGAGAAAAAAATTTGTTATGAAAAGTCAAGACGTCGCGCGTTTCTGGGTTATTAACGTAAACACCTGTCAAGATATGCCGCGAAAATTGTGCGGGCATCGACGAAGTGACATTCACATCTGTTTTTTTATTTCATAATCTAAATGTTTGATTGAGTGGATAATGTGATGTGCGTATTTGTAATTAAACAATGTTCACTATTGCATCGACCCTCAATGCGAGATGCGCACGCACATGCCTAGATAAAATTAGTTTGACATGCAAATTGCTGGCGCGCACTTTGGATCTATTTATTGTCACAAACGTCAATTATTTATGAAACAACACAAAAATAGTTTGATAGTATGATGAGACGTGTAATAAATTAGGTATTTTATTGAAACAAGTTCGTTTAAAGTTATTTTGAACACCTATTATATCGATTATTAAATTAATATCAGTAATTCAGTATCAAAGGACCATTTACAAAAATAGGTAAGTACTTAATATGACGAATTTGTAACTGTAATTTTATCTTACTATACTTACTACTCGTATATATAAAAAATTGAAAATTATTGATTTATAATTTTATCATAAAAGAACTATTTAATAATGCATAAAATGAAACGAAAATTGTAGAAAAAAAAAATTAGAAAACAGTTATGCTTAGGTAATGTATATTTTTAACAAAAGTGTAAAGTCAGACAAAGGAAACCAAATCAATACAGCTGCCTCGCTCGTAACAATATTTTCTTTTTTTTTATGTGTAGTTTATGTCAAGTGAATTTCCGGTGTCTACCGAATTTTCAATTATGGAAGCTTATTTACTTTTTTTATAATGTCATAAATCTATTGTTTAATTATATCCAAATTTGAATTACTCTTGCAGTTAAAATTTGAAACTATTTTTAAATTTTTTAAATTAATAACGGTCATATGATTAATTTAGTAAAATTGAACAATTATTTTCATATTTTAATCATGTTCACTGAGAAAAGATTTCACTGAATTTGTTAAATTGCTGGTAGATATAGAAACAAAGAAGATTTTTATATTATATTATATATATATATATATATATATATATATATATATATATATATATATATATATATATTATACATATATAATTATTATTTGTTTCTATATCTACCAGCTATTTAACAAATTCAGTGAAATCTTTTCTCAGGGAACATGATTAAAATATGAAAATAATTGTTCAATTTTACTAAATTAATCACATGACCTATAATTTCTAGTTGTCTATGGGTTAGGATCTGGTGATCTGGTGATAGAAATTTCTATCTAGCACTGGTACAAAACTCTCATAAACAAACGTTAACTATTGTATAACTATTTGTTTCGAAATAATAAACGACATATAGGCATAATATAATAATCATATATACATATATATATGTACTCACAACACAGAACACTAATTTAGAGTTGGTTTAGAAAAGTTTGTTTCTTTAGTAGACTTAACAAGAATCGAATCAGGAACTTAAATTAACCAGTGTATTACGGAGCTCGTCAAATAATGAACAAGTATAGATATGCGTAATTCAATTTACGTTGGGTCAGATGACTTTTGTCGAACTTGGAACGCGTACTACGTGGCTGCTAGACAAGGGACTATGGGCTGTTAAGCTCAAAATTGTTTCAATATCTCATCTTACTGGCAGTTTTAAAGCGATTTTAACGAAGGAAATTATAAATTTGCCTGTACGTTTATTTTGTGTTTTGTTACGCGACAGCCATTTGTTTTTTTTTTTGGGGAAAGGGATTGTTAGCAATGGAGTTTGACAACCTAGCTAGCAATATGCCCTATTAGGTCGACCTCCACGTGGTTCCCCCTGGAAACCATCGTAAACAATTCTTGTTGAATTCGTCACGATGGGCCAACTGACCTACTTCATCTTCACCTATCATTCTTCACTGGTGCTCCGCCAGCATATCCCGATAGCGCAGGCGGGGTGGGGTTACCATTCCATTATCACCCATTAAAAAAAAACAATTTTTTTACTATCACTTTACACAGAAGGCTTGAGCTATACAATTCTTGTTTACTTATTCGCTTGTTTATTTACTTAGCTTGCTATGGATATTATATATTTATTTATTTATTGCAATAAGTAAAAAATAATAATTACAGTAAATATTAATGAGAAATGATACAAAAGGTGGCCTTATCGCTAAGCAATCTTTTCCATACAACTTTTGGACATATTTACATTATTCAACACGGTAAATTTTACAGTTCCTAGCATTAACGAACATGGATAAACTGAATAAAAAATATGGTAATAATGAAGCTCCATTCATTTAGCTAAATGCAAATACGGCTTTAACTGATAACACAGAGATCCTGTCTGTATTACTCTATTTTATCTATGACTATTAAATATTTCCGTATGTTTTATCACACTTTATACAATTTTTAGTTTAAAGCTAATTCGCAGACCGAATACCTTTTAAATAAACACTGTACGATCATTTCGTGGTCCATCGCTGTCTAAATTGTTGTATTACTTAGTACAATTGCATTTTACTCGTTACATGTACTTAGATACACTCGGTTAGATGCACTTTTCTAAATAAACATACTGCATAATGCATAAACATAAACAGATGCATAAACAGTCCCCCAAGTGAAATAAATTCAAAATAATAGTTTTAGTTTCAGGTTCTTAATATTGTTTCTACAGAGCAATATAGAAATAGCCTTGTAGATGCAGCACTAATGTTATTGCTGTTCCTTCTCTAATGTGATTGAGCTGATAGGTTGGCCAAGTTCAGGTAATATGTAATTACAAGATTGACAAATGGTATGGCAACCCCGCCTGCGCTAACGGGATACGCTGGCGGAGCACCAGTGAAAGGTGATAGATGAGAATGAAAACAGGTCAGTTAGCCCATCATGATGAATTCATCAGGAATTAACCATGATAGTTTCCAGGGAGAACCGCGAGGAGGTCGATCTGGTTGGGTATATTGGGATTCTCAGTCTCCATTACTAACAATCCCTTTCCCCCCAAAATGAATTGTTATAAAGTGTTTTTGACTAAAGAAAATAAATATTTAAGCTGTTTGAAGTATGGTCTGAGCTAGCGATTTCTCTATTCAGGGGACTAGGGAACGGAATTAAGATGATATCGCGCGGTCGCATCTTGAAGATTTTATTTCGAAGGAAACGTGAGCGAAACAAAGTGGTTCATTACGGCTATCATTACGTAGGTATTTACTGGGATTTGCAGTTCTTGCGAAGCATTTTTGTATAACTGGCCAGTTTGATGAATTTAAAACAATTTTTTTTTAAAAGTAGATAAGTTATACGTTCAAAGAATTACTAAAAAAATTAATGTTCTGAACACAACGACAGCACGTATAGACAATTGTTTTTTTTTGTGCACTGAAATCTCAAATTGTAAGATACGAAGTAATATTTTATTATTAAAGATTTAAGAATATAATGACTATAATGACATTTATTTATTTAATTTATACATTTCATAACAATATAAGAAATTTAATAAAACAACAAGAGTTATAAATAACTAGTGTTGATCATTTACATAGTAGTGTATGCATATATTACAGGTTATTGGCGCCAATTTAGTGTTATATCAGTAATAATTTACTAGAAGGAGACTTTGTATTTAAGCTGTTTGCTTGGGCACTTCTGTCCCATGATTTTACCATGAAGCAGTTATGTTTGAAGTGTGATTTTACAGGGTACAGAGGAATAACATCTGAGTCCTCAGGAATGGCAACGTATGGGGGATATCATGGGCGAAACAGTATACTCTGTTATGTCCATGGTACTGCTCATGTCTATAGGCGACTATTACCACTTTCCATCAGATGGGCCGTCAGCTTGTTCGCCAATCGGTGGGACTCAGGTGTTATTCCTCTGTACCCTGTAAATTCACACCATATCCCACCCTACAAAGATTCGAATCGACAATGTAAATGTAATTGCCGACATTGATAGTAGATAATCTTATGTTCAATAGCCATTTTACCAGAATTTCAAAGGGTTTACTCCGAGTAACAATGGGATAGATATGGGCGATAGCTTTGTAAAAGTTAGCAGTCCATTCTAAAATCTATATCTGTTTCAAAATTGTCTTAACTTCGGTATTTATTGACCATAGGATCACTTTAAAATTGATGTTCTTTAAATTATGTACAGGTTATTTATCATGTATAACTAAATCAGCATCGTATCAGCCTTAAGCTATCCATTGCTGTTGCAAAGGAATGGAGGACTTTGAAGGGTCTTAAACATTCTGAAAAGTTCTTAAATGACAGTGTTGAAGGATGGGATAAACTTATCTACAGCGGTGGCAGACAATAGGCAAGACTCATTATGGGTGTCTTAACTGGACATATGCCAATAAGGCATATACTACACAAGATGGGTCTATCTTCGGACACACTGTGCAGACTGTGCGGGGAGAAATCGGAATGCATGGTACACTTGATGTGCAACTGCGATTCGTTGACGAGCATGCGCATGAGACTACTGGGAACGGCTTATCCAAAGCCAAGGGACTACAGATATCTTAAACCGCGGGATATCGTTAAGGTAACACAAAGGATCTATGAAATGATGGTATAAGGCAGGGGGAAGCACAAAAGATCCCAATGGGTCGACGTGCAACAGCTTAGCTGACCCCATATGCGAATATAAGATAAGATCCATTGCTGTTTATAAACATACAGTAGTGCCTTAATTTTTGATTTAGGAGTCCCACGTTGGGCGCCAAAATATTGTTATATTTTGGTACCATACTTAGCAGACGGGTTG